GGGTGCGTGCAAAACTCGCGGATTGCCTTTGCAGAGCCGCGGCGGCCGTCGGCAGGTGTTCAAAACCTCAGTGGAACTGACTGAAACCTGGGAGCCTAAAGTCCTGGGAGCCTTTAAAGTGAAAGCAGCTGACTGTCATTGCATGTGGTGCTCGGAAAACACTCCAGCGGCAACACTCGCAAGTCAAAGCAGCTGACTGTGATTGCATGTGGTGCGCGGCAAACACTCTAGGCATGCATGCAACACTCCACGGGTAAATGCAAAACTAGCGGCTTGTCTTCGAAGAGCCGCGGCGGCCGTCGGCAGGTGTTCAAAACCTCAGTGGAACTGACTGAAACCTAAAAGTCCCTGGGAGCCTAAAGTGCCTGGGAGCCTTTAAAGTGAAAGCTGCTGACTGTCATTGCATGTGGTGCTCGGCAAACACTCCAGCGGCAACACTCGCAAGTCAAAGCAGCTGACTGTGATTGCATGTGGTGCACGGCAAACACTCTGGGCATGCATGCAACACTCCATGGGTAAATGCAAAACTGGCGGCTTGTCTTCGCAGAGCCGCGGCGGCCGTCGGCAGGCGTTCAAAACCTCAGTGGAACTGACTGAAACCTGGGAGCCTAAAGTGCCTGGGAGCCTAAAGTGCCTGGGAGTCACCGTGACAGGAATCGCAAGTCAAAGCAGCTGACTGTCATTGCATGTGGTGCTCGGCAAACACTCCAGCGGCAACACTCGCAAGTCAAAGCAGCTGACTGTCATTGCATGTGGTGCTGGGCAAACACTCCAGGGGCAACACTCCACGGGTGCATGCAAAACTGGTGGCTTGTCTTCGAAGAGCCGCGGCGGCCGTCGGCAGGTGTTCAAAACCTCAGTGGAACTGACTGAAACCTGGGAGAGCCTAAAGTGCCTGGGAGCCTAAAGTGAAAGCAGCTGACTGTCATTGCATGTGGTGCTCGGCAAACACTCCAGTGGCAACACTCGCAAGTCAAAGCAGCTGACTGTGATTGCATGTGGTGCACGGCAAACACTCTAGGCATGCATGCAACACTCCACGGGTAAATGCAAAACTGGCGGCTTGTCTTCGAAGAGCCGCGGCGGCCGTCGGAGGAAACCTCAGTGGAACTGAGTGAAACCTGGGAGCCTAAAGTGCCTGGGAGCCTAAAGTGAAAGCTGCTGACTGTCATTGCATGTGGTGCTCGACAAACGCTCCAGTGGCAACACTCGCAAGTCAAAGCAGCTGACTGTGATTGCATGTGGTGCACGGCAAACACTCTAGGCATGCATGCAACACTCCACGGGTGCATGCAAAACTGGCGGCTTGTCTTCAAACTTCGAAGAGCCGCGGCGGCCGTCGGCAGGTGTTCAAAACCTCAGTGGGGCTGACTGAAACCTGGGAGCCTAAAGTGCCTGGGAGCCTAAAGTGAAAGCAGCTGACTGTCATTGCATGTGGTGCTCGACAAACACTCCAGTGGCAACACTCGCAAGTCAAAGCAGCTGACTGTGATTGCATGTGGTGCACGGCAAACACTCTAGGCATGCATGCAACACTCCACGGGTAAATGCAAAACTAGCGGCTTGTCTTCGAAGAGCCGCGGCGGCCGTCGGCAGGTGTTCAAACCTCAGTGGAACTGACTGAAACCTGGGAGCCTAAAGTGCCTGGGAGCCTAAAGTGAAAGCAGCTGACTGTCATTGCATGTGGTGCTCGGCAAACACTCCAGTGGCAACACTCGCAAGTCAAAGCAGCTGACTGTGATTGCATGTGGTGCACGGCAAACACTCTAGGCATGCATGCAACACTCCACGGGTAAATGCAAAACTGGCGGCTTGTCTTCGAAGAGCCGCGGCGGCCTTCGGCAGGAAACCTCGGTGGAACTGAGTGAAACCTGGGAGCCTAAAGTGCCTGGGAGCCTAAAGTGAAAGCAGCTGACTGTCATTGCATGTGGTGCTCGGCAAACGCTCCAGTGGCAACACTCGCAAGTCAAAGCAGCTGACTGTGATTGCATGTGGTGCACGGCAAACACTCTAGGCATGCATGCAACACTCCACGGGTGCATGCAAAACTGGCGGCTTGTCTTCAAACTTCGAAGAGCCGCGGCGGCCGTCGGCAGGTGTTCAAAACCTCAGTGGAACTGACTGAAACCTGGGAGCCTAAAGTGCCTGGGAGCCTAAAGTGAAAGCAGCTGACTGTCATTGCATGTGGTGCTCGACAAACACTCCAGTGGCAACACTCGCAAGTCAAAGCAGCTGACTGTGATTGCATGTGGTGCACGGCAAACACTCTAGGCATGCATGCAACACTCCACGGGTAAATGCAAAACTAGCGGCTTGTCTTCGAAGAGCCGCGGCGGCCGTCGGCAGGTGTTCAAACCTCAGTGGAACTGACTGAAACCTGGGAGCCTAAAGTGCCTGGGAGCCTAAACTGAAAGCAGCTGACTGTCATTGCATGTGGTGCTCGGCAAACACTCCAGTGGCAACACTCGCAAGTCAAAGCAGCTGACTCTGATTGCATGTGGTGCACGGCAAACACTCAAGGCATGCATGCAACACTCCACGGGTAAATGCAAAACTGGCGGCTTGTCTTCGAAGAGCCGCGGCGGCCGTCGGCAGGAAACCTCAGTGGAACTGACTGAAACCTGGGAGCCTAAAGTGCCTGGGAGCCTAAAGTGCCTGGGAGCCGCCGTGACAGGAATCGCAAGTCAAAGCAGCTGACTGTCATTGCATGTCATGCTATAATAATTTTTGCTTCATGTCCTGATTTTTGCTCTCGTCCTGCCCCCCCCCCCCCCTGAGGCTGCGGCTGCGGCTGCGGCCACAGCCGAAGAGTGATCACGACGAAGTCCATGAAGACATGGCGGCACGGGTTAGGGGTGGGCCTTGAGCCTGGCAGCCTGGGAGCCTTGGAGCCACCACCTACTGTAGTCTGACTGACTGAGCCTGGACCTGCATGCTGGGGTCTGACCGAGCCTGGTGCATTGTTCTGGGTCTGTGCATGCATGCTGGGGTCTGACCCAGCCTGGTGCATTGTTCTGGGTCTGACCGAGCCTCGTGCATTGGTCTGTGCATGCATGCTGGGGTCTGACCGAGCCTGGTGCATTGTTCTGGGTCTGTGCATGCATGCTGGGGTCTGACCCAGCCTGGTGCCTTGTTCTGGGTCTGACCGAGCCTCGTGCCTTGGTCTGTGCATGCATGCTGGGGTCTGACCGAGCCTGGTGCATTGTTCTGGGTCTGTGCATGCACGCTGGGGCCTCGGTCGGGGATGCACGGGCATCCCTCACCCCCGCAAGATGTCAGTGGTGGGACCACAGACATCTTGCGGGGGTGATGGATGTCTCTATCCATGCACGCTGGGGCCTCGGTCGGGGTTCATGCACGCACATCCTTCACCCCTGCAAGATGTCGGTGGTGGGACCACAGACATCTTGCAGGGGTGAGGGATGTCCGTGCATCCCCCGACAGGCATCAACTCCAACCAGGTGTTTCCACTGGAAACACCTGGTTGGATTGATGCCTGGTCTGACCCCTCGAGCCTGAAGGCTGCAGTTGGTTGTATGCAATGAACCCCACAAAACACCAAAAAATTAAAAATCCCCGAAACGGCCACCAAGTATTTGTATCATCAAACGTTCCACAGAGCTTCCCACGGTCTCGTTCGCAGCGCGGGCGGCGTTACCAGGCGCCTCAGACAGGCTTAGAGAGGCCAGGCTTCAGCGACTTAGGGCTTGGGGACCTTAGAGCGGTTTTGGGGTTTAGGGTTTAGGGTTTGGTTTAGGGTTTAGGGTTTGGGGTTTAGGGTTTAGCTTTTAAGTTTCAGGCTTTAGGGCTTGGGGTTTAGGGTTTAGGATTTAGGTTTGCGTTTGAGGGTTTAGGTGTTGAGGCTCAGGGTTTGGGGTTCATTCACAATAAACCCGAGAACCCACAACCGGCAAAGCCCCAATTGAACCTGAAACCCCCCCTTACACCCACGAAAAGCTGTCCACCCAAGCATATGGACATCCAGGTTAAATTGTATAAACCCTGAGTTAAGATCCGAATAGAAATCCGCCCAAACCCAAAAATTGCTCCAAACCCCGCGCAGCGGACACATATGGGAGTTTCCGAAAATAGGGGACCCTCATATAGTACCCTAAATATTAGGATCCTTACTACAAGGACCCCAAAATAGGGTCCCCTGATTTTCGGAAACCCTACACCCTAAACCTTATAGAACCCTTATAGATCCCTTTAATGAACCCTTGAAAGGATCCCTTTAAAGGTACCCCTCATTTTCGGAAACTCCCACATGCGCCGGATCTGAGGTGCCACACTTCCGCGACATCCTGGGCAACCTGCTTCCTAGGATCGAGTTCGGCTTGGGAGTCTGGGGGTGTTTGGGGCTCCTTTACACGGATCTATAGGGGTTCTATAATAAGGGTCTATAATAGGATTTAGGGTTCAGGGTGGAGGATTTAGGATTTTAGGGTTTGGGGTTGAAGCTTGGGGGGTTGGGGTCAGGAATTCGCCGGTTGGGATGCTACGATATGCCACTGCCGCCATGAGCGGCAATTGAACGTAACGCTTGGTCCTTGCTGCAAGCACCCTTGCTCAACTATCATAAAGGAAACGGTCACTGAAGAAACACGGAGCTAACTAGTATTGTCTAACGGTAGACAACACTAGCCAGTGCTACCACAGGAACCGTTAGAACAAGAACCATACTGATCATAGGCAATCGAACGATACATTTCATGTCTGTAGCAGCAGCAGACAAAGCAGCAGGACGCAGAAGTCGGAAGCTGCACTCAAAATGTGTAAGTCCTGAACCGCATGGCATACTGAAAGCCCAAACCGAATGAACCTTCAACCCAAAAAACCCAAAACCGCAAAGCCCCAGCATAGAGATCTCAATAATTGATTGGTGGTTGTCTTCCCTTATTGTCCATTGTATATATCCTATGGTAGACACTTACATATAACCCTTAGAGCTACCCTCTAGTAACACAATTTTTGAGGCCCCTTTCATAGTACGTAGTCTACTATAGCCCGAAGCCATCGAGCTGCGCTTTGTCCACGAAGCCGCGGAGGTCTTCGCCGAGTTGACGTGCTGCATCCACGGGACCTGAGAATTCTGCGAAGTGGTTGTCCAGGCAGGCGCTAGGACTTAGTTCCTGAAGTCTTCAAGTTGGGCTTGGGTGCTTTACAGCGCCATAGACGCCGCCATGGGCCATGAGCAGCTTGACTCCGTGCATCTGCAGAAGAACAGCTGTTGGGACACATCAAAACGACGCTGCCGATTTCCACAACAGAGATGTCGAGTCGCAACCGAGATCATCCGCGGCTCTGACATCTTAGATAAGTGCCCGCAACCATCCAACAGAGGATAAAAGGCACCAGGCCAGTTGCGAGTCTACGGGTTGGGGACCCTGTTGACGAATTGACCACCCCGACAGTTCACGAGAAAAACCATGAATGATCCGAGGAATACCATCAACATCAAGCTCCGGAGCCAATGCTTGAAGGATCAGGGGAATTAGCAAGTGGGAATAAAAGCTACTTATACTTAGGTCATTAAAGCTGCAAATGGCTGTAACCCTAGATAAGTTACTCACAACCCTACCACTCACCACCCTACTTACTAAGTCCCCCAGGCTCCTAGTATTGGCCCGGACACGAACCCTGACGCACTTAACCTTATCAACTATAAACCAGGCAACCAACGAACCCTTCGGGACCCAACTCTTCTCCGCATGCCGCTCCGTCTGCTTCCGCCGGCGGTTGTGGAGCCTTCCAAACGTTCGGGATCAGGGTTTTGGAGTGCACATTCTGATGGTGTATCCTGAAGCGAACGGTTTTTTGGGCTTGGGGCGCGCGGGCGCGAGGGTGGCCACCATCTTCTGAATGTCAGGAAGAGGGGGTGCTTTCGCGACACAAACTTAAAGCAAACACAAGTGTCAATCTTAGTTTAAGGCGTAACGGTCCGGGTTGGGTGCAAGTCATATGTAAGAATGTGTGTGCGTGTTTTTGCTTTCTTTTTGGGGGGTGGTGGACCTTTTGCACACAAGGTCTGCGGAGGTGCTGCGATTTGTGATTACAACCGATCTCGCGAGAATGGCGTCATCATGGAGTGTAATTATGCTCTCATGACACTGCAGTGGACCCACTGACACCTGAACCAGACGAGGAACCAGAGACAGCATAAGACACCCACACTCTTAAGCCAAACTGCCGAAAGCCACACTTCGAGCTCCGTAATGCGGGGTCCTGCAGCTAAGAATCTACCGAACACTGCGACCCCCACCCCCATATAGATATACCCTAAAACCCTGTTCTACTTATTTTGCTTAGAATATAAACATGCAGTATAATCTGCCCCAAAACCCTATTCTAACATAATTAAAGCCGCCACTCCCAAAGTCTCAATTCCCCTTGCCGGATCTGCCTGGCTCCAAGCACCAAAGCTGTCGATGCGCCGGCAGCTGACAGTCCCCAGGAGCCTCACTCGTTGTTGATTTCACCAGTCCCCCAAAACTAATGTATAGCCCGGGCTTTATATTAGACATATATTGTATAATTATAGGGCTTTATATCAGGAAGATGAAAACTATCCTAAATCGAAAGCCGTGCTCAAGATTGATTCTCGAAGTCGTTGATGGCGGGGATCTGGACAACAATGGACAATACCATGCGAATACCTCTACTTCCTCGAGGTCGAACCGACACTGCAATACTATAGGTATTGGTTTAGAAGCCCAATTACCCCCAAGCACCAAATCCTACACCCTATAAAGCTTTAGGCTTTACCTTAACCCCTTTCTATAAGGAAACGATCGAGAGGCAGGATTTTGGTGCTTAAAGCAGGGTTCAGGTTTTAGGGTAGGGCCCCTTTAAATTCCATATTTGGGTTTATTATACGTAATTAGGAACTACAAAAAGGAGGCTATGGTAGTCCAAAGTAGGGTTTAGCATCCAGAACTGATGGGAGGCCAAAAGGGGGGGTTAAGATTCTTGAGGTAGGGATTCCTCAATATGAACCCTATTATGGGAATCCTAATCCCTACTAAACCCCATAGACCAAAACCCCTTTTGGCCTCCTATGAACTACAAGATGCCTCGCCCTGCTCCGTCTGCCTTTGCCACTGCAGCTCTCCTGGAAGAGGCTAGGGGTTTGCGGGCTTTTGGGGACCGGTAAAGTGCTGCGGCATAGTCTACTGTATGCATATGTGTGTGCATACATATCTTCATATACTCATACATATATATACATATATATATATATGTACATATATATGTATGTATGTATATATATATATATATATATATATATGTGTGTGCATGTCAAGCATTTGTTGATTTATTTCTTTCTCGTTACGTATCTGTTCATGTTCTTGTTTATCTTCAAACCCGGGCCTTGAGCAATACTATTGATAGTTGCTGATGCCTCGTGCTAGTAAGTAGGGTTGCGGTTACCTTTATTGGGGCTACAAGCAAGTATGAACAAAGTCTGGAAGTTTGAAAGCCGGAGACTTAAGTTTCACCTGGTTTGGGGATTTGTAAGGTCGCGCTCGTGGTTTTCGTCGACAAGCTGAACTATAGTATGAGGCTGTGGGGAAGTTTGAGCCAAACGTGCAGGAGCTTCGTGCGAGACGACGGCTAGAAGAGACGTGCTTGTCACGCTGGCACCTTCAACGAATGTAGACATAACAACTACGCTAAGAATGTTCTGAGCAAGCATTAGCTCAACTACAGCGACGGACAATCATCACCAATGCCAATGCTCGCGCTACTACCTGTTTCCGCTGCCGAACTACCACGACGACGACCATTTCAACTACAGCAAAGGCAAAGACGACTACCAGGAACAAGTCGCTAACATCGCTACTGCTGCCAGTAGTAGTAGTAGTAGTAGTAGTAGTAGTAGTAGTAGTAGTAGTAGTAGTAGTAGTAGTAGTAGTAGTAGTAGTCGTCGTCGTAGTCGTAGAAGCAGTAGCAGTAGTAGTAGTAGTACTACTACTACTACCACCACCACCACCACCACCACCACCACCACCACCACTACCACTAGCACTACCACAAGTACTACGAGAAGGGACCCTTGGAACAGTGCCCCACCTCTGGACAGGCTGCTCCGAGCTGGCTCCAGCGCCTACATCACAGTGCTTTCGCTTTACTGTTTCGGGGTTTGGGGTTTTGGGGTTCCTTTAAGGGATCTATAAGGGTTCTGTAATGAGGATGTATAATAGGATTTAGGGTTTAGGGTTTGGGGGTCAAGGATCAGGGTTTAGAGTTTAGGGGCGATGTAGACCTGTGAGAGCGCAGGGCTCTGCATTAACTTCACAGCTACCCGATGCTCAAGATTATAAAAGTCTCTCTTTGGCCTGCTGGTTGATTCACTCCCAAAGCATCAACATCCCCAAACCCTGAACCCAAACCGAGTGTTAACAGCTTCTTCTCACGTGACCACTTTGTTGCTTTTAAAGTTGCCTGCTTACGAAACACAGAACTCCTGTCTAAAGACATTATACCCAACCCGTTGATATCTTGCGAGAGAGAGGAAAGAGAGGCCAACGAATCCTCATTATCTGACAGTCAGACACTTTTCGGAGCATTCCGTCTCGATGGCTGGATTTGTTCACAAAGCGCGAACGACACGGCGGTGGTTCAAGCGTCCCACGATTTGTCTGGAACCCCTAGGGCTTGCGGTGGAGGGCTTCTTGATTTAAGGTGTAGAGTGAACCCCAGAAACCTGGAACATGAGACCACGACCATAAGTGCTGGGATTCCCTTACTTTGCCTCTGGATCGCATGTTCCACCCTCTTCGGCTTCGACTGCAAGGTTCAGCGGTCCCTGCAACTCGCTACAAGCGCCGGAAACATTGCGATCGCTTAGGCCACGGCGGCGAGAAATACCGGAGGAGATAAAGCCCTGCAGCCACACTGTTGATGATGATGGCCCCCCAAATTAGTAAAGGTAATTATTAATGCGCCTGTAGTAAACCATCACGATCATCAACAACACTGTGCTTTACGATACTGGCACTGCTAGCTTGATGCTGCTGCTGGTGACGGTGTTGATGACGATGTGATATGGCTGGTGGTGATCGTGGTGGCGATGAGCAACAGTATTCTTCGGTAGGACACTGATAACATAGCATACACCAACATGCCCCTAACGTAGGGGCGTTAATAATTAGAATAGGATTTAGGGGCACCTAAAACTATAACTACAAAAAGGAACCCCAAAAATAGTAAAGGTGGCCCTATAGCAAACCTATGGGGGCTCGAATAGTCACCGATATTATTCCTCAGGGTTCCTTTTGTCCCTCTAAGGCCCCTAAAAGGTAAAACGGGTAAACTCTCGAACCAGAACCCTTGTACAAACCGTACAGGAATTGTCAGAAACCCCGCTCTAGTTCTTAAGTCACATATGCTACCGTGAACCCACCCCAGTACTCGCTTGTCCCGACAGGTGACGAGAAATCGCATGGTGGGAGGGGCTTTAGGGGCTTTGGGCTTAGGGTTTAGGATTCCGGGCTTAAGGTATTGGGTTTAAGTTTAGGGGTTAGGGTGCCGGGCTCATGGCTCAGGTTAGGGTTGAGGAGACTTCGCAGTCAAGTTCTGGTTAGGGTTGTTAAGAGTGGCCTAGAGTACCCTGACTTGGGTGACTCTGTTCATGATCCAGCTCCACAAAGCCTCTACATCAACACATAGCGTGCCTTTACGGCACGACAAAACCTGCATGCAATACCATACAACTACAATCCTAGCGTAGAAGTCTGATCATGAAGACTTCCACTGCTGGAGCTGGCATAGTATGGATCTTACAGGCAACGCCTACATTATTCCTGACCCCACTTTAATCCTTCAGATTCCGCTGCAGCAAGGGCTCAGGTTTTTTAGCTGTAGGACTGGTTTCGGGTTTCGGGCCAGACACAAGTTGCAACCTTCGGCTTCGGCCGACCACATTTAGGCTTCCACGGCTTTCCTTTTACATCCACATTCGATGTAAACACAGTAAACTCCATAAACTTGGAAGCCGGTTTTAGGCTAAATAGAGCTGGGATTCCCTTTACACTACTCTTAAGGATTGAGGCTATGGAGTTTCCAACTTTTGGGCTTCTACTGTAAGGTTTTAAGGCTCGAGGCCGGGGCAGCAGGGAGGGCTTGGAGGCTTGTGAACTGCACCTTGTCCATGCAAAACCCCGAACCGAGCTACCACCCAAGCCTAAGCCCAGGACCCCAGAAACGAAAGCCATAAGATAGGGGCCCATTACACTATAAATGTGATAAGGAACCCCCAAAATAGCATATTGAGGCCCTTGCTTCAGTGATGACTCAGAACAACATGGGAACGTGACACCTGCTCCAAGACCCTGGACCACAAAGGCTGATGAAATGCCCTAAACTCCCGCTAGCCGCCTATTGAACCCCAAACCTGAACCCTAAACCCTAAACCCGAAACCAGCCCTAGAAAAAAACAGTGTCGGGCCCCAAAAGATTCAAAGCAAACCACAGGCGCTGAACCCTCAAACCTCTCAACGCCAGACTCTGGGGACGCCAGGGGTGCCAATCCCCAGGCCCGAGACCCTAAACCCCTAAACCCCGAACCCTAAAGTCCCCAGCATCCATTCCCCTACGGTTGATGATATAAATCCTGCATTACCCTACGGGCCCTAAACTATGGGAACTATGGTATATTCCTTATTATGGGTAATGCAGGATTTCTATCATCAACCGTGTTCCCTACTAAGAACCAGACACCCTACTAAGAATCCCAAACCCTGAAGGCCCCAACACTGCGCCAAGATCCGGGCCGGAGCCAAAGCCAAAGCACCCGCCTCACGTATAGGGGTCTTTGTCATTAGAATAGGGGTCAGTGTAACCAACCTCGCCTAAGAGAATCTCAAGTGAGGTGTCGCGCTTGGGCCCTGAAACCCATATCGCGAAGACGTCACAAAGTTAGTTCCTGTCTAAGAGGATAGGCCACTGCAAAAATGCAGCACAGCATTACTACTAACATGTCTACTGGGGCTCAACCATGCGATCCTGTGAGAAAGTCTCCAACATCGTCTCTTCAAGCCCCAACGCACAATAACACCCTGTCGCCCCGAAGCCATGGCCCACCCTAAACCACCGCGAAACCCCTAAGCCCTAGGGTTTAGGGGTTTAGGGGTTTAGGGTTTTAGGGTTTAGGGTTTAGGGTTTAGGGGTTTAGGGTTTAGGGTTTGGGGTTTAGGGCCCAGCATCCTACATCTTCAGCCTCCAACCTCAAAAAGGGATTGAACCCTAAAACCCTCCTAAGCCACAAACCCCAACACCCCAAACCACAACACAACTTGCAACGATTCTGAAATCCCTCCCATGGCACGCGAAATCGATGGAGCCCGAACCCTGAACTTTGTGACAAGAAAGGAGATGTCGGATCCTTTTACGTAGGGCTCTGTAGGGTTCCCTCAGAGGGATCTATAGGCGGTTCGTCTAAAGGGATCCAACTGTAAGGGTTCTATAGGGGATCTGCTTAGGGCTTAGGTCTTCGGGTTCAGGGCTTAGGGCTTAGAGTTTAATCCTACACCCTAAACCCTAAACCGCTAGTTTAAAGCTTAGGGTTTACGGCCTCGAGTTCAGGCTTTAGCGTGAAGAGTTCAGGGCTCACTATACTGAACTTAGAACCCTAGCAAAAATTCAAATTTTAGCTGTTTCTTAGGGATTATAAATAACCAAAAATTAAAACATATTTCTAAGTACCCCTAAGCTTAGAGCATTGCGATGTATAGGAGTCGTCGGCTTCGGGCTTTAGGGTTTGAGGCTTGAGGTTTCGAGTCGAAAGGCTCAGAGCTGAGAGGTTTTAGGGCTTCGGATCTACGGTCATTCTGGCGATGTAGACAAAAAAGGCTTTACCTAGACCCCCCAAAGGAATTTGATTTAGGTTTCGGTTACCAGAATAGGGAACCTGAGTATATACTATAGATCCCTATGATGGTAACTGTCTAGACCCCCCAAAGTAGGCAAAATATTGGCCAAAACCCAAAACACTATAAAAAGGGCTATTCTTCTACATACTGTTGGGGTCCAGGTAGGTTTCAAGGTTCTTTTTTTTTAATGCGTAGTGACTTTTCCGTCAGGTTTCAAGGTTCAGGCTTGAGGCCGTCCTGGTTTGCCTTTGTTTGATGCTCAGGCGATCGGAACCCTAAACCCTAAGCCTTAGGTACTGCCCCCATACAGTAAGAGTCTATAATAGAGCTACTACTAAGGTCCTAATATATCTATATTATGAATATTATTCAACTGCTACTGAGTGGGGATCGGAACTCTAAACCCTAAACCCCTAAACCGATCGGGTGTGAGTGTGAAGGATTCGGAGTGCGAAAATCGCTATACCCCACAGGGGTTAAACCGTAATGCCTGATACCTGGACCCGGTATCAGGCGGAATAATAGCCTTTTATAGGTTTTGGGCCATTATTTTGCCTACTTTGGGGGGTCTAGGTGCGTGCTCAAATAATAAGAATAACAATAGCAATGACAATACTCAACAAATGCAGTAAGAACACTCCTACTCACAACAATAAGAACGAAAACAAAAACAAGAACCACAACAACAACTGGGTGCCGTACTGCCGCGACCGCCGTTGCGCAGCAACACTTGCGAGATGTCCTACACAGCTTCACAGAAAGCGTAGCCTGCAAGGGCAATTCAGAAAAACTAAACCTGAAGCCCTAAATTTAGGGCTTAGGCTGCCTGAATCCCTAAAACCCTAAGTCCCTCGACCCCGGTCCCTGAACCCTAGACCCCGAACGTCAGCATGCTTCCCAGAAAAAGGCGGGCTTGACAATTCGAACGGGGCTCGGGAGAAACAATTGTACAAAAGTAATGAGGCCTTTCGACGAATACTAGTACAAGCTAACCCTAACCCTAAACCCTCTGTATTCATGATGTATAGCATAAGAATGACAACATTAGACAGGCCCTTCGGCCAGAGACCGAGAGCATGGAGGCTTCAAAAAAACATGAGGTTCTTACATTGGCATGAGGATCCTACTTCTTTTTGTTCTGACCTACTCTCCTTGTGATGAGGTTGCTACCGTTTGAATCCCATTTCTTTGCAATACGGGCCCCACCTTCTTGAAGATCTGAATTCCTGACAAAAAGTATCATCCCCTGCTGTTTTTGATCTACGTAGTCCTAAACTCTAGGCCCGAAATCCTGAACCCAATTTCGAGGTCCTGCTATCGTCTGGTAAATGGTGATTGGTGCTTTCGGTGACCATGTTCGCACAACTGGCGACGTTTTCCATCTCTGTCTCACGGTCTTGCTGATGCGTATGGGTATTCCAGTACGGTTGGGTTGGGTTTTGGATTTCGGGTCTTTCACGACTTGCGGGCTTCAGGGGTGGCCTGAATGACAAGAGCAGGGTTTGGGAGTACATCATACCTCAGCTATACTAGTGTAAGGAACCCGAAAAGCAGTATTTATGGTTTTTCAGGCTTCCATATTTGGCTTAAGGCCTAGGAACCCCAGACCCTCCCTGCCCAGCACCATTGGTGCGTCCTGGTGCGCGGCATCATGGCAAGGAAATCTCACTGAAGGCTAGGAGTTGTAAGTATTTTGATAGGATATCAGTTCCGTCCGTGCAGAATCTTTGCAAAAATCATCTCGCAAGCAACATGCCTGGATGCTGTATCCACGTGGTTACGAACCTTCGGGCTAAAAAACACGCGGAGCTAGGGCACTGATAAGCCGAAGCCAACGGATGGAACCTTGAAGCCTTCCTCACAGAGGCTTTGGAGATTTTGGTGATTGGGAGTTCCCGAAAATTAGGGGTACCTCATGTTGGGTCCTTATAAAAGGATCCTACCATTTACGGTACTATTTTAGGGTCCCCTATTTTCGGAAACCCCCGATTGAAGATCCAGAACTTAGCTGTAGGGTTCAAGGGTCTAGGCTTTAAGGTTTAAGACTCCGGGACATTATGAGTGCTAGTGCTTTGCTCGCTCCTAAAGTAGTTAGTCTTTCCTTTGCGCACTGGGACTGGCTCAGTTCAAGATCACTTGGGAGGGCTGCAAAGTCCTAAGTGGCTTCAACTTGATTAGATGAAGGCCATCAGAGACTGGACTTGATGATAGGGCATTATAGCCACAGGAACTATTATTTCAAGCCTTTGCATGTGCGAATCTCTGTAAAATTTCAAGAAGGCTCCAGAAAGGAATCTCTCCATGCCAACACAAAGGCTGCGGCTTAGAAAGCGCCACCCGTGATTTCGCATGGAGCAAGTATATACAAGTCCAGAGCTACTGGGCCAGAACCCCTCGTGGTTTTCCATAAACTTCCTTCAAAGCTAAAAGCGAGGGCGGCAGATTTCGTCCAGAATCCCGGGACTGCTGCATATTCTGAGCTGTTGGATCATGTCTTCTACGGAACTGCATGTTACCGCGCAGAATACCAGCAACCGATGTACAGAAGGCATTGAAGGAGCACATATCCTGGTAATCCAAACACACCAACCAAAACTACAACAGCGATCATGCAGCAGTAAGCTGAACTCTGTGACGTCTTGCGAAATTAGCACACAGCTGCTTCTCGCCGTGATTGGCTCAGAAATCGTCACCTCGAGACACCACCTGTGCGGTCGAGCTTTTTCTCGGGTGTGGGACGGTTTGGGGTTCAGGTTGTACTCACATTCTTATTCCACAGGCTCCTGGTAAGTTCGACTAATCGTGCCACTGTTGATAATTCCTGCGCTGTTGCTTTTTCGATTGCCAGAAGCGAAACCTCCTTGCACGTCGGCCGCAGCAGAATGGTGTGCTCCATCTGCGTGACGTACCTGCGAATCAGATCGGAAAGTAGTGCCACGAGAGCAAGTTCCTCGACTTTGGGCGTGTTGTTTGTAGTTCTTGCTTGTCTTCGTGTTGTGCACATTGTTCATGACACACCGATTATTCTTCCCATCATCATTGCTGCTCCCCGCACTACTCAGATGTCTCTCCAATGATGCTGATGCTGGTTACATACACCAGGAGCCTGAAAGCCGACTTCTTGGGAGGCCCTGCTAAGCCCCGAACCCCCAAACCCTAAACTAGCCTCCAAAGCCCCTCAAGTAGAGGCCAGAGCGTTGGAACATCATTATCCTCATGTCCTTGACGTAGAATCAGGGGAATCCCAGCACTAATCATCCTGCATACATGTTCCAACTTTCGGGGATTCACTGTAAGCCCTGACCCCCTAAAACTCTAAAACCCCAAACCCTAAGACCCCAAAACCCTAAAGCCCCCAAAACCCTCAACCCCTCCTAAACGCTCACCCCCTATAGATCCCTTATAGAACCTTTACTGTATAGATCCCTCTTAACGGAACCACCATAAACCCCAAACCCCAAAACCCCTAAACCCCTAAACCCTAAACCCCTAAACCCCTAAACCCCTAAACCCGGCCATGCAGGCCCAGGTCACGAGCCCTTGGCATCACAGAGAGGCGGATATGGCTGGACAATGTCGTTGTCCACCAGGTTCTTCAAGGCCTGTAGCTTCGGCTTCAAAAGTGTAGGGCTTAGGGTGCAGGGCTTAGGGTGTAGGGGCTTAGAGTGTAGGGGCTTAGGGTGTAGGGGCTTAGGGCTTAATTAAGGTTTAGGGCTTAGGGTTTAGGGTTTAGGGTTTTGGGGCTTAGGGTTTAGGGCTTAGGGTTTAGGCTTTAAGATGAGTAGGGCTTACCTGGACCCTAAATACCCTACCCTTTTAAGGACGTATACAAAAGAAATCAGATTAAGGAGACCTACAAAAGGAAGGTTCCTCAGGGTCCAGGGCTTAGGCTTTAAGATGAAGGGTCTGGTCTAGTGTTCAGGATTCAGGGTCCAGGGTTTAGAATGTTTAGAGCTTGGAATTTACTTAAGATATACGGTTCAAGGTTTAGGGTTATGGTCTAGGATTTTGGGTGCTTAGGGTTCAGGATTTGGGGTTTACAGTTCAGGCTCAAAGGTTTGAGGTTCAGGATTTTAGGGTTCAGGGTCCAGGGTTTAGCGTTGAAGGTATTGAATTGAAATTTTGTTGAGCGGTTCTGGAGCCAGACACAGTCGTCGGAAAATCTGTAACCAGAACAACGGCATCGGTAGCTGCATCCTGGTTTCCAAGCTCCGGTTTAGGATGTACAGTTTCTCATTCGCCCTGGCTGCCGATGCGCACTTTATGATGCACGGGGAGAGGTTTCTAACGCGCGCCTGGTTTCTGATGCACACTTGGTTTCTCATGAGATTTGACTGAAAGCTCGCATCATGGCCTTCCAGGCTCAGAAACCCCGTTTCGGCTGCTTGCGGGGTTTGGGGTTTAGGGTTAAGGTATAAGATCGGCTCACAAGTCAGCAAACACGAACAACTGGACATACTGCGTGGAAGCATGAACAGGTGACACTGGCAAAAAGACGAACACGAAGACTAAGGCCTCTAGCAATATTGAGAAGCATGACCCCAGTCATACAGATGAAAACCACCACTGCCTGCGAGAAGACTCACAACACAAAGAGCAAGAAGTTGAGTCGTAATGAAGTGCCGCGATTAATCAACAACCCTTTCGTCAAAGGCTCTTATATAGAAAGAGGACCTCTCTCTAACAGCCGTAATGTCAGGACCCATCTTGTAACCTTTGAACTGTTTAAACCCTGAACCCTAAACACTCAACCCTGCAACAGCAGCAGCACGACGAGGTCCCAGCCATCAAGTGGCGGGTCTGACCCAGGTCATCCAACCACCGTCGGCAGAAACTGCGCAACCAGGGCTTAAGGCTAAGAGTTCAGACTTGGGATGTGGGCTTTTGTGTAAAATGTAGGGCTTGGAGAGATCAGGGTGTTTGGGGTTCATGGATGTCTGTGGTGTAGTATATCTTGCCGCCCAACTACAACGATGCCACCTACTTGCGGACCCAGACCCGAAGCCCTTGCAAACACGTTTAGGGTTTAGGGATGGAAGGTTTGAGATCTCGGGTCTAAGACGCAGGTCTAGCTGGTACTTCGGCGTGCGGGTTTAGGAATCCATAGTCGGGTTATGATAGCGGATAGGTGGGAGTTTCCGAAAATCGGGGACCCTAAAATAGTACCCTAAATAGTAGGATCCTTCCTATAAGAAACCCCAGTATAAGGTACCCCGAATTTTCCGAAACTCCCATGTAGTAGAAACAGCATGGTTGTCAAGGTTCGAGAATAGGGTACTCTCATACGGCAGGACATATCAACGTGGAATGTCGAAACCCCACGCGATAGACATGCCTCCTGAACTCAAAACTTGAAAGCCCAGACATTTTCCACTAAAGCCCAAACAAGCTAGAAAGATCCTTACTGCAAGGACCCTTACTCCAGCCAGCCCACAATTTCGATGTGTAAATATAGCATATTCAATACATCATACATATAAATATCGATATATGTACATATATGTATATACACATATGTGTATACGTATACACACGCATGTAACATGACCTGTTATAAGAAACTCCTGGCTTAATTAGCCCTGACATAGGTGCTCCTTAACCATGTGATTCCCCTGTAGGGGTCCTCAAAATAAGTGTCCCTCTATCTTGCCTCTCTAGAATGCGGGCCCGACTACTTAAGCTCTGTTTAGGATGTATACTTGGGCCTTAGTCCTGAAACACCCAGATCAGTTGCAGAGCATGAGCGGGGCGCACGCTAAGGTTCCAAAATTCTGCTCAATCGCATGCAGCAGGGCCTTCACCAAAAGGGTTCAAGGGCTTCGAGCTTTGTAGGGTTTAGGGTTTTTGGGGAAACAATTTGCAGGTTTCGGCTTGCGGGTGTGCTGGTCTAGGGATCAGGGTGTGGGGGTTCCGGGCCAAAGCTTAGGAGGTAGTTTGTGCTTATTGTAAGGTCCATGAGGTTGCTATGAGGCTATAAGGACTTATATGGGTTTCAGGGTTTAGGAGTCGTAGTGTGCTTGCGTGGTTCGGCTTTGAGGAAGAGATCTTTGCAGGAATCTCAGGAGCTCTGCAGTCAAGACTCGGCTCATGGCAAGCATCCCACTGGTAGGATGCCGGCCATCACCGAACTACTTTCATCCACTGCGCTCCTCCTCCTCCTCCTCCTCCTCCTCCTCCTCCTCCTGCATACTCCTCCTCCTACTATGCATCTGAAGGTTAAAACCTGCCTACACTCGGGGCTGCAGATTTGTGGTGTAGTGTAGGATCAAATACTTCGGTGAAACGCTGTCTACGGGGTGGAGTGGTGTCTAGCGTCAGCAGAGGTGGTAAAATTCACGAATGCACTGTTCGATGCTTCAGCCGGTCAAAGTAACCGCCTGCGAAATACATCGTCCTAGCAGACCAGAGACGAGACCAACATCCCAAACTCTTACAACCCCAAGCCCGAAACCCTATATATCCTATAAATCTATAAACCCTAAAACCCTGTAAACCTAAAAACCCCTATTAACCGTATAAACCCTATAAGTCCTATAAACCCTAAACAACCCTCAAGCCCCCGAAAGGAAGGAAGGCTGCAAGCCTTGGAGCTCTTCACTCGCAAAGGCACATGTTGCGCATCGAAGATCCTCGGCTTCAGGCTCAGGTTGAAGGCTTACTTAAAGGATCATGGGACTTAGTAACTAGGGTTATAATTAGGGTAACTATACTTGAAATTACTTATAACCCCAATTAGGGTACTTAAAACCTTACCTACTAAGTCCCATGATCCTCCAAGTAGCAGGGTTTAGGGAAGTCAAGCTAGACCGTCGGCTTAGTGGGGAGCTCCTGGGTAGGGTTTAGGGAGTCTGGGGGTTGAAGGTTCTGGGTTTAGCGTGTAGGGCTTAGCCAGGGTCAGGCTTGCCTTCATTGGTGCTACAAGTCACAATTGCTTTCAGTTTTGGCGCCGTACTGACACGGCTTCGAGCTCCAAGCGGCTTTGCGCTTCTCGGGGCTGGTGGATGTGAAGCAACCGGAGAACACCAAAGCAATTCAAGCCTCCGGCTTCACGACTGGAAAGGGGAAACTCTTGATATTGAAACTCTAGGGCATCAATCCCCCAAGCCCACGTATCGGCAGAGCTTTGCGAAGCCGGAGGCTCGCACATGGCAATCAAGGGGCTTTCACAAAACAGAATACAGTTTGTCAGTAGAGTAAACTGTACTCGCCGAAACCCGTAGGTTTTAATCTTGCGGCAAGGTTCTGTGTCTTGAAATCACATAACGTTGAAAGTCTCTGCGATTGCCACGTCACTGTTGAGTGGAGAGCAGTCTGAAACAAGATACAGACTCGCAGAATTGACGAATGCCATATCTAACCAAGGACCATGGAGGACCACTAATAAAAAGAGCAGTCCATCTTACTTGTTACACCAGCCACCGACAGGCGCACCGAATGAATTTTCAGTTCGCTGATGTCTCGCCATACTTGCCAGGCTTCCGAAAGAAACGTCCTGAAGTATGCGGAATAATGCTTGTGATTGTCGTCTTCCGCATCAAGCGAATACCACAGTCTTGTCAGGACTTTTACCGTGGTCTTCAAGCACGGCAGCTTGATGACGTGCAGGTAAAGAGGCGTTTTCTTTCTCAAGCCGACTCGGTAATTGCTTCTCCTGCATTCTCAAGAGGACCGGGACTGCCACAAGAGCTGCAAATAAAACAGCGGCGATAGCAAAGTCTGCATTTGCAAGCGCGGCCAAACAGCAGCACAAAGCACAAGATTCACCAACCATAACGCAAAGCAAGAGAAGTGCAAGAGAAGCTGTTCTTGCAGCATTCATGTGCTGCCAAGGATCTTCATGTAGTGGGAGCACTCGAGATCCTCCACTACGTAGGCTTTGCCTTGAAGCCGGGAAGGACAGTACGGCTGATCGTGTGCCTGTGAAACTGCCCTGAACAACCCGACACCCTCAAACTATTGTGACCCTCAGGGGGTTCAGGGGCAGGGGTCAGTTTTCAGGTCCCTGTCGTGGGTATTAAGGCCCCCTACCCCCCTTCCCCTGAACCCCCTAAAAAATTACTATGGGGTTCTGTAATCGGGGTTCAATTATAGGGCTCCCTTTGAAGAGTCCTTATGATTGAACCAAAGACTTACAAGCTTACAGGCTTGGCTCCGCATTGAAAGCAGCTTGCAACATTGCTCTCTGAGTCCCACACCATTGGATGCAAAAGTCTCCTTGGCTGTCTTGAGGTTTCGGGATATTCTAGTTTTGGCATTGTATCTTATAACCTTGTATAGTCCATCTTTTGTTCCACATCCTGAAACAACATATCTTATGTGAAAGATATGTTCTACATAACCTATCTTATATTGAACATGGTACATTGTATATCAAATATTATATGTTACATTATACTACATACCAAGCTGTAGTATCTATGGTATATACTACATTACTACGTTACATGTGGTCCAGCAACGAAAGGTGAAACCGCCGCATGAGCCAGCCCCTGACTTGCCAAACATGCATCATCCAGAAGGTCCAAGTACACTGCCATTATGGAAATATAGGTCCCCAAGGACCATTCTAATGAAGGTTTCGGGGACGTAATTCCATAACATTACTATGTATAGATCCTCTTGGTCACGTTTTCCACGACCCATCTCACTGGTTGCCCCCCTAACAATTGCCCGTATCATAGAACCCTCACAGTACCCTAATATCGCTTAAAGATCCCTGATAGTAACCTAGACCCTAAACCGTGGCTCTGGGTTCTTAGGTCCTATGATCGAACCAGTTTGCGACATGTCGTGCAGAAGCCGAGCATCAATGGCGTAGAACTCGCCCTCCTCCATGATGGTAGACTCTTGGTTCTTGGTAATGGGTACCTGAGGACGGGGGTTAGCATTTTGCCTTTCAGGGTTTTGTAATTTGGGTGTAAACCTAAGGCCGTGCTATACAACCCATTCGATCCGCAGCAAGAGAAGGGGTGCTTGCGACTGCAATAAACACTTGCAGTGTTCGTCATCACAACTCCAGTAAGAACGACAGAACGACACAAATACTGACACTAATGGCTACTGATGCCCTTAATACTGCTGTAGCTCCAAGAAACAGGTCATCTGTAGTAGTACGTATATAGTGAACATAGAACAAGTAAAACAAGAACCCTTATGGAATGAATTGGCAACTGTCTGGTTAGCCCCCTATATAAGATACAACAGACTCCCGAAGGACGGGAGTACGAACCTCCCCTGCGCGGCTAAATTCGCAACACTTCCCAATAAACCCTCCCTAAGCGGTCCTAAGTCAAAACCTCACGGAGAACGTCTGAAAGCACCCTTCCGTACTTAGACCCCCAAAAAGACGGACAGCCCCACCTCGACCCTAAACCCACAACCCCTGAAGCCCACAGCCGAGACAGTCCCCTGCCGTTGCAAGCGAGCTGCCGACTTGCCGCCATGGATCTGGTAAGGTCCAATGGAGTGGCCATTGAGGTTCCGGACCGGCTTGATGGGCCAGGTCTGGCAAAAGACAATGACAGTAATGATAATAATAAAGATGAGAATAGTAATGATAAAAATAGCAATAGTAATGATAGTAATAACAATAACAATAGCAATGATAATAATAACAATAACAATAGTAATGATAGTGGTAGGCAGATGGGGCTTATGAGGAGCTTCATGCTCTTCAGGGCTCCTTCAGGCTCTTCAGGGCTCTTCAGGGCTCCGTGGGGTTCCCTGGGGTTCCTTAGGGTGGGTTCCTTAGGGTTCCTTAGGGTGGGTTCCTTGGGGTTCCTTAGGGTTCCTTACTGTTCCTTAGCGTTAGGGTGGGGGGTGGGTTCCTTGAAAGTTCCTTAGGGTTCGGTAGGGTGGGTTCCTTGGGGGGTTCCTTAGGGCTCTTTCGATCCTCTTGAGGATCTCAGCCCTTGTAGGCTTTCGGGTTTGAGGAGGAGCAAACCCTAAACCCGAGACCCCTAACCGAAATAAAACCCAAATCCCAAACCTGAAACTAAAGCTAAACCCCAAACTCTCAAAGTGAACCCCAAACTAACCCCAAAACTGTGAAAGAAAAAAACCCTATACCGTGAACCCTCCTTTGGCCTTGCCATTCAGCTCGATCTCGTAGGACCTGAGCTCGTAAGCTTCTAAAGACTCCTTTAAAGGAACCCTTACAGGAGGAACGGTTTAGGGTTTTGGTTTTAGGGTTTAGGGAACCCCTAAAGGAACCCTTCAAAGGATTTGAAATCCCAACACAACAGCATCAAACTCGTCCAACGGCTTATGTCTAAAAGCTTGCACGTGGAGCTCCCTCGTACACAGGCAGACCCTGTGGAGGCCCTATACGACACCGTAGCAAGTCGGATTAGCGCACTTACAACACACATGCCTAAAGAACCGTGATGCCACCATATGAACTGAAAGCCGAAGGCGAACACAGACACGAGAAAGCTGAACATACTGATAGACAGTCCTGCGCAATTCCTAGATCCTACAAACCAAACCCCGATCCCAAACCCCAAACCCTTAACCCTACGCCCTAAGCCCCGATCCGCAAACGGCAAACCCAAAAGTTTAAACCCCAAAGCCCAAACCCCAGCTCCCCAAAACATTTCACCCTCTTGGTCTCCTGGGCTCTTGCATAGTGTTTCCTTGCTATTATGGTTCCATATACAACCGGGGTCTATAGTTGATAAGAATGTTAACGGTGTTTCTTTGCCATTCTGGTAACTTAGACTAACCTCTTCACAATTTCTTTGCTCTTTTGGTACCTTAGACTAACTTCCGTAGAACGCGCCCAATCTTTCTCGGCTTTTTCCTCGGCCATCCGAGGGCTCGGCTCGATCGTCTCCTGGATGGCGGCCCCGATGTCTTGGAAGCGCGCGTCGATGCCCGCTTCCTCTCAGGCGGAGGGAGGGGGGTAGGGTTCCTTTTAAAGGGATCTACAACGGGGCTCCTTTAAAAGGATCTATTAGGGTTCTATAATGAGGATCTATAGGGTTCAGAGTTTTTTGGGGCCCAGAGACTCCAACACCCCTTAATTAAGGAATGTACCTTAAATGATAAGGGGATTCATATTATGACTTAAGCTATACTCCGTAGTTAAGGGGTATTGGGCTCTCTGGGGTATCATAAGAAGGCACTATTATTTACCGGTTCTAAGCCGGATCATGTGCCCAGCGACCCCTATTCTGGTAAACAGTAAATTGCGACATAGTTGCCATAAAGATCAGGAGACACTATCCTACAGTCTCCGGAGCAACACACTTTCTGCCGTTCTTGATCTGATGTTTGTACATTGTCGTCTCAACAGTGATCGCTTCGCTGTTGCTAGCACGGTTGGGTTTCAAGGCAGAAGAGTTGCTGTTTTAGGGTTTAGGGTTTAGGGTTTAGGGTTTAGGGTTTAGGGTTTAGGGTTTAGGGTCAAGTAGCCTTGTTCGCAATTGCTGTTAGCACCGTCTCGGCATGGACTACATAAACAGACAGTAGCAGATGGAAGACACAAGACATCGGTCGGCTGATTAGGGCTGAGGGCTTCTGGGTTAGACGTCTACAAACCCATGAACTTGCCATCTACCTCACCATTCATCACCAATCAACTCCTGAAGCCAGGCCAACCAACCCGACAGGCGAAAACACATGAAGAAGCGATGGCATTAAGTCAGCATACATATCAGGATCGCGAACAAAGCAGCGTGAAACAAAAACTAGCCAAGGGAGGAACTTGACGGTTACCACCGCCGGATAGAAAACGGCAAGCTAGCTCACAACAATCATGGATCCAGCGCATGCTCTACGAAGCCATAAGCCATAAGCCTTTAAAACTGCATCAAGCAAAACTCAAAGTTATAACCCTACACCCCGAAAACCTAAACACCCAAACCTAAAACTAAACCTCGACACCACCAAAATTGACCGCTATACGGGCTCCAACAAGGTTCGAGGACCCGGGCTGCAGCATGAAACCCTATGCTACTACTTTAGGGGCTTCGGGGTTTAGGGCTTAGGGTTTAGGGGTGTAGGGTTTAGGGCCTTCACTTCTTAACAAGTAGAATAAAGCTTGGGCAAATTATTGTAGATTATTTAGGGACCATAAAGGGATGTATGATTTTTAAGTACTGTATAAGCCCCAGAACGACCAATACCAACACTTTAGACCAAAAATCCAACCCTTAGGATTTATGGCGCTTTGTGGTTTAGGGTCCTTTTCGGTGCTTGGGTGCTAGGGGCTTAGATTGTAAGATTTTGGTGTTTCTGGGCCGCTGAAGCCCTCAACTCCGACGAAAGAAGCACGAAGCACTGTGCCGCCTTGACTCCAGTGTTGGTTCCTGCCTGACTTGCCTCAATGATGGGGTCATACCTCCGGTTCCGGCAAGGAGGGGTTGGGTACGGGCTTATTGGGTTTAGGGTTTACTTTCGTCCCTATTGGGGTTAGGGATTATACTTGAGGGTTTATTAGGCGGTGTGGTTTAGGGGGCTGGATTCATTCTTCTCTGGTTTTGGGGGTTCTGGTTGGGCACCGTTTTGCTTCAAATGGCAGACAAGGGGACAAGGCATTCAAGACTTTCACATGAGAGAGAAAGGGAGCCTGAGGATTGAATTCTGATGCGGTTCAGGGTGTGCGGTTTAGGCCTGGGTGCTCAGGCTTGAGGGCTTACGCTCAAAGTGCAAGGACATTGGTGGGAAGTGCAGGTTAAGGCTTCACCGTCGGAGTTGACAAAATTAAGACGCGGCTCAATCTTACAATTTCTTGAATTTTTTCGGCACGGTCACCCACTCTCGAACTTCTTGAGGTGGTAGGTCTTCTCTTGCTGACTCTTGTTTGAAGATCCCAACACCGGCATCGACAAGCAGGACGGGTGCCGGTACGTGACATGCTCCACCTGGCTCTGAAACCTACACCTGTAGCCGTTCAGAACAAACCAGGCCTCTCATTGAAGGCGATGGTAAAGGCGCAGTCGACGATACGACCACCTGCCAAGCAGTACTATCGTACATAAAGCTACCAGGAAGAGAAGATCAAGCATATCATATCATACTAAGATAAATAACTTCAAACACAGACTATGGTACTATACTGTAACATAGTAGTAGTACAAGCTGCAGTGGCATAAATAACGAGGACGACGACCACGACCACAAAGGCGACGACAGAAATCTCAACAGGCGGAGATCACCTCAAGACAGGACGCTCACAGATCATCATAGAGAACCTGCAGACCCCTAAACTGCGAACCCTGAATCCTCCAGACTCCTGAAACAAGGAGAAGCCGGGGTTTGAGCCTACTTGAACACCGAAGTCCAACTTGCAGACGTCATCGTACTGCAAGACCTTGGTGGGAACTTTTGTCGGCGAAAGGTCTCAGAGTCTGAAGGTCACAACAGCACAGCACCGGAGCTTCTTTCGTCAATACTTCTTCTGCCGCAACCCTTTTTCACCCTCATTCTTCCGCGCATGGAAGTGCCACAGCTCGAGCTCGTGTTGTCAGCCTCCCGCACAGAGCACAAGTGAAGCAATCAACGCAGGCATCGGCTACGCAAAGCCGAAGGCAGCAACCGCAATGCAGGACAACTGTTTTAGCTGCTCCGCCAGGTTCTTCGCGTTAGGTTCTACGGTGAGATCAGATCGTCCAAAGCATCTCACTCCTCATCCTCGTCCTCCCCGGCAGCCTCCTTTGCTGCTGCTGCCTGGAGTTGCGGCTTCTGGAGCAGGGGAGCATCCCTAGAACTAAACCAGCCAGTCAGTCGACGACAGGAAGCTCCAGCGACGGGGAAGCAAAATGCTGCAGCAAGCGGAATAAGCTCTTCGGTGCTTAGGCTTTTGGCTGTCGGCTCTGTTTCGAAAGCCCTGCTCACTGACGTTAGGGGCTAAGCATGCAACTGGCTTAGAACCTCAGAGTTATAGACATGAGGATTGTGGTATACGCCAGGTTGAACTTCGCAATCGTAACGAGAAGGCAGTCACCTCGAGTTTTCCGGAGTTCCGGGGGGGTGCAGTGGGCCGACGAAGGGAAGGAGCTTTCGCTTCATGTGCGTGATCCGTGAGGTTGCCGGGGATGTACTCGGTACATCGGGCCCCAGGACGGCTGAATCTGTGTGCAAGCCGGCAGTTTGCAGCTATGAATTCCTACACTGCCCCTTCTCGAACCCTTTTGAACCGCTAGTAACGCTGAACCCCATACCCAAAACCCTACCTTAAACCCTCAACCCACCGCTTTAACCCCGAAACCCCAAACAACTCCCTAAGAAACCCCAAAAGCAAAACCTTAAGCCGAACACCCTAAGAACCCTAAATTTTGAACTCCTAATCCAAACCGCAATCCCCAACCCGCCTTCTTCGCAGCGTCGGCCGCAGCCCGGGCCTCAAAGGCCTGAAAAGGACTGGAAACAGAAGGAAGAGGGTTTTGGTTTAGGGATTATGGGATTTAGGGTTTAGGGTTTAAGGTGTTCGGCATGATAAACAGTCAGTGGGAAAAGTGAGCTGAGGGACTTCTTTTACTGCACCAGGGTTTGATAGAGGCTTGGAAAATGGTGAAATGGTGGGAAAGAGAAGAAGGGAGAGGGGCTTATCTGGAGATTCTCAGGCTTTAACAACCCTGGAGTCTAGGTTTGGAGGCTTATTGGTTGGATTGAGCCTTCGCGTCTGTGCGTTGCGTCTGGGGCCTTACTGGTTCTGAGCGAGTTGTAATTGGGTTTAGTATGATGATATACGGGATCTGCCAAGCTTTCTTTAAGGCTTGCAAGGGTTGTAGGCTTGCTAGGATTTGCGAGGCTGCGTGGCATCCATACACACATGCATGCATACCTGCCTACCTCCCTGCCCCAATGTTGCATCCTGAAGCCCCACACAGTGCCTTCATGAGGGTCTTGTAGAACGTCTCATCTCCCTTCTTGTTCGCCTGGCTCTCAAGCATTAAGGGAAAAAGGATGCAGGCCCCCGGGTTTAGGACATGGTCATCATCGCCATCATATCTTCATCATCTCCTGCTTCAGCAACATATACATCAACATCTTCGCCTTAATCAGCATCACCGCCACCATCATACCCAATACTCTAAGCCCTAGGTTAACATGATACATGTGGCATTCAGGCTTCGGATTTTACCGGAAAGTGCAAGTATCGAAAAGCTCCCAGTTTTCGCCGCCTGTTGAAAAAAGTATACGCTACACAATATAGTTGCCTACAGGACGAGTCGATGTAGCTGTAGTGTACTATATACTTATTGGGTCTGTAGCAGCAACAGCACCACCATCAACAGCAGCACCAGCGTCACCAGCACTTGCACCGGCACTTGCACCAGCACTTGCACCGGCACCGTCACCAGCACCACAGCACCACCGCCGGCGCCAGCGCCAGCACCCACCAATACCAGCACCCGCCGTTTTGTCGTAAGTTTTTGGCCAATGCCCCACTCCCTGACCCACAAAACCCTGGCAGCATCGACACACACGAGTTATCACAAAGAGCGCCAGAAAAATGAAAGGCAATTGAAATATGCGGCAGCCATGCTGATGCTAAGCATACCTTAGAATAACAAGAGAAGAAAACACGAAAGTAAGAAACCGCAAACAACAGCAATGTGACAAGCAGTACTAGTACTGGTATATTTTCAAACGAAACGGCGCAGGTCTCATTATTATTGCTATTCTTAGTACCGTTACTATCGTTGTTGCTGCTCTTATTATTATTGTTTGTAGTATTGGAACTGAGACGGCGCAGGTCCTTGTTGTACTTCTTGGACTCCTCGATGCGGGCCTTCTTGCTCTTCTGCACCTGTCGACCGCTTCATTGGCACCCAATACAGGGCCTGTTGCAATTAGAACAGGGTTCCTGTTTGAAGAGGTCTATAAGGGCGACTATAAGGGCTATTAAGAGGACTTAGTATAGGGGCCTTAAAGATTTCAATGGGGTTTTGGAGTATATTACAGTGTCATCATAATGAGGAGTCCCCACGATAGCACTGGGCCCCTATCCTACACAGGACAGAAACACCATCAAAACCCCATGCCTGGTCGTACTCGGCAGTGCCCTTCTCGGTGGCCTCTCTCGGAAGGCTGTGTGGCATACACATACACTGCATACACATGCACAAGCACAGAACACTTCTGCCTAGATCACACGCACACACAGCCACCACACACATCCCTAAGCCCTAAACCCTCAATACCCCCTAAACCCTGATACGCTTGAACCCCAAACCCTCAATAAACCTTGACCCATAACAAATAAACGCAAAACCTTGAACCCTAAGCTCTAGACCTGAACCCCAAACCCAGAATCCCTACCATGGACCCCTTAAAGGATCCTTTACAGGATCCCTTAAAGGATCCCTTAAGGGCGTGGGGCCTTCTTTGCCACGAGCTTTCGCTCGGCAGCTCCCGGGTTCAGCTCCTCCATGAGAGCCTCACAGAGGTCGAACTAAAGGGGGATGTAGGGGGTTCCTTTAAAGGGCTGTATAAGGGTACTACAACGGTAGTATGAAGTCGAAGGGGGCCAGGCTTGGGGTTCATGGGTCGAAGGTTTTGGTGTCAGGGATTTAGGGGTTTGGAGTTTAAGGGTTCACGCTTTGAGGATTTGGGGTTTAAGGATTTAGGGATTTGGAGCTTGAGGGTTTAGGGTGGTAGCTTGTGGTGGGAACAGTCAGGCGTTGGACGTTGTGCTGCTTGTCACATGCATCCCGGTCTATTCGCTGTGATCACTGTGGAGAGTTTGTGTCAGGCTGGCTTGAGTTTCTCAAACTAGGGGACGAGATGCCTCAACAAGTCCTTGCAAACAGAAGGCGGGGTGGCAAAAAAGGCATGGCAGATGAGATGAGTCCCCGGCCTTGTTCTTCAGGGCATTGGCCTTCTTCATGCTGGTGGGGGGCTCGACCTTGGCCCTGAGGACGGACTGGACCTCGGAGCTGTTGATGATCCTGGAGAGGTCGGCGTTCTGCATGCTGGCGCGGGGGAGGTGGTAGCCCTTCTTCATGGGCGCGCCGCCCTTGGCGGTTCCGTAGATCTCGGAAAGGCGCTTGAAGGCAGACTCGGTCCAGATGATGAAGCGGCCGAAGCTGCCTCCCGGAGCCAACCTAAGGAGGTTCAGGCGATCCACGTGGGCGGTCTCCACACCGGGGATGTTCCTCATGGCCTTGGTGATGCCGTTGTCCTCGTTGTAGATCACCAGAGGACCCAAGCGGCGGACATAGCGGCGGTTGCGTGCCTTGCCCTGGCCGGCACGGATCTTCTTGGAGTCCATGATCTTCTGCAACTCATCTCCGCATCCCAGCTTCTGGAGGGCCTGGACGGCGGCCTTGGTCTTGGTCAGGGACTCGATGCCATCGGAGACGACCAAGGGCAGCTCTGCCACTTTGCTGATGCGGTGTCCGCGGGCCATGACCAGCGGCGGCAGGCTGCTGGCAGCCAAGGCCACGGCCACGGCGTGGCGCTTCTTGGTCACGTTCACGCGGCGGTGCCAGCGGCGCCAGATGCGGGTTGGGTTGAACATGCCACCTCCGCGTGCCTGGTTGCCGAAGGCGGCCTGGCCAGCGCGGTGGGTTCCGCCACCAGGGGCACGGGGGATACGTGCCACAGCACGGCCTGTGCACCAGGACTCCGCGGCGGTGTCGTAGCCAGCCTTGGCGCTGACTGCATAGGCCTGGCGCTTGTTCTTGGCCATGTTCATGTGCACATCGCGGACGAGGTCAGGGCGGAGAGGGGAAGTGAGGACATGGGGCATCTTCACTGTTCCGGTCTTCTCCGTGGGGTTCTCGAAGTTGAAGACAGAGACCAAAGGCCGTGCGGTTGCCATGGCTGCTCGAGTGTCCAGCGACTATCGGGGAGAACTTCTAGGCGGAGGCTTCAGCCAATAACCTTCGCGCGTGCAAGCAGTCAGATCCCGAGACAAGGAACGCTTCCTTCAAAACTCACGAATACTCCGGACGGTGCACACTACTGCTAATTGGACATGGACTGAATACGATCTGATGCTTCTATGCACCTGCTCGCTCCAAAGCTATCCTGCGTTACTTGCTTCATGCAAATGACCGCAATGGAGGTAGGTGAGGCTTTCATAACATAGTCAACTGGACTCCGCCGCAACAGATGGACTGCTTGCACCCGGCCTAGCGAGCTTCTTTTCGCAGGGTCGCATCGAGATCGTACACCATCTCCCGCACTTGTCCGCTTCTTATCCCTTTTCGCCAACGTCAATGTGCACTCGGAACAGAATGCTGAAACCTGAAGAGTTTTTGCTCACCAAGTCTAACCCTGACTGTCTGGCCGATCAAGTGGACTCCTAACTGGCTACATGAAGTCTTGCATGATGACCCTACTTTGGACATGTTTGAGCCAGAAGACATCACGGAAAGGCTCAAAGCCTCGAAGAGTGCGAGCCCAAGTCGATTTCCGGGCACTCGCAACGAAATTCCCCTCCAAAAGAACCTTTGGGGTTTAGGCATTCCCCGCTAGTTACAGGTTCATGGGACTTAGATGGACATAGTAACTAGGGTTACGCATAAGGCAACTATACTTATGAGGTACTTTTCACCTTACTAAGTCCCATGATCCTTCAAGTAGATTGAGCCTCGTTGCGCTTCCGTCTCCCCCTGAGCTGCCTTCTCACCATAAGGCTTTAATCAATATACGAAAACTTTCTCGATTTTTATCGCATATTCACAACTTACGATAGTACACCGCAATATACTCAAGTGTACAATAGTCCGCATTCTAGTATAGACTAGTATAATATCCTATCTTGTGGTGTATGATGACAGCCTTTTTTGTAATACATTATGGTATCTTACAATCATAGCAGACCATAGAAGCCTTGCTTTGCAAGCCCCTGGCAGTTTCGTCTCCGTAGTTCGGAGTGTAGTGGGCGGCCACCTGGCACAGACATGCAAAGACCGGGTGTTGGAGCTTCTCCGGCAGTGGAGGGTCCCGTTGGGCTGTAGGCCTTGGGCTCTAATGCTGTAGGACTGTACTTAAAGGATCACGGGACTTAGTAACTAGGGTTATAATTGGGGTAACTATACTTATAACTACTTATAACCCCAATTAAGGTACTTATAACCTGACTTACTAAGTCCCGTGATCCTCCAAGTAGGGGCTTGAGGGATTTAGGCTTTACGGTTTAGGGCTATGGGGCCGTTAGGGTTTGCGGACGGTGTGTGTGGAGTTTCGGCCTTGGGGTGCATGGTTTGCAGCCGGAAATGATTGCAACACTACCGCATTTAGAAGGGTCTTCATAATGAGAACAGGATTTAGGCAGATCGTGCGTATCAGACGGGTCCTGGTGGGGTCTAAATTTTTTTCCACGCACAAGATCTTTCCATGCTTTGCGGTACAACATCAGCATATAGGGACGGTAAGGGACAGTTGCATGCGATGTTCTAAACCCGACACCCTGAAGCCAAAGGCCAAAGCCCCAAGCAAACTGCAAATCCGACGCCCCACCTGGACGATCATAGGACTTAGTACCCAAGGCTGCAAGTATCGAAAGTATCGAAGCAGACCCCAAACTCAAGTTCAACCAGAAAACGACCCAAACCCCAAGCTCCAAGTATGAAGACCTAAACCTGCAGAATGCAGCACTCCACATCACACCTAAGCCCTGAATAGATTCACGGTAAAAACAAACACCCCCAAATCCGACAATATAGGGGCCGTAGTGACTAGACCGGGGATTTGCGGGATGTTATACTATACTTTTATTATAACTTTTTTCGTGAATATCCGCAGATGTATTTCAACGCCTAACTAAAACATGGCGCGCTGGCCCAGTTGAGGGAGCAACCTTAGCTCGCTCGGGCTTCATGGGCTTAGGGCTTTAGGGCTCTAGGGTTCAACCTTTCAGGCTGTAAGTAGCCGCTCCAGGATTTTATGGACTTTCTATGACTAGACCCAAGAGTAACCTAGGAATAAAACGGGTGCCCTTTCTGGTTTAAAGGGGCTTATAATAAGGCAACCTAAACCCTAAAAAAGGGAATAAGGGCCTACTCTGGGTCCCTTGATTGAGGAATATACCTTAAACTATAGTAGGATCCCTACTATGAGTTAAGGAACATTCCTTAATTAATATACCCTAAACTACAGTAGGATCCCTGATATGAGTTAAGGAACATTCCTCAATTAAGGGACATTACTCTAGGTCCTCGACGGTGTTTAGGACTTAAGGCTTAATGGGGCCCCAAAAAAGCACATAAGCAAAAATGAGGGTAGGGACGTCCCATATAAATCCCCTTATAATGAAGCCCAATAAGGTAGGCATATCCCCATAAAATGCTTATGCTTATGTGCTTTTTGGGTCCCTGACTTAAGGCTTCGGACTGGAGGCTTCGAGCAGGCGTCTCCAGGGGTTACAAAGCTTCTGCTTGGAGGATCATGGGACTTAGTAAGGTGGGCCTTAGGGTTTAGGGTTCCTTTAAAAGGGATCTATAAGGGTTCCTATAATGGGATCTATAAGGGTTTAGGGTCTACTTAACGGATCATGGGACGTAGTACATAAGTTATAAGTACCTTCAGTTGGGGCTGTAAGTATAGTTATAAGTATAGGTTATCCTAATTATAGCCCTAATTACTAAGTCCCATGATCCTTTAAGTGGCTTCTTGGTGTAAGAAACAAACAGCTTTGGGGTTTGGGGTCTAGGATTCCAGGTTTAGGGTTTTGGGTTTAAAATCAGCTTTTGGAGTTTAGAGTTTAGGTTTGCAGTTTAACACGCACGGAGGAGTTGTTCAAGGTATTTTGCATGTTCGAAGTCTGGATTTAAGGTTTAAGTGTCGGCTTTCAGGTTCACGTCAACCTACCATAGCATAACTATCCTTCTGTTGCCTCCGTATAAACACTAAGTGTTTAGGACCCCCTCCGAAAAATCGGTTCTGGCTGCTCAAGCTGGGCTTAGGGTCAGTAGTGCCTAAGCCCCCAAGCCCGCGAACCCCGAAGCCACGCCAATTCCCAAAAGAAGCCTCCTTTCCTTGGCTGACTGCTGAAGTTAACTTTTAGCCTCCTTATTATAGTTCATATAGAAACCCAAAAAGTTAAAGTCTAAAGAGCCAGCCAGAAGAACGCCAAGTTTCATCTCTCTCGCCGCAACCTATGATCCCCCAAGCTCCAGCCCAGCCCAGACGAAGTGACACCCAAGAGCCCCGAACACAAAACATCAAAGCCTTGATCTTGATCTCCTAACCCGAGAGACCCCAAGCCCTGAACCCCACACGCTAAATCCTAAACCCCCAAAAGTAGGTCTACACAGGTTTGGGCTCGACGTAAGAACCCTCGGAACCCGTAGCTGAGACCGGGTCCTGTGGGGAAGCCCCATCCTGCTTCCAGACCGTTCGCCTGGGAGGGGGAGACCCGCGTGTAGAAGCCTACATAAGTACCAAAAAATCCTGTTCCTGGTATTAAGAATAATCTTAAGGAGCACAAACCCTATTCTACATACTCGGACGCCAACATTATAGAACCCTTATAGATCCTTTATAGACCCTTTTGAAGGAACCCTATGCTGATTCTTCAGGCCCCTACATTGTAGAACCCTTATCGACCCCTTTTAAAGGAACCGTATTCCAATTCTTCAGGCCCCTTAAGTTAGATCCCGAACCCTCGGCTTCGATCGCCGGCTTCGCCCCAGAAGGTTTAGGGCGTCGGGGGTTTAGGGGCTTAGGGTTTAATTAGGGTCTCTAGGGCATAGGGTTCAGGGTGTGTAGGGTTTAGGGCTACTAAGGGTTTAGGGTTCAGGGGTTTAGGGTTTAGTGCGTCGGGTTCAGGGGTTTAGGGTTTAGGGTCAGGGTTTGGCATTTCGGGTTTTGGTGTTCCGGAGTGGGGCGGGGATGGGAGGAGAGACACTCAGGTTTCCTGAGGGTTCGGCGCATATATATGGGACTTCTGGGGTATACAAGAGTCAGTGTGCAATTACAAAAAGGGACCATATTTTTGACAACCACCCATATACCATAATATACCCTTCAGCCGAGGGTTCCCGACTCTCGGGCTGCTTTTGTGGTTTAAGGCCTTTGGGGGTTTAGGGCTTTGGGGGTTTAGGGTTTAGGGGGTTTAGGGTCTAGGGCTTCTGGGGTTAGGGCTTTGGGGGTTTAGGGTTTTGGGGTTTAGGGGTTTGGGGGTTTGGGGTTTAGGGCTACGGCATTTAGATACTGACGGACTGGCGCTCCTGTTCTCCGCGGTCCGAGCAGGAGTAGAAACCCAAGCCGAGCCCTCCTCTGAAGCTTCAGGCGGGCTGACGGAAGGAACTACCTTTGGTTAGTAGGGAATGGAAGAATGGTAGTAATAGTAGTTATATGGTAGTAATATGATGGTAATATGGTAGTAATATGGTAGTAATAGTAACTAGAATTGTAGCCCATTCTTCCATTCCCTACTAACCAAAGGTAAGAGGAGAGTCGCAAGATTTCCCTGTTGCCGTGGGAAAGCTGCCACCGCTGTCCAGGAACAACGAGCAGAGCACCCTAAACACCAAGCAAACCAATATAGGTGCCTTAGTAATTAGAATCAGGTGTTGGGGTATACTATAGCAGTAATTGAAACAGATCCTAAGGATGAGCAGATTCAGACCTTTGCATTGCGTACACCTGTTTAAGCCGTTGGCTTTCCAAGTTGGTTCCCTCAAGACAAAGGCGCAGCTGCATGTCGCTGCTTTTCAGGTGCCAGCACGACCAAGAAAGCGTACTTGCCATCGTTCGCTAAATCCTCATATGCCGGACTCCATCAGCAGCTGCACAACTTCAGCATGGCCTTGTCGAGATGCCACCATCATAGCATTCACACCTCCATTGCTGGTTGAGTTCTTTCCGGCACAGTCCTCTAACAGCAAACGCACAACTTCTGTGTGGCCACCGCAAGAGGCTAACATCAAAGGGGTCCAGGAGTCGTTGCTGGATGAGTCCTTGTCGGCACCGTCTTCCAGCAGCAAACGCACAACTTCAGCATGGCCTTGCTGAGAAGCAAGGATCAGGGCAGTGCAGCCGATCTCGTCAGCCAAGTCCTTCTTGGCACCGGCCTCCAGCAACGACTGCACAACCTCAGCGTTTCCAAAGTAAGAAGCCAGCATAAGGGCGGTCCAGGACTGGTCGTCTGCTGCGTCTTTGTCGGCACCGTGCTCCAGCAGCAAACGAACTATTTCTGCCTGGCCTCGTATAGAAGCCATACTCAAGACGGTGATGCTTTGGATGGCCGTGTTCTTGTCGGCACCGGCCTCCAGCAACGAACTCACAACCTCAGTGTGGCCCTGGTGCGATGCCACCCACATGGCCATCCCTTCCACCCCCAGTTCAACTTCCGCTAAGTTCTTCTCGGTACCGTCCTCCAAGAGAAGATTCACAATTTCAGCATGGCCTCGTACGGAAGCCCAGATCAAGGCCGTAAGGCCTTGGCTCTCTTCGAAGCCCTTCTCGGCACCGGCCTCCAACAACAAGCGCGCAACTTCGAGATGGCCTTCTTTAGAAGCTGCCGTCAGCGGAGTTCTGCCTTGCGCATCGACCACGTCTGGATCTTGGGGCCACTGCAGTATGGCCTCAACCTGCCGGCAGGCCTAATGTAGGGGCCTTAATGGGGCCTTAATAATCAGAATAGGGTTTTGGTTCCTTATTATAGTTACAATATACCACCAAAACCCATTCAAATTATGAAGGCCCCTACATTACAACCTTGAGGCATCTGGGAAGCACACCGACTCTGGGAATGCTAAGGGTCTACTTATGGGGAAAACAGGCCTCGGATATAGAGCCACTCGCGGCGGCAGCCACGAGCTCGTCAGCTTGCGCCCCTGTTGTCATCAGAGAAAGCAGGACCAGTTCCAATGCCATAGACACGTCCAGCTTGAGAGAATCATCCAGGGGAACTGTTTGGCCACATAGAAAGAGTCTCTGCCTGAAGCGTGTCGGCAAGCCATACTGCCGACTCAGTTGATGCTTCAGTGTCTTGACATCGCCTGATTCCTCCAGAGGTATGCTCGCCAGCCCTTCCCCTGACAGCATCCTGACATGCAGCATTGCGCTCGCCGTTAGATTTCTCGCAGGGGCCCGATGTTTCGCCGAATGGACGGACGGCGGTGAGAATGAAAACTATAGGCGGCAAACGCGGTACCCGGGTGTTCTACACGGTGCTGTCTTGCTTGCTGCGCTCACACCGCTTGGTGGGCGCCGGAGCGAATCGAGCCGCATCTTCACGGTGCCCTGAGTTCCACGGCAAGGACTCCGAATGGCAATTGTAAGGCATACTTAAGTTAAAGCGGTAGAACAATCTACACCCTCAACACCCCCACCACCCTAGAGCCCCACTCCCGCATGCCAGGAATGAGATTCAGCGACCCTATAAACCCTATAAGCTAAGGGTGGAAAGCTTCGTGGTGGATCTCCGTGGGTGCTGCTACAACTTTGCGACCTTCAACCCAACAGGCCTCCACCTCAAACCCTGAACCCCAAACCTATATACCCCCCCCCCTTAGAACCATAATAAATGTAGTAGGTTTAATATTCTCTCGGGTTTTGTATGAACAAAAACAAAAAAACGATTCCTAAAGTAAAAAATAACTCCTAGGAGACTCTAGAAGCCCTAAACTTAAATCCCTAAACACCACAATACCTGTTTTCAGGAAAAGTGAGGGCCCGAGAATAAAGCTCGAATTCCTGTTAGACGGATCCCCGAAACCACGGTTTGCTAGTTTTGACGCATCTCCACAAACATCCTCAGAAAATCAGAGCCTCAGAGCCCTAAAAAGCCGCTGCCAAACCCACCGAACCCTTGCAAAGAGCCGTGCAAGAACCCATGGATTCCCGGAAAAAGCAATGCAAAATTCCGAGATTCATGAAAAGAGCACCCAGGGCTCCGGCTACTACCAACTCGTGGGTTTTTCTCTCCAGGCGTTGGCAGATCTCCGTCATCTTCAACCCAGGCTTCACGAAGGACTGCACGTACCTCTGAAAAGGGATTTTTTGGGGTTAGCGGTGCAGGATTTAGGCTTTAAAGGTTTACAGTAGAGGGTTTAGGGTTTAGGTAGGGCTGACGGCGTATGGTTCCGGGTTAGGGGTGTGAGAAAACCAGCGGCGGCTATAAAGCGGGTTGTATGGCCAGACCTAAGAGTAACCTCGGAATAAAAAGGGTGCCCTTTTTGGTTTAGCGGGGGTTGTAAGGAAACCTAAACCCCAAAAAAGAGAATAAGGGCCTACTCTGGGTCTCTTAATTGGAATATACCTTCAAGTATAGTAGGATCCCTAATATGATGTAAGGAATATTCCTTGATTAGGGACATTGGAGTCTCTGGTTGTATGGAGTCTCAGCTTCAGGAGAGCAGACCAGCAGAAGCATGGCAGCACAGGCGACTGAATAAGGTTTTGGGGTGTATACCTCTGTGTGTGTATATATATACACACATATACACAGATAGAAAGATACATAAATAGATAGATAAATAGGTGGACAGATAGATAGATGTACATATACATATTTTACTGTATACACATGGAATATGTGTATATATATATATACATATTATGTATGTATGTGCAGTATATGCATACATATACACAAACGTATGTGTGTGTGCATATGTATATGTATACATATATATATATATATGTATGTATGTGTATAAATATATATACATATGCGTGAGTACAGTTCGTACACTAAACTTTTTGCGTACAACTCGACAGGGAGTGTTGGAGGGATGTTATAACTACTCTTGGGCGAGAACAAGATAACCTTCCAGGAAACTAGTTATTATAGGCCAGTCAAAGCAGAGATCCTGCTGTTTCTGTGCCCTCCACGACCACAAAAAACTCAAGGCTGAGACTGATCATGCTTGGCTGTTGCGAGGACCGTGAGCTCGCTTCGCTGTTGCTGCTGCTGCTGCTGCTGCTGCTGCTGCTGCTGCTGCTGCTGCTGCTGCCCGTATTGTGCCATGACATTCGTGCTGGCATCAAACAGATAAGGGCGTTTTCCCTTGCGATGGCACCTGACGGGAATACACAGTGACAAGACACTTCTCAGGATGAGGAGCAGGATCAGGACCATCATCATCATCATCAGCATCATCATCAAATGGTGATGGTCCTCATCATCATCACACCCATCATCATCATCATCACCATCACCACACCAGCACCGTCACCCCGTCACCAGCACCAGGAGCGAACCTGCCATCTTGGCATCACCCCAAACATCAAGAAGACCTCCCATCAGCTTCCCATTCCTTTGCTCTCTGGGACTCCCCGCTTCCTGACCTGGCGATGGACCTCAGCTTTAGGCTTGAGGGGTTAGAGGGCCTTGTAGTGGTTGCTTCAGGGGCTGTTTAGGGATTTTAGATTTTAGGGTTTAGGGTTTAGGGATTTTCGGGTTTGGGGTTTAGGGTTCAGGGTTTACGGCCTGGGGGGTTTGGGGGGTCTACGCCTTCGGGGGTCGGGCGCAGGGGGGTTTAGGGCGAGGGTTTAGGCTTCCTGTTGATGGACCTCTCCGGCTTTGCGGATCTTCTCGTAGTCGTAGGACGCGAGCCGCTCCATCTGGCAGGACACGGCATGAAGGAATCCCAGAGAACCGGAACTCTTCTTGCGTTCTGAAACCCAAAATCGGCTTTTTCGAAACCTGAGGAACCTGTCCAAACCCTTCAAGAAACCAGGATGCTCCAGCCTCACGCTTCTCCGCAGATGTCGTCCGGAAGGCGTGCGATCCGACGTACCTGGCTACTGCAGAGCCTTGAGAACTAGAACAGGGTTTTGGGTATATTGTACTATCATAACAAGGAACCCAAAGGAATAATATTGGCAATTATTCAGACACCTATAGCACTTGACAGAGTGAAGGGGGCTTAGGCTTTGGGGTTGAGAGTGAGGGGTCGAAAGGCTTATAGGGATTTGGGACTGCCCGAGGTTTGGGACAAAGGAGCAGATAGTGGGGTTCGGAACTCTCTAGCATTATACATGATCATGATTCTAGATGGCCTTCGTAATCCCACCACGTTTGCCAAAACCTCGTTTGGCCTCCGTCCCCTAACCCGAGAATCTTGGACTCGCAACCGCTAATAGGGGGGCCTCAATATTTGGAATAGGGTTCTGGGGCCCATTTTACTCTAATTATAGTAAGGAGCCTCCAAAATAATATAGGTAACTATTTAGGCTCCTATGTTATCCCTAAACCGCACACGATGGGTGGGAGAGCACTCGACGCATTCCCCGAAAGGAAACTGACTGTCAGGATATTGCTCGCTGACCTTGGCAGGCAAACACTGCCTAGGAGTTTAGGGATTTTGGTTCAAGGCTTAGGGTGTTCGAATTTTTCGGAAACCTGAACCCTGAAAAATTCCCTAGACCATTCTTCATGCGGCTGATGGATGGAATCCTACGTGACCTGAAAAACTCTAGACCATGGAAGGACGGTCAATCCCTTGTAACTTATATCACATAAAGCCCTAAACTCCAAAAACTCCGCACGTTACCTCAAACTCGCAAAGGTTTGACATGGACAGGCAGATGCAATCGAAGGGTAGAACTTCCGAGCCCCGTTTGAACCTTGGGGCCTTGGGGGCATGGCCCCATATAAGCTTCTACAGGTATTTTCGTGCTGTAAGCGTTGTATGGGGTCTTGTCGGAATTTCAAATGGGCTGCACGCACTCATATGCAGGCCCTAGGAAATTTCATGAGTAACGGGCTGGTGCCGGCCCAATGTAAACTCTCTTCATACCTCTACTCGTAAAAGAAAGGCTCTAACCGGAAAGCATCAACCAGACACCAAAACCAGGAAATCCCGAAAAGTCCTCAAGCCCATATTAGTTGAACCCTGAAGACCCGAACCCCAAAAATCATAAACCTTTCCCCCAAGAGAGAACACTTAGCCCCAAATTCATGGCAAAAGGCCTGACAACAAACCCTCAACCCTAAACCCCAAACCCTAAACCCCACTAAATCCAAAACCCGAAGCCTTCTCCGAACACTAAACCCAGGCACTGCTGTACACCTGCAAGCAACCTTTAAATAAAGAACAAGCCAAAGCCCCTTCATTCAAAAAATCAGCCGTATTCTGAATCATGAACCGAAACCCTAGACCCGGAACCCGAAACCCCAAACCCTGAACCCGAAACCCTTAACCAAAAGCCTTCTAAACCCTAAATCTCATAAACCCTACCCTAAACCGTAAACCCTAAACCTCATAAACCCTAAACCGTAAGCCCTTAAACCCTAAATATCATAAACCCTGCACCGTAAACCCTACACCTCATAGACCGATCCATAAACCCCTACCTGGACCCAAAAGTATGTAGAATAATAGCCTTTTATAGGTGTTAGGCCATTATTTTACCTACTTTTGGGGGTCTAGGTACACCTCATAAGCCGATCCATAAACCCCTACTTGGAGGATCATGGGACTTAGTAAGTAAGGTTATAAGTACCTTAATTGGGGATTAAGTAGTTATAAGTACAGTTACCCTAATGATAACCCTAGTTGCTAAGTCCCATGATCCTTTAAGTACCCCTAAGCCTCCCTTGTAGAAAACTTACAGATCCCTTTTAAGGAGCCCTTTAAGGAACCCTAGTTACTGAGTCCCATGATCCTTTAAGTAGTCCTCTGCCCAGCAACACTAAACCGTCAACCCTTAAACCATAAATCTCATAAACCCTAAACCTCATAAACCCTAAACCCTAAACCTCATAAACCCTAAACACTAAACCTCATAAACCGATCCCTAAACTCCTAATCCTCTGCCCGGCAACGGGAATATCGAAGGCCGGGCTCTGCCGCGACGTGGGCACCGCAGCCCAGTTTCGGACTCGCCGGAGGGCGCTGTTGTCCTGTGCGCGTTTCTAAACAATTCCTTAGAGGGTTCCTTGAAGGTATCTATAAGGGTTCTACAAAGGGAGGATCATGGGACTTAGTAAGTAAGGTTATAAGTACCTTTAATTGGGGTAAATAAGTAGTTATAAGTATAGCTACCGTAATTCTAACCCTAGTTACTAAGTCCCATGATCCTTTACGTGTGGGCGTTGAGGGTTTGGGGGCTTAGTGGCTTAGGGCTAAGGGGTTCTGGGTTTAGGGGTTAAGTAAGGGTTTTGGGGTTTAGGGCTTAGGGGTTAGGTTTAGGGTTTGGGGGTTAAGGATTTAGGGCTTTAGGGTTTAGGGCAGTGGGTTTAGGGGAGAAGGGTTTATATAGGCTTTCGGAAACATCGACAGGAATGCCGGGGGTTAAAGTTCAAGGCTGCTGAAGGTTCAGAGTTTATAGGATCTTGCGGTGCTTTTTTTCTTGATCGGGGCTGGGGATTTGGGTGTCCGGCCTCTGTTGATTTTCCAGCGGTCTCTTGAGATCTTAGACGGTTCTTGCAGAGTTTACAGTACTCTTGAATTGTGCAATACTTGTTCTCAAAGACCCATTCTTGACGGCTTTAGAGCTTTATATCAACTGCCAGAGTAGAGTTCTTTTCGTGTTTCAAGCATAGTAAAGATCTTGGCTGGGCTTCTTGATAGAACTTCGAAGCTTGAAGAAGGTCCTTGTAGGCACTATCGAGAGATTACAAGGGAATGCTCTCAATGAGAATTCCTGCCCCTGTGCAACCCAATGAACCTCAAGGGATTGTCAGGTGAAATTTGGGTTGTGGATCCGAACTTGCATAAACCCTGAACCCTAAACGCTCAACTCTAGGCTGTAGAGCTAGAAGGCCGCATGAGCATGTTGGGCGCCAGGACTCCACGGTTTTGTGGCCTTCATGTCTTAGAAAGTAGCTCCTGACGATGTTTGTTTACAGGTTCCAACTGTCGAACTGCTTAAGTTGCATGGGACACTGCAACCTCCAGTCCCAGAGCTGCGGGTTCAGGGGTTTGGGGTTCCCTTTTGTGCCAGTCATGGCAAGTCTCGCCAGGATGGAAAGTCCCTCGCGCAACGCAGCGGGCTAATAGTTAGAGTAGGGTCTCGGGGTATAGTATAGTACAATTTCGACAAGGGTCCCTACAAGTATTCAGGCTTCATGTGGGTGGTTGTCAAAATTAGGGTCCCTTTCTGGGTCCCTATTATCATACGGCACCTATTATTTAGGGTACCCAAAAGGGGACCTTGATTTTGACGACTACCCATGTAAAAGGAATTGAAAAATTGCTGTAAGGTGCTAAAGCTCCTTGCCGCAAACAGGATATTTCCAGATATTAGGGACCCTAACCGGCGAATATCCGGGCCTTAATAAGTAAAATAGGGTTTTGGAGCCTGCCATCATTACTATAAATATAATAAGGAACCCCCAAAAATAGTATAGGTAATTACTAAGGCCCCTATGATAGGCTCCGCGAGGTCTCGGCTTCTCTGCGTCCTGCTCCGGGATGTTGAAAGCTTTTGCCCCGCCACCTCCTCCGGCCTGGAAGAGAGATTCAGATACTTTCGGATAGTTAGGACAGAAGAGAAAAAAAGAAAATAATAATAAAGAAAGCAAGAAAAAAGAGAGAGATTCTGATACTTTCGGGGCCTTCGTAGTTAGGACAGAAGTCTTGGGCTATCTGCTGGTATAAATATGAAAAAAGGAGCAACAACATGAGAAATTGCTTATGTCTGCCACCTGGCTTGGAGCGGGGTCGCCGGGTCTGGGGATGTGAACAACAGCATAAAATGACCTGCTCCGGACTCCAACTTTACTTTAAAAACGGCACGGCAGGGTGCTGAGATAGAGAGGCAAGGCATCAGTCAGTGGCACGGGAATCATAGCCGTCATGACCTGTAGAGAGGCAAAGGACGCTTGGCGCTTGCCGTAGGTCACGCTCAGCCCTCTTCGTTCACTTCTCGTCACAGAAACCCAGCAGCCCTGCACGAAGCGGGTTTAGGGGCCTTAGGCCCTGAACCCTGAACCCTAAACCCTGAACCCTGAACCCTGGTCTCTTTTTTAACACCACAGCGCATTGCGAGGTCCCTGTGGCTTCTGTGCGCTCTCCTCGCTCTTCCTGCCGACTTCGCCTGGCGTCATACTTGGAGGATCATGGGACTTAGTAAGTAAGGTTATAAGTACCTTACTTGGGGTTATAAGTATAAGTATAGTTACCCTAATTATAACCCTAGTTACTAAGTCCCATGATCCTTTAAGTAGGGTTTAGACGTCCTGCGTCCTGGACTCAGTTTCACTCAAACTGCTGCAGAAATGCCAGCATCACTTGTCGCGGTTTCGATTGCTGTTGCTCCCGTCGCAATGGTTTCGCTTACGCGTTGAGTTCGTGGTTCTTGCGACGCAGACGATGACGATGCCGGCAACGACGACTGACGACGACGAAGCCGACGCAGACTGACGGAATCGATATTATCAGAGCAGGTGTCAGTGTCAGTGCCTCTACTAGGGTCTGCAGCAACCACAACGACGAATAGGAGAGCAAAGAACAGCTTTGGCGTTGCACAGCATCGATATCGTCGTCATCATCTTTGTGCTCCTCCTCATCGTCATCACCACCATCGTAAAAAGACCATCAGAATCATCATCACCATAGTTCTCATAGCCACGGTGGGGAGCGCCATAACTAGCCATCAGCATATTCACCCAGCTCAGGTGCTCGTGTTCGCGATCACCATCAGCATACGTTTACTCTTGTCCTTGTCCTATTCATGGTCGTCAAGAGCAAAGTGGCCTTTCGCGGGCTTCGACCCCGCGTCCTTCTTTCGGGACCTGAGGCTTGACACATCAGCACGGCTCATGGCACTCACTGCGGTCTTCGCACTCGCAACCTCCTTTGCAGTCAGGAGGCGCCCCGACCACGCCACGCAAGGCACCCTGCAGCAGCCGGCTCCCACCAGGATTGGCCTTGCTGTCCTGTGGAGGGCTCAAGGGACCAACTGCTCTCGTCGAGCAAGTCGGGCTTCATTCCATGATCCCTAAACCCTGCTTAAAGGATCATGGGACTTAGTAACTAGGGTTATAATTAGGGTAACTATACTTATAACCACTTATAACCCCAAGTAAGGTACTTATAACCTTACTTACTAAGTCCCATGATCCTCCAAGCAGGTATAGAAACCCTAAACCCCAACACTACCCTTATGGTACCCTTATAATGCCTGGCACCCTCATAATCCCCTTTAAACCCTAAACGCCCGCAGGACAACAGCGTATAAACCGTATACGTCCTTGGGCCTGGTGTCTGGCTGCCTGCCAGGGAGGCTGCAAAGACCCAAAAGGCAAAGTTTAGGGTTTAGGGTTTAGGGATTGGGGTTTAGGGTTTAGGGATTAGGGTTTAGGGTTTAGGGTTTAGGGATTAGGGTTTAGGGTTTAGACTTTTGGAATTTCAGGTGAAGAGACTGGAGGGCAGGATCTGGAGTTCAGGCCAGTCAGTTGCCAACCCACTTACTTCTAGCGCTCCGGTGGTATATGGGAGTTTCCGAACATAGGGGACCCTTAAAAAGTATCCTAAATAGTAGGATGCTTACTATAAGGACCCCAAAAGAACGTACCCTAAATGGTAGGATCCTTGTTACAAGGACCCCAAAATGAGGCAACCCCTCATTTTCGGAAACTCGAAACCCTCATAGAGCCCTTTGAAGGAACCCTTATACGCTAAGGTAACCCTACAGCAATCTTTGGAAACTCCCAATACGGCCACAGCCGAGCAATGGGGCCTCTCCGACAGAGAGGGCCGCTTGGCAGGCGGCGTCTCTTTCTCAGCTGCAGGGGCCTCAATGAATGATGCTGGCAGTTTTTCTTTCAGAGTCAGTGGATGCTGGCAGTTTTAGGGCTTAGGGTTTAGGGTTTAAGGCTCCCTAAACCCTAAACCCTCAAACCAACAAAAGAAAGAAGAGTAACAACAACCACAAGCACGACCACGGCCAGCAGCGCGGAGAATGATCATAAGCTTTGTGCGTGTTGAATTTGGGGTCACGGTACCAGTAGACGCGGAACTTGGATACGAAACATGCAACGGAAAACTGGAATCAAGGCCGTCTCACGGTGGTTGGTTTGTGGATGCGCTTAGGTTGAGAGAAGGAACGAACTCATTTGCACCATGAGCATCAATAGCCGGAACCCGGCTTTTCATGGGCTCTTGGAACAAGCCACGCAGAAGATCATAATGAATCAAAACTATCATTACCATGAAGAACTTACGTACTACAATGAAGCTAATAGTGTCATTGGCTCTTGCAAGAACGCTACTGCTAGTGAAACTGCCATTTGCAGCCTGGTTATGTATGTTGCGTGTCCTTTCTCACTGATTGTTGTCTACAATCCTTGATCAACCCGCTTTGCCAGTTACCATCCTTTATTGACACGAGTCATCACTCACCGCTATTCGCTATTTACAAGTTACCAGCATTTGGGTAGTCCTCTAGGCAGGGTTCCTTTTAAGGTCCTTTTATAAGGGTGCCGTACTAAATTTTGGGGACAGTAAAGGTGACCCTAAAAAACTACCCACTTAGCAACACTATACCTCATCCTGTCACGATTCACCGGAACTATAAGCCCTATACCCAAGACCCCTAAATACTAAACCCCTAAACCCTGAACCCTAAACCCCTAAACCCTAAACCTGAAGCCCTACCTGGACCCCAAAAGTATGTAGAATAATAGCCTCTTATAGGTTTTGGGCCATTATTTTTCCTGCATTGGGGCGTCTAGGTAGCCCCTGAACCCCTGAACCCGTAAACCCTAAACCTAAAGCGCCTAAACCCCTAAACCCTAAACCCTTAACCCCAAACCCTAAAGCCCCTAAACCTCAAGCCCTACTCACCGGCCTTGAAGGAGCCCTATATTATAGTACCTTATAGTAACCCCTATAGGTCTCTTTAAAGGAACCCTACTCGAATTCTTAAGGCCCCTACGCACCCACCGGCCTTGAAGGAGCTCGCCGACTCCGAGTCTGAGGAGGAGCCCAAGGTGGGCATCGGCGGTGCGGGCGGCGGCTTCCGCTTCGCCTCGTAGCCTTCTTTGAGGCTCGGGGTCTAAGGGTTTAGGGGGTTTAGGTGTTTAGGGGTTTAAGGGTTTAGGGGTTTTAGGGGTTTAGGTGCTTCGGGGTTTAGGGTTTAGGGTTTAGGGCTTAAGCCGTAAAACCTAAAAGGCCCAAATTCCTAATACCCTATCAGGGCTTAGGTTTTAGGGCTTAAGGTTTAAAATGGCCCTAAATCCTAACTAAACCCCAAAGCCTCAAGCCTTTGAGGCCCTCGGATGCTCTTATGTTTGGACTTCGGGGGTCTACTGCAAGGGCCTTAATAATTAGAATAGGGTTTTGGGGCCCAGTATACTATAACTATAATAGGGAACCCCCAAACTAGTATAGGTAATTACCTATAGCAACTCCCTACTTCGGGGGTCCAGGCTGCAAGCTACAGGGAGCCTGCCGAAGCTGCGGATGGGAGCTTCTTCGCCCGGATCTGCCGCAGCTGCTCTTTGGTGATGACCGTGTCTCCGTCCAGGGCACCTGGAGCTGATAAGGGGTATGGGCGGTTTGGGGTTCCTATAAGGGTTATATGGGGTTGAAGGGCTTGCTGAGCCGCTGCTTAAAGCATCATGGGACTTAGCAACTAGGTCTATAATTAGGGTAACTATACTTATATCTACTTATAACCCCAATTCAGGTACTTATAACCTTACTTACTAAGTCCCATGATCCTCCAAGTGGAGGCAGTGCCCTCAACTGTCTGGTTCTTACTGTAGCAAGGAATGGGGGAAATGGATCCCTATGATAGTCCCTTAAAGTCCCCTATAGTAGTCCCAATAATCCATTCACCCATTCCCTACTGGGCACCTGGAGGCAGTGCCCTCAACCCTGAAACCCAGACACTAAAATCGCTAGACCCTCAAGCCTAAATTCTAAACCCGAGCAGTTTAATCTTTAGGGCTCAAGTTTAAGGGTCAAGTAGTAATCTTGAAGGTTCAAGGTTTAGCATTCAAGCACTCTCCCGCAGCACTGTGAACGCGAACGCTGGTCAGCACGATTAGGAACCTCAGTATCATTGAACGATCTTAGCTCTCCGGGGTGCGGGATTTCTCTGACTCGTTGCGCCTTCTGGGTCCATTCTCACACACAGCCCTGGTTCTCACGAAGTGCCCTGCAACCCACCCTAAATCAAAAACCTTTGGAAGGGATCGAGTCATGTGAAATGGGGGGGTTGGGCATACTGTTTGTGTACGATAATTCGCACGAATTGTTACCGCCTCTTTATCTACCTAGATTTCTCTCAAAGCTACATGAGCCAATAACTTACCGAAAAGCTTCATTCCCAAACGACACCATAAGAATCTGCAAAATACTGCGACGCTGCAAGACAGTCAAAATCCATGCGCAAGACTACAAGTGTGCTACTATTCTCACTAACAACGCTGTCACTATAATTATGACTATTATTCGTAGGCTTCTCAGTGTGTCTGCTATAGTTCTGACTAATTTACAGTTAGTGTTATGATGATGAATGTTTTTCTAATTATTACTAGTATCCATATACTTAGTTATAATATAACAGTAACTATATGGATATTACCAATAGGAACCCTTACAACGAAGTCCTTGAAAGCTCCGAGGCCTGCGATGAGGCGCCGCGCCACGGCGTCTGTTGTGGCGCCCTTGTTCGGGCGATGCAAGGCTAGGATGGCCTCCGCCTCTTCACTGAAGTTGGACCTTGGTGCTTATAGTGCCCTTCAAGGGAACCCTATTCTAGAACCTTATCGTACCCTTCAGGGAGTGCAGGGTCCCGAGTTTAGTGCTCACGGTTTGGGGCGTAGAGGATATTTATGGATGAAGCTTTAGACAGGGTTTAGGGTTTCGGGTCCCTAAACCCTAAACCTTAAACCGTCCAGGATCTTGGGTTTGGGTCTAGACTGTTTAGGATTGAGCGTTTACATTGTAGGACGGGAGGACTTTAACCGTTGGCTTAGAGTACCGGGCAGCCGGTTCCGGTTTAGGGCTTGGGGTTTATGGCTTCTGGGGCTCAGAAGGTTTAGGGTTTAAGGCTTAGGGCTTGTAGTATAGAGGGCTGATCGGGTTTAGGGTTTAGGGCTCCAAGGGCTGAGGGATTAGGGTTTATAGGATATGGGGTCTGGAGAATCAGAAATAGCATCGCCTCCATCGTGACCACAGTTAGGGTTTAGGGCTGAGAGTTATGACTGTCCTACTGGGCTCTTGATAAAGACTTTAAGTTGAGGCACCATAAGAGGGGGATCTACAGAAAAAATACAGTTTCCTCCTAAATAAAGGTCCTCAACAACAGCCCATGCTATGAGAAGACCCCAAACCCGACACCCCGAAAGACCCGAAACCCCAAAGCGTACCACGGCTGATGATATAATATACCATACTTCCAGTCGTCTAGGGCCATTAAGGTAATGCAGGATTCATAGCATCAACCCTGTGACATGGCCAGCTGCTTCAGCCGGACCATCATCCTCGGTGGTGGTGCGTTCACCATGCTGCGGGAGACCCGGTGGCTCGGGAAGGCCAGGACGGCCATGCACTTGTCGTCCGAGTATTCCTGGGCTCTTGATAAGGAACTTAATTCAAGTTGCCATGGTAAGGAAAGTGGATTATTTACTATGGATCCCTTTTTGGGCAAGACTAACATGGGTCCCTTTTCTTGGTAGAATCTACTATGGATCCCTTTTTTTGATAAAGTTCCTCAACTCGAACCCAGCGTCCGCATGGAAGTCGGCGCTGCTGATGCCGTATTCCTGCTTGAAGGTTCATGGGTAGTTATAAGAGGAGTTATAAGTCCCCTAATATGGGTTATAAGTATAGTCACCTGACTTGTAACCCCACTTATAACTACCCTGAACCTCCAAGCTCAATACCCCTTCATTAAGGAATAAGCCCAAAACCCCTTCATTAAGGAATATGCCCAAAACCCCGTCATTCAGGAATATGCACAAAACCCCTTCATTAAGGAATATAGCTCCAATTGTAGAAGGCTTAATAGCATGAGCGAAGGAATACAGTATTGGCCCTTCGCAACCGGTTGGTAGTTACGTTGGTTCTTACAGCGACGCAAGACAACGACGCACTCCCCGTGCCTGCACGAGCCAAGACTTCAGCTCCTGGCCATCAATCGGCACCTCTCCCTCGCTCCGCAGTTCAATGAGGTTCTCATTCCTGTACTGAACTTAGAACCCTAGCAAAAATTATAATTTTAGCTGTTTCTTAGGGACTATAATAACCAAAAAATAAAAATGATTTCTAAGTACCCCTAAGATTCGGCACATCCAGCTGGCGCAGCTCCCTCTCCTCCACGAAGGGGGCCGCTGCAAAGACCGCTGCGGCAGCACTGGCCGCGTCGACCGAGTTGTCGTCGGTCACGACGTGCTGGCTGCAAGCCTCGTCCAAGTCTCGATATCCTGGGCTCTTGCTAAGGCATTTAATTTATCATACTGTGGATGTTAATATGGTTCCATATTTTGGTAACTTAAACTAAATCCTTTAACAACGCTTTAACAAGAACCCAGTATCCCCCATGTGGATAGCGCAGGTCACGGAACCGACAGATCGCCTGCCAGTCCTCACGCCCACAGACGGCCGGGTACAGAGGCACTTCCTCTCTTCTCCAAAAACCAGGCCCCAAAAAAAAGTTCAAGCTTTTTAAGATAGACCAAATATATATAGCCCAAAAAAAGTTCAAACTTTTCAAGATAGACCAAATATATAAAGCCAAAAAGTTTAGAGTTCTCCAATTGGCTAAGTAAGCTTCTCCCAGCCAAGGAGGCAGTCGAAAGGCTACGCCGAGGTTTTTGCCATTGAGGCAGTAGCCTCAGTCGATTGCGCGAAAAAGTTGTTTTGACAAGTCGCAAGAACTCTGCAAAACATCAGCCCTCCAGCTACAATCGCCAGCAGAGACACTGATCGTGTGACGTCGGGGCTCTCGTCTGTCCAGAAGGCAGGTGATCACAGCCCCTGGCATTCCTTCAAACATCTCGCCGTACTTCCTTGCCATTGGGACACGGGGTCCAATCCGATCTATCAATCTATCGATCTGTATAACTTACCAGTCATACGGGAAATAGACACATACATCCATAGTCTCCCCCCTAAATGAGGCAAGAGGCTCAAAGCGGCCGGCATTCGATTTCATCCCGGTGCCTCCGAAACCAAAGGACCTCTCGTCTGTACCCAGGGCTCGCCGCCCTGCGGCTGCTGCCCACCCCAAACGAAGCAAGCAGTCGTTCTTCAACTCCACTTCGTACTGGTAGGCACCTCAGAAATCGACACCAGCAGAATCGCCGAAAATCCCGAAGAGACTGCCCTCGCAACGTTCGACGACGGCGCCTTTCAACACGCCAGGACGACCCCGAAGCCCAAGCCATGCGTCGTCCGCACTGCAGGAAGCACTGAGGCCGTCATCTGACACGTCCACACCCTGGCAACAAAGGCACGAAGCTTTTGGGCTCCAACGTGCAGTTCGACAGCGCTGTGATGCCAAAATCGCAGGAGTGAACCTTGCTGTGTGTGGGCGAGGAACGTACGACGACCTGACAAGAAACCCAACCTTGTGCGACAGGATTCAGCTTTTCTTTCGTTTTCTACTTCGACTTGCAAGCTAATGGGTGGTTTAAGGTGAGGTTTGACGACACGTGTAGCCTCAGGACAAGTACAGTATGTGTGTATATAATATATATATATATATGTATATGTGTATGTATATATATATACAATCTATAGGGCCCCTGCGGAACATCCTATACAAGTTCAAGCACTCGGCATCAATGGAACCTATGTGGCCGGGCCTCGTCAGCATCTGCCTTGTTCAGGCAGGCAAAGGGCGCCATGGCTCTTGACAAACTCAGGTCGGGATGCGCTTCGGCTTCGCATATCGTGTAATATAGGGGCCTTAATAATTGGAATAGGGCTTTGGGCCCATTATACTATAAGTATAATAAGGAACCCCAGAACAGTATAGGTAACGAATACAAGGCCCCTATAGCAATTCCCTTCTCCTTACACTGCCGGACTGTCGGCAAGAATGCGATCAACCGACACTTCGTTGTGGTTGCTGTTGCATACCTGGTCATAGTTACAGGTGTTGCTGCTGCTCCTAGTACTCGTACTCGTACGCATACTGATCCTAGCTCTGGTCCTAGTGCTGCTGCTGCTGCAGCAGCAACAACGATGATGATGATGATGTTGCACTTAACACGGAAATTCTGAGCACCATTCGATCTTTCACTGGTCTCAGTCATTCGGCATATTGTGATCGTGCTTTCTTGGCGTGATTGCCGTTCAAGTCGCTATGATTCGCAGTACCAGGTTATGGCCGCGATCCGCACCGCTTCAGCCAGATACCGACGGCGGCTCATTGCCCAGGGCCTATTCCCAAAGTCCGTGGTTACCACAAGAGAATAGCAACAACGGCAAGGGCAAGAAAGCCACACGACTAATAGTAGTGACATTGGCAGAGCTGATGCCAGTGCAAGTGATCAGAAACATATTGGTCCTGATTCTGCTCCTACTCTCAATCGGGAAAAATATGTGCATCAATGTGAGCAGGGCTTATGAAAGAACACCAAGCTCCCGGCTCAACGGTGACAGTGCAAAATGACCGGAGAAATAACCGTCTGAACCATAATGTTCTCTCCAGTATTCTTGCTAGGGCTACCAAGCACTGGTAGTGTTGCGTGGTCTCTCCAACAACTCCTGAGCTATAAACCTCACGCCGTCATCCCAAAGCCCCCTGAACCCTAAACCCTAAACCCTAAACCCTAAACCCTAAACCCTAAACCCTAAACCCTAAACCCTAAACCCTGAACCCTAAACCCTAAACCCTGAACCCTAAACCCTAAACCCTAAACCCTAAACCCTAAACCCTAAACCCTAAACCCTGAACCCTGGCCCCGAAAGCCGCCCCCACCTTCTTCTTCTTCTTTTTCTTCTTCTTCTCTCCTGCGGCGTCTCCTGCATCCCCCTTGTCCTCCTCAGCTGGTCTCTGGCCACACCAGGCTTCATGTGCTTCTTCATGGCCAAAACCAAGATTCTATGAGAACTCTAGAGAGGTTCCTCTGTGAAGTGTCTACTAAGGGTTCGATAAGGATCGGTTTAGGATTTAGGGTTGAGAAGCAGAAGGGTTCTACAAGGGTGTCATAGCGGTTCTATATAAAGGTTCTCTCGCAAGGGTGTTACGATGTGGGAGTCGTGTGCGAGTGCTTGCTGCAGAGAAGCTGTCCTCTTAGGGTCGTGGGTACCAAGTTCAGGGTTCAGGCTTCCTTTGAGTAATGAAGAGTTTTTCCGCAACTTCACGATCAAGAGCGGCAGCCATGGCACTAAGAATCCTCAGAATGATCTTGGTTTCTTGCCAACCGGCTGAGATCTGAGAACAGGATGAGAAGAAGCGTGATAGCATGGGAGCAGGGACATGTGGCGCAGTGAACCAGCACGCACAGGTTTTGCAGCACAGGTTCGCCCCAGAACCTCTGCATTTGGCCAACTCACCACTTTAGGATTTGGGTAGTTCTCCAAATCAGGACCCGCTTTTTGGTCCCACAATTAGTACGGCACTCTTACCCTAAAAGGGGCCCTGCAACTACCCATTTAGTCCGTCGCCCTACCGAGCACCGCCGGAACACGATCCCCACTAGCAGGCCCCATGTTAAGAAACAATCCACCCCGCCTAACTAACCCTGAACCCTATGCCCCTGAACCCCAGCCCTGAACCCCAAACCCCTAAATCCTATACCCCCGCAGACCCCTGAAGCCTACAAAAAAAGGGGCCTTAATAATTAGAATAGAGTCTGGGCACAATATACTATAACTATTTATAATAAGCAATCCCCAAAGTATCGGTAATTAACTTCGGCCCCTTTACGAGAGTACCCTTGTAGATCCCCTTTCAGTAATCCTTATGGACCCCTCCAAAGGAACCCTGTTTTAACTATTCAGGCTCCTATATTACCTCCCGCCTCCTGGGCCCCTCCCTGATAGCAACCCTTGAAGGAACCCCAAGCCCTATACCCCCCCCAAACCCCTGAAGCCTATACCTATACTGCACTTAGAACCCTAGCAAAAAAATAGCTGTTTCTTAGGGATTATAATAACCAAAAATTACAAACTATTTCTAAGCACCCCTAAGTATACCTCCACTCAGTAATAGTTGAATAATAATCATAATACAGATATATTAGGACCTTATTAGTAGCCCAGTTATAGACTCTTACTGTATGGGGGCCGTACCTAACCTATACCTCCTCCACCCTGGGGCCCCATGCCTCATCGCTTTCTTGCGCAGCGTTGGGTGAATCAGGAGCCCCAGCTTCGGCACTTGCCGGGACCTCGGCTGCGCTGGAGTGTAGGGGGTTTAGGGTTTAGGGTTTAGGGCTTAGGGTTTAGGGCTTAGGGTTTAGGGCTTAGGGTTTAGGGTTTAGGGTTTGGGGTTTGGGGTTTAGGGTTTAAGGCTTGGGGTTTAGGGTCAGGGGCCTTAATTATTAGAATAGGGTTCCCTTTAAAGGGGTCTATAAGGGGCTACTATAAGGGCTATTGTAAGGATTTTGTGTAGGGGCCTTAGCTATTGGAATAGGGTTTTGAGGTCATTATACTTTATCTTTAAGGAACCCCCGCAATAGTATGGGCTATTATTTAAGCCTTATATTGATTGTTAATTCTGCTTTTAATGGTTGCACTTTAGGGTTTAGGACCCGGCACCCAAAACTCCTCAAATCCTATAGACCGAAGCCAAAAAACCTAAACCGTTTATATACAGGTTGTGGGCTTTTGGGGTTTGGATTTTGTCGCTTGGGGTTTAGAGCTGAGAGATATGTCCATAACCTCGTGGCAGATGTCCAATGGGTTTCCTGCACTGCAGCACCTCGGCCAGCGAAACCCTAAACTCCCTTAACACTTTTGCTCTAAACCCCAAACCCTAAACTCTAAACCCTAAGCTACCTTAACCTACCAAGAATTTCCTTTAGTAGGGTCCCATAAATTCCATATTAGGTTCTTTTGTTTATAATAAGTACCCTGAAAAATTAGAAGGTTATGCTACCTTCCGCTAAACCCTAAACCCTCTAACCCTATAACCCTAAACCCTAAGCCCTAACCCCCTAAATCCTAAACCCCTAAACCCTAAACCCTATAAACCTCAAAGCAAAAGCCCAACAGGAGGGGTCCCGGGCAGCTTCTTCATCCGGCGCTGCATCCCCCGCTGTGGGGTCCTGGCTTCTGTCCATCGGCAGATGTCGTTTTTTTAAAGTGTAGTGACTCTTTCTGGGCAGATGTCGTTTAGGGTTTAGGGTTTAGGGTTTAGGGTTTGGGAGAGCTTTTAGGGGGTTTAGGGGGCTTGGGGTTTAGGGGGTTTAGGATTTAGGGTTTAGGGGGTTTAGGATTTAGGGTTTAGGATGTGGACGGTTTAGGGTTTAGGGGGTTTTAGGGCTTCGGGTTTAGGGCTGAGGGGTTTTAGGATTCAGGGGTTCCCGTCTCACCTAGCCATCTAAGAAGCCCAATATAGGGGCCTTCTTGTAATGGCTAAAAGGGCAATGGGTTCTACAAGGAGGTTCCAAAAGGCCTCTACCAGTGCATAATATCGGGGCATTCATGATTATTGTCAACAGGGTTTTCGGGCATATTCTAGTATCGATTTTAGTAGACACACTACGACGGCCCCGATATTGCAAGTACTGTAGTGCAGGAAAGAAGAAGCAGGCGCGCAAGAAGAGAAACCCGCCAGCAACAATAGCAACAGTTGCAACCGGCACCAGAGAAAGAAACCAGCAGCTCCAGCACCACCACGGCCGACACGAAGGTAGGCTGCGTCCGAACCAAAACTTCGACCAACCAACCCCGCCCATCCCCAGCCGCATGCCCTACAGCCTTCGAGTAGCCCTCATATGTCATAGCAACCCTTAGACTAACTCTCATGCAAACCCGATGTAGTAGACCTGAGGATGCCGCTTATGCAACCTTTTCTAGTAACTTCTGGCGCCCAAAAAATCGTCTCTAGTATGCAACCCTAATTGACAGGAACGGTACCCCTTGCGGTAAACTTCAGCCCTTGCGCCGCTAAACCCTAAACCCTAAACCCTAAACCCAACTTGCACCTTCTTCTTCTTGTTTTTCTTTTTCTTCTTTGCTCCGGCACCGCCTTCTGCGGCCTCGACCTCTTCCTCCTCAGCTGGGGGCTTCGGATTTCGGGCTTCGGGTTCAGGGGTTTAGGGTTTAGGGTTTAGGGTTTCAGGAGTTTAGGTACATGATCTGGTCTAGGCTTTCAGTGTTTAAGATCTGGTCTAGGCTTTCGGTGTTTAAGATCTGGTCTAGGCTTTGGGTGTGTTTAAGGCTTGGAGGTTTACGGTCTGGATATTCAGGTATCTTGGGCTTCGGTACTCGGGTGCTTCGCTACTTCACCGACGAAATTAGAAATGTTTTGGAGTGAAAGGAACACACCCACGCAGCCTGAAAAGAACCCCCTCTCAATCCTGAGCCCTGAATGCGACAAAAAACCTCGCTGCAGCTTCAGAATCAGATACCCGAAACCCAAAACCCTGATTACTCTAACTCCGACATCTCAGGGTCCCGGACTTGCTTTGCCTCGGGATCTGGATAGCCGCCCCTTGGCGTAGGTTGAAAACATACCAGCGAAACACACGATTTGAAACTAGGTCGAGAAATGCTAACATGGGAATTTCCAAAAATAGGGGGCCCCAGTACAGTACCCTATATAGTCGGATCCCTATCATAAGGACCCCAGAATGAGGTACCTCTAATTTTCGGAAACTCCCCACATGAATACAGAGCAGTGAGCCGCGCCCATGGTGCGCTTTGCGAGACGCACACGACGTCGTGGATGGGTAGTATTATTAGGGAGAGCCCTTGAAGGCTACTGTTTCTGAACCCTATTTCTGGCTCTCTTAAAAGGGACCTCATTGAGAGGGTCTATATCCCCAAGGGTCCCCCTAATCCTAACTCCCAGTGCAAGCCGACTGCGAGTCGAAGCGGGGGTTGCCAGCTGAAGACTCACTACACAACGAGCTGCGCTACTCTAGGGGCCTCAATAGTTACCTACACTATTTTGGCCGTTCCTTCATATATACCAAAATAAGGAACTCCCAAAATAGTATAGGTAATTATCAAGGCCCCTACGGTACAGTATATTGCCAGAACACAGCAATGCATCCTGAACCGAAAACCCTGAGATCGCGACTTCTTGATCACGTCTTCCCTCTCGTCATATTCCTGAGTTGGAGGCATCTTGGCACCGTGGACCCGGGTTTACGATTTGGGGCGTGGGGTGTAGGGTCAAGGTTTTGGGGTCTGGGATACGGGGTTTGCGGTTTAGAGGTGCAGCGGTTGGGTGTTGGGGTGTGTAGCTCGCTGTTTAGGTGTAGGGTGAAGGGTTTAGGGTTTGTAGGACTCCGGGGCTTAGCGTTCACGGTCGGTCTGGGGCAGGAAATGCACACTTGCTCTTCGTGTCTTCGAGTTGCATCGGACCCAGCTGGCAGCTGCAACGATAGGGTTCAGGGTTAGGATTTAGGGTTTAGAGTTTAGAGTTTGAAATTTAGGGCTTAGGGTTTAGGGTTTAGGGTTTAGAGCTAGCCACATCACCATCCCATGACAGCAGTTACTTGCCTGAGTGATAAGCCTGAATACCTACCAATATTGTTGGTTAGGAACCCTTCATGTACTGCTGTCTATATTTAGACATATATATATATATATATATACATGTCTATGTATATATATATATATATATATAGATACATACACCCTACAACCCTTTTGTAGCAACTTAGGTCCCTAGTATACGCGCTTAACAACTGGAATAAGGTCTTGGGGTATGGTTTAGTGTAAGTCTAACTCTTATGAATAAGGAAACCTACGGAATCGTATTGATAACCAGTCAGGCTGCTACACTAGCTGCTAGCTGCTAGCCCTTGACTTACGACATCAAGCTGCCAACCGCTAAACCCTGATATACGGGCCTACATAATTACCAATACTACTTTGGTGGTTCCCTGATATAGTTCTGGTATAATGGCCCCAACACCCTATTCTAACGATCAAGGCCCCTATATTACACCCTAAACACCGTCCAAGGCACCACTGCCGCTGGCATGCTCTCTGCGAAAACCACGCGAAACCAACTACACTGTTCAAAGAGCTCCGAGCAAACGACTTCGGCTTGAGGGTTACATTGTAGGGTTTAGGGTCTAGGGCTGCATTTTTGTAGGATGCTGTGGGGTTTATTGGGCCTTAGGGCTTTCGGGCTTCAGGGCTTGGGTAGCTTAGGGCTCTAAGGCTTCAGGGTTTTGGGGTCGCAGGGTTCTGGCTTGGTAGCTGCGGCATCCAACCTCCCAAAAACATATCAGATCCTTGCGTGACCTGCCTTCGACTTAGGGTTTGCAGTAAACCCAAACAAAGTTGGAAACCGGATTAAGGCCAAATAGTGCCGGGATTCCCTATACATTACTCTTAAGGATTGAGGCTATTGGGTTTCCAACTTTTTGGCTTCTACTGTAGGGTTTTGGATGCTGGATTCCAGGCTTAGAGTTTCGGATACTGGGTTTAAGAAACCCAAGAAAACTCTCAAGCCTATAAACCCCAAACCCAAACAGGCGTTTCAAAACTGTTGACAGACGAGGACTTGAAACGAACCCCTTCGGCCGTCCTCAAAACAAGATTTTACTACTCAGGTGTTGCATGTGCATGTGTGTGTGTGTGTATGTGTACATACAGACAGACAAACAGACAGCCAGCCAGGCACGCAAACAGACAGACATACATGCATACATGACATAACATAACATAACATAACATAGATACATTCGTACATACAAACATATAAATATGAATGAATGAATGGATGGATGAATGCATGCATGCGTGGCTGCATGGATGGATGGATGGATGGATGGATGGATGGAATGAGCCAACGAAGGAACGAATGAACGAATACATGTGTATATATATATATATATGGTGTATCTATATCTGTGTTTTCATACATGCGTTTGAGAATATACGCATATGCTCTATATTACATATATATATATATATAGAGAGAGAGAGAGAGAGAGAGAGAGAGAGAGAGAGAGAGAGTGAGAGAGAGAGAGAGAGAGAGAGAGAGAGAGAGAGAGAGAGAGCGAGAGACATATACTTATATACATAACGCAGATGTTCGTATGGGCATCACCGTCCCCTTGTCTCTGAAACTCTCCCATCCCAACACAGGAAGATGCTGATCTGGGGACTCTTTGAAGACCCTAGCCGAGAAGGCATATTCCAAGGAAGGAGCCTATTTTTACGGTTCAGGATTAATATGTTTACGGCATGGGGCTAGTTCGCTTCAGGCTCTGGGTTGATCACTCTCTATGCCCAGGGCTAAGTTAACCTTTGGGGCTTTTGGCTGTACGGATCTGAGAGGCTGTGAAAGGGCAAGCAGTGCAATAAATCGTGCGGCTGGCAGCCAGTGCCGGCATGATGACCAGATTTTTTCGAAGCTCGTCAGCTTGCCCAGAAACCTCAGAGAGACCGTGGCAGACTTGCCTTTAACCGTCAGCATCTAAGCCGCGATTTCGGCTCTGTTGCATCTTCCGCGCCTCAGTCCTCCTTCTGCTTGAGAACATGCCAGTCCCGGTGAGAGTTTGTCTCTCGCCAGCAGGGATTCATGTCGTGCCGGCGATGCTTCGCTGTCCAACCCATCTAGCAACTACGAGTATGCAAGAGTACGTTGAGCCTTCCTTCTGCAAACATGCAGATCATATACTAGAACTCTACCTTCATCTGGCCTACATACGAGCCATAACACCGCCCCGTGGGTGGCCCTTGTCTGCGCTACCATAAGGTCGAAACATTGCTGCAACACTTCTGCATACTTCTGCTCATTCCTCAGAGCTGGCGGCCGTGCTTTTCGCAGACTTGCCTTACGGTGAGCTGGAAGGCTTGGGTCTTGAGTTCTTGGGCTATTAGGCTTTGGGACGCTGGGTTCAGGGGGCGGCTGCCCAGACGAGACCTCCGCCTGCAGGGATGCTCTTTGCAAAGTCCTCTGCTCAAACTTTTCTTAGGAAGCAGCTCAGACCCTAAACGCTAAACCCCTCACTCTAGTTGAAGCACCATGTTCGCTGCACGTGCTTCAGATTCGGAGATGGTCCAGGCCCTTGAAGTTAGAATACCATTCGTGGGTGCATTATACTGCAATTCCAGGCCTTGCACTTTTAATACAGCTTATGGGTACATGATGCTGAAATGACCTTCAGGAATGTTCAAAAACTGGGTCGAATGATAATATGGTCAAACTCCTGCCTGCCAGCTTCTGCAGGATCTTCAGGTTGTCCATGATCTGACTGAGACGAGCATCCTTGGAGGATGATGCGACGTATTAAAGACAGCTACAAATTGGGGCTATAAGTAATAAAGAGTTACAAGTATCTATATACATATACACACATATATCCATACATATGTATATGTATATGTATATATATATATATATATATATATATAGACCCTATTTATAGCCCGCGTTCCTACGTCCCATGATCCTGTAAGTCCTCAGTGACCCGACCCTCCGCCCGCTGGTTCTGCTGCAAGTCCATCCCAAAAACAATTTATGGCACCGCATGTTATCCCCCCGGTTTAAGGTTTAGGGGTTTAGGGGTTCAGGGTTTAGGGTTTAGGGGTTTAGGGTTTAGGGGTTTAGGGCTCAGGGTTTAGACCCCCCTCCTGCCCCTCAAACTCCAAAACCCCATTTGACCGAAATCCTGCGCAAACCCTAAAGGCTTGGCTATGCTTGCAGCAGAGCCGACCGAGACGGAGTAATGATCAGCATGCTAGGTCAAATACAAACCTATCATACTCGTAGTAGTAACAATGATCATCATCATGGTAGTGATTGTAATAACAGCGATAATCAAGCTGACGAAACATATCAAAGTCATCACGAGCATGCTGTTAACAATGGTCATAGCAAAAAAACACCAATAATGTCTTTTTCCAATGTGTGCTTGGCAAATCGTTGCAGCATCCTTGTGCTGCAGCTGTAAGCCCACCACTCCCGTGTGACAAAATCTTAAACATGAGTGCAGCACGACTTCTGGTGCAGCTTGAATTCGAGTAGCAGGGAGCTAGATCTCACCTGATACCGTTTTGGTTGAAAAGACGGGGCACATGATGCAAGATCGAGAGCCGCTAGCTCAGCAGCTTTCTAAGCAGGGCTTCGTTTTCCCTGACGCTGTACTCGGCCTGGGCCGCGAGAAGGTGGGCCTGTTGCGGAGTCACGCCGATCATGTCGTCCTCGTTCTGACGGGTGACCGGGTAGATGGGGAAGTTGGCAAAGGCTCCCTGGTCCCCCTTGGCAATCTCCTCCTGCGTCTCCCTTGGCAACTGGGCCTCAAAGTCGCGGCACTGATCCAAGTAAACGAGCACGAGCTCCACCTCGTAGGATCCCTTGATGCCCCACCAGGCGTTGGGGAGAACACTGAGCTTCTTATTGACGACCACCGGCTTCCCCGAAACCTTCAAGTCCTTCAGCTCTCGACAGAAGGCCAGACACTGAGACCGCTCGAAGACCTCAGGGGCTGCAGTTGGATTTAGGGTTGTTTTAAGCACCTTTTTCCGCCTAGCAATTAAGGTCGGCAGAACCCACTGGTGTGGGATTTAGGGTTTAGGGTTTAGGGTAAAACCTCTCAGGAAAAATACTGGCGCCTGAGTATTAGGGTATATCAAGCTATTCTGTAATCACTTCCCCCTTTTTATTAGACACCCACCTAATACTATTATGAAAGAAGCACATTGGGGCGAATTCTCCCGTAGTCACCCCTGCCCTTTAAAACCTAATTTGCAATAGGGGTCGGGAGCAAGAGCAGAGCAAGAGATAAGGCAAGGGCAGAAGCTGGAGCAAAAGCAAGAGCAAGAGTCAGAGCAAAAGCAGGAGGAAGAGCAGGAGCAACAGCAAGAGCAAGAGCAAGAGCAGGCGCAGGAGCGAGAGCAAGAGACACAGCAGGAAAAGGAGCAAAAGCCCGTGCAGCAGCAAGAGCAAGAGTACCCCCTCATAATAAAAACTCTTTCCGAGTTTCGATTCGGTGCCCCCCCGTTTAATATATTAAGGGGAAAGGATTCGTAGTGTGATATGATCACCAATGGTAAAGACCTTCATGTTACAGACAGCTCTGCAATTCTGTTCTCCGCTGGCCAGGCTTAGGTTAGTGCGACGTCATGTCCTCCGGATGCCCCTTTTACTTTCCGTAGCGCGGCCGTGCACCTGGTCTTGTTTTTTGCCGCTCTTCAGGCCTGGTTGTTGGCGTAGAAGAAGCCAACGGCGCTGGAGTCGTACCCGAAGGTGCAGAAAACTTGGTCTACAACTCCCGCCTCCTGGACAATTCGATGGCTTCAAAACTTTACAGCACACAAAAAAACGTCAACTGTGGCAGACAATACATCATGAGCAACAAAACTGAACTCTTAAGCCGAGGATCGGAATCCTCAACCGTGACGCCCCGAGCCATAAAGTAAAATCCCCAAACCCCAAAATCCAATGCTGCGTCCTGTAACCCTGCACCCATACCCTGAACCTAAAACCCATTCCCTAAACTCCGAACCCCAAACCTCAAATCCATCTCCTGTGGGTTGAAAGTCTCCGGTGTGGCCCCGTCCCAGTCGTAGCTAAGGTTCAGGGATGTCCAGGAATTGGAGACCCAGATGACCTGACGAGGCTTCAAAATGAGGGCGAAAACAATTAGAAGAGGGTTTGCAGAAAAAATAGGCACACACACTTACGACACACGTACATGTACACATGTGTACAATGTACATACATATGTGCGTACGTCCATGCACGCATGCATCATGCATGCATGTGCGAATGCGTACACAAGAAATGCATGTGTGAATGCATGCATGTGCATGTGCATGCACATGCGCATGCACATACACATGCACTCGTGTCTGTACATTGGTTATGTGTATATACAGCCTATATCTGCATGTCTACTATATCTGGTTGAATATACGTATATATATATATATATATATATATGTATATGTATAAAGAGAGAGAGAGAGAGAGAGAGAGAGAGAGAGAGAGAGAGAGAGAGAGAGAGAGAGAGAGAGAGGTAGATATACAAATATCTAATATAGACGCCAAGAAATCCGAAACTCCTAAACCAGCCTTCCGAGCTCCTCGTTGAAGCAGCGCCAGGAGCCCAGCATTGTCCAGAGATCCTCCGTCCCCGAGCTGGTAAGAGATCGCCGGCTGCCTCTTGGGGAGAAGGTCCTGAGCTCATGGTAAGGGTGTAGGGTTTAGAGTATTTAAGGGTTTTCGGTTTAGGGGGTAAGATGCTACACTCATGGAACGGGTTTATAGAGATTAAGATTTAGGGTTCAGAGAGTTTAGTTCAGGGTTTGGGGCTTAGGGTTGCAAGATGCTATAGCGGCGTTTACAGGTTCAGCCGGTCTCTATGCGCTCTAACTACAGGAGCTTGCTACTACTGATTATTCAGGCTCCTATTACCACAAGCGCAAGATTAATGACGATGCGGTGCACAGTACTGTAGTAATTTTGACACTACGGCGATGACACAACGACGACGGCGACCAGGATGAGGACGACGACGACTACAATACTACTTCTGCTAGCGTAGTCGTCATGGTACTAGTAGGATTAACAGTAAGACTCTGATGGTGATGTTTAAAATGGTTGCAAGTCATACGGAAAGCCTGCTACTCATATACTGTGTATATCCCAAGTTAGATAGCCTCAACTAAGTTCCTCAACCTCTTATGAAGCCCTATGGAAGCCCGTACGCAATCTTGCTAATCCCGACAAAACCTCTGGACGACCTGAAACCCTCAACCCTCGTACTATCAGAAACACTGCTCAAAACTTGCAAGTGTCCGAAGTGACGGGCCAATAGTCCCTGCGAATGTTCAGCACGTTTCCCAAAATCCGCACCTGGTTCAGGGCTTTTGGCCTCGGGCATATAGACTAGGATTCTGGCATTTAGGGCTCCATGGACACGTCCCTCATGTGCTGAAATTCCCACGTAACAGACGGAGCTCGTAATTTAAACTCACACTCCGGGCAGCAGGGCTTTGGAGCTCTAGGGCTCGAGGGTTTCAGGGTTTCATGCTTTGCGTATTCTGATTATTAAGACCCCTATATTAGGGATTTCAGCTTGGGCCTACTTGGAGGATCATGGGACTTAGTAAGTAAGGTTTTAAGTACCCTAATTGGGGTTATAAGTAGTTATAAGTATAGCTACCCTAATTATAACCCTAGTTACTAAGTCCCATGATCCTTTACGTAGGGCTTCGGGGCTTTGCCGCGCGCCTGGTTCAAGGCGCCTCCGGCTGCCCAGCTGCTGATGCCGACGGCATAGGGCAGGGCAAAGGGGCTGCTGGGCTCTTTCAAGACCTTTTTTTTTTTGAGCCCTCTTTTCCTCCTGCCTGTTAGGTTAGTCGGAACGCCGATTCGGCTGAGGGGTGCTCTTTCAAGACCTTGGGTTTTAGGGTTCTTTTAGGAGTTTATGAGCTTAGGAGTTTAGGAGGTAGGCTTTTTTTATGGGCCAACAGACCCAGGGTTTAGGCTTTAGGGGTTTCGGGGTTTGGGAGCTTAGGATGTAGGAACCTTAAAGTCTCTGAAGAAGGGTCTTGAATACGATCCTCGTATCACAGACAGCCAAAATGCTGAATCAGGGCTGGCTTAACTACAGTGAAATAAGAAACGCTCCCAGTGGCCAACCTAGCGACGCACTTCTGGCCACCAGACTGCTCCTTGATCGGGTTCAGGGTTTAGGATTAAGGGATAATCTGATCTTTTACATGGGCTGACTTGTAAAATGATGGGATACTAAATCACAAGAAACCACCCTGACAGAACCCTATAACCCTACGAAACAGTGAGAATGATCCCAACGATGGGTAGCACTACGAAAAACAATGAGGATCCCTAATACACAAACCCTGCAGAAAACCCAGAGTGAAAAGCATTCCTAGCAGTGCCCCAGACTCCTTCGGAGCTGCACCACCGAAGGCAAAGGTCTCGGTAAAGCCCCCACCCATGGTTCCTAGGTTGGGCCCTTTCCAGCCGTTGTTGGAAAGTTACGCATAAATACGCTGATCTTCAGCCCAACCCGAGACCTTAAACCCTAGAACCTAAACCCCTAAATACCCCTAAACCCAACCCTAAACCCTAAAACCAGAAAGGCAAATCAAAAATGACCCAAAACCTCCGCCCATGGTTCGATTCATACTCCGAAGGCCCGACAGCCCGAAGTCCTGTGCAGGGCTTTGAAAACTTTAGGCATCTCGGGCTGTGGAGTTTAGTGGTTCAGAAGTTTTGTGGTGTTAGGCAGCGGTTTAGGGTTTTCGGGCGCGGGGGTTTTTAGGGCGACGTCCTTGCAGGGCAACATGGGCGCCATGCTGTACTTCACCTGCTGGTTCTGCGGATAGAAGGGGCTGCCGGTGAAGTCCGGACACATCTGAAAAGACACGACGTTGTCATTGGAAGCCTCGTACTTCAGAGGTGCCAAAGAGCAGCCATTCATGATGAAGGTTCCTGGGTTCTTGCTAAGGAATTAGATGAAGTTACCATGATACAGACACCATATTGATTATTTACTATAGATCCCTACTCTGGTAACTTAAATTAGATCCTTTAACAAGAGCCGAGGTTCGTGGCTTGTCTGTCCGTGGGGTGAGAAATCGCTTCTTCTCCAGCTGAGGGTTGTCCTCCCTGATGCGTTTCAGATCTTCCTCTAAGGCCATGTAAGCCTCCAGGCTGTCGAGGCCGTCAAAGTTCCGCAGCAACCATTCCGACATCAACTTCGGCCACACCTCATACTCCCGCCCCTTGTGTTCCTCCAAGAGCGCCTTGAGAATGGTACTGGAGTCGCCCTTTACAACTCCTGACAGGAGTGGGACCTCCTCCTTCAGTGCCTCCATGGTCAAGTCTGCAGGTATGGTCAGCTTCCCCAGCAGCTCTGCTGTATCAATGGGGGTTCCCTTGAACTCCTTACTTCTCCAGGCCCCCTAAGGAAACCAAAGGGTAAGCTTTGGGATTCTTTCAGGGGCTCATCATAGTACCCCAAAAAAGACAACCCTAAACCCTAAACCCCAACTAAAAAGCTCTTCAGGGGCTCATCATAGTACCCCAAAAATAAGAAAGCCCTGAACCCCAACTAAGGCTCTTTGGCGAACATCAGAATGGAGGAACACCATGTTCCGCCGGACACAGAGCTGATGGCATCCAGCTTTCCCAAAACCTCCAGCTCGTTCCTTAGACTTAGCCGCCCTTTGAACCAAAATCAAAAAGAAACTACTCTTAGGGGGGTTTAGGGTTCAAGGTTTAGGGCTTATCCCCAATCAACACTCAAGTTATATACCCTAAACCCCTAAACCCTAAACCCTAAACCCTAAACCCCTAAACCCTAAACCCTAAACCCTAAACCCTAAACCCCTAAACCCTAAACCCTAAACCCCACATTGCTACGAGCAGTAGAGGTTCAGGGCCCGATAGACTCCCGTCGAGAAAGACATGGCACGGCAGCCACCGCCAGAGACGCAAAGGCCCACGTTGATCCCGGAACCTGCTTTACGGTTTAGGGTTTAGGGTTTGGGGGTTTAGGGTTTAGGGTTTAGGGTTTGGGGGTTTAGGGTTTAGAGTTTGGGGGTTTAGGGTTTAGAGTTTGGGGGTTTAGGGTTTAGAGTTTGGGGGTTTAGGGATTTAGGGTGTACTATCGGGGCCTTGATAACTAGAATAGGGTTTTTGGGGGCCCATTATGATTTCCCAAAATACTATTGGCAATTATTCGGCCTTGTATTAGGGGCTCCTTCCTGCCAACGGGCATTATTGGTGTTAGTATTATTGTTATGGCTGTTGTTAATTATTGTTACTGTTGTCACTCGTCTTGTTGGTATTATTCTTGTTAAAGACAGAACGTCTGTTGGTTATCAGCCCCGGGCTCCTGGTAGTTCGACATCTCCGTGAACCGGCAAGACCTTAGCACGAAAGACTTCACCCAGTGGGCGATACTTCTCGCTCTTCTTGCTGGTGCTGGTGCTGGTGCACTGTCCCATTGTGGCGGCGGATGTGGATGCAGTGGCCTATTTTGCTATCTTAGCCAAAGGCTGCGGGCGCATGACAGGGCAACAGGCTTCGCCGGGGCGACAGTGCATCCACCCACAGACCCATTTAACTCGCCGTTGCCAGCGAACAAAGCCCAAACTCGGAACTCTGCACAATGGCTCTAAGACGGCGTCGCGGCCCAAATCTTTCAATCGCGCCATGACCTCGGAAGTGGCTGCCTGGCAGTGAGGCTTAGGGGGTGGTTGTTCGGGGTTCAGCTTACTTTTGCAGTTAAGGCTGCAAGTTTATACTCTGTTCTTTTTAAGGGATTCAGGGGTGACGAATAGGCTTCGTAGCTTTTTGGCACTTTTGGGGCTCAGGCTTAAGATTACATGTTTATAGATACCGCATAGGGGATCTCAAGCAGGCATCATGGCAGCCCCGTAAATCCTGTAAGCTCAGAGTGTTTTGACCCTGAACCTACTGGTCATTCAGCGCCCTCCACCCAGAAAGCTCAACCAACAAGGAATTAAGCTGGAACCTTCGTGAACTTCACGTGCTTCAAGCGCAGCTGAGCCGCTGTTCTCACCTCAGAGCAGCCAGCTCTTCAGCCTGCTCTTTCGGCTAAACCCCGCCCTAAACCCTGAACCCTGAACCCAACGCCCGAAAGCCCTGAACCCTACACCCTGGACCCTACACCCTAAACTAAACCCACACCCTCGAAATCGACTTGGCAACAGGCGCTTCAGCACAAATTCAAACATCCGCAACACTTCTAACTACATATCCACATGCTTCCACTGCCGCGCAGCCCAAGCTCTACCGAAAGTCAAGCACTGCTCAGGCGGCACTCCCCAGGCCCTCGCTCAAATACCGCTCAAACAAGAAAAAGGGCTAGATATATGTGCACTGCCGCCGTCCCCAAGCTGGCTCACGGTTTGGGGTATAGGGTTTACTGGCTTGTGATTAGTCCAATTTCTCGTTACGTACGAGCGATGCTTGCTGAGAGTCGTCCGACATTGGGTCATGCTGCTTGTCAAAGAGTGTACTGGGATAGCAGAGCACGCAGGCCAATACGAATCATCACCAGGTTCCTCATCGTCATATCGGAACCATCAACAAATTTAAGCCTGTTGGAATGGCAGGGCATAGAACTACTTGGAGGATCACGGGACTTAGTAAGTAAGGTTATAAGTACCTTAATTGGGGTTATATATGAAAGTAGTTATAAGTATAGTTACCCTGATTATAACCCTAGTTACTAAGTCCCATGATCCTTTAAGTGATGCAGAAAGTCGGTGACGCTGAGGCACAGGCCAGGAGAAGGATCTGGTGGATCGAGTAGAGCTTTATTTTCCTCCGAAGCCGTGCCCGCGGCTTAGCTCAACGACTCCGGGCTTAATAGAGGGGCCGTAATAATTCGAACATGGTTTGGGGGTACATTCTACTATAGTTATAAAAAGGAACCCCCAAAATAGTAGTAATTGGTAGTTATTTCGGCCCCTTAAATTTTAGGTGTATCTCAAGGCATGGTTTGAAAAGAGCTGAGGGCGCTTGGGGCGAAGCGTTCACAACTCAACTGGTGCGTGTGAAGAGTTTGCAACGCTAACCTGAACTCTGGGCCTGTCGGGGTGTAGCTGTTTAGGGTTTAGGGGTCGTCGTCGTCACTAGTCGTCGTGGCAGTAGTAGTCGTCGTCGCCGCAGTCGTAGTATTCTGAAGTCTTAGTAGCTAGCACTAGTGGCCATCGTCGTCGCATCGGCGTTTTATCTCGTGTTACACCGGTTTACACCTATCCTACAGCATCTCAAATGTTCAGTAGAGTTGCAGATTGAACAAAGCTGTGTTGAAGCACGTGATGCATGAAACCGCTTTCCCCGAAGGGGGGCTGTTATCGAAGAAAGGGATACTTCAAGGGGAAACCTGATCGCCCCAACTTTGAACAAGTCTCTAAGCCCCGTAAAATGCCTTGCACGCCCCGAAAAGCCGTCGCCTGGCGATGTCGTTCCAAAGCACCAACATGAGCCTGGCCCAAGTCCTACTTGTCGGGTATCATGAGGAACTAAAGGTTAACCCTTTTGGTTATATATGGGGGTTCTATAGGGACTGTACTACCCAAAAAAGGTTAAAGATTACCTACTCGACTGCTAGGAAGTGCATGGGCAACTCATCATCACGGCGTTGTCTCGGCCTACGAGGTCTCCTAGCTTAGGGCCCCAAAAATGCACATAAGCAAAAATAAGGCTAGGGATATCTCATATAAACTCCCTTATAATGAAGCCCAATAAGGTAGGGATATCCCCATGAAATGCTTATGCTTTTGTGCTTTGGGGGTCCCTAATTTAACTTAACTTGCACCCTTAAATCGAAACCATAAATCCGAAACCCTGAACCCCTACACAGTAAAACCCTTAACATAGGGGGCCTAACAAGTACCTACACTATTCTGGGGATTCCTAATTCTAACTTTAGTATCAATGGGTCCCAAAACCCTAATCTAATTCATAAGGCCCCAATAAGATAGTACCTCATCGTAACCCCTATAGATCCCTTTAAAGGAACCCTATTCTAATTCTTAAGGCCTCTATGTTAAACCCTTGGGAGGATCAAGACCTAGGAAGGCGTGCCTGTTCTTCTTGAAGTCGAGCTCACATGCTGCAACGGCCTGACAAGAGAAGCCAGTGGAGTCTTCCTAAGCCAGCATAGCGTAGGGTGAAAATAACAATTAACAATGATCCTTAGGAAGAAGAATAGCAGTAATACGAATACTAAGGTGATAACAATAACAAATTTAGCTATGATACTGTTCATAGTACTAATAACCACACGAATAATAGCCATCAGTGATGCTACAACTGTAGGGCTTTAGTCGCGTCGTGCAAAGGATACATTTGGGGGGGTGCATGGCGCTCTCTCAGGCTGGCACAATCTTCGTGAGCTGGACGGGATTGAATTCGTCCAACCTGTCGATGACCTTCCCGGTTTACGGTTTAGGGCTAAGGTTAAGGGAGGTACGTGATGCCCTGAATGCAAGCTAGAAACTGCCAGTATCGGAATGCCTATGGAATTCTTTAGCATGTTCACTTGTTCACCCGAGCTATGCCAGCCACGTTTTCTCAGGCGAAAAGTGGAGTCTGGCGGAATCAGACGAGTCCCCCCTGCCATGAGGAAGAGAAGAAGCTCTGCATAAGAGCTACTCTGCAAATGACTCTCTACAAGTATAAGTGTTCTAGGCCCATGCACATGCAATCTGTGAAACCTCGGGAAATCTGGCGATAAGAGCCGGAGGAAAGCGCAGAAACAGAAGGATTCTCCTTGGCAACTTAGGGTATTGGAAACCCCAAACTCTAAGCAAATCCCAATACCGAAACCCTCCACAAGCCTAAAGCCTGAATCCCAAAACCCAAGACTCCCCTAATCCATCCTACTCCCAGAGCCCCAGCCCAAAACTTCCCAACCCAACTCCCTGCCGACCCTAAACCCTAAACCCCTAAACCCCTAAACCCGACGCCCGAGAACCGCGCATAGTCGCCGATGGCTTCCAGCAAGCCTCCGGCAGGCGAATACTTCAGCCTGCCCAAAGAGTAGACCTCGGCTCTCGCAAAGGTTTAGGGTGTTTAGGGTTTAGGGTTTTCTGAGGATTTAAGGGCTTGTTTCTGAGCACCTTTTTTCCGGTTGAAGGTTTAGGGTTTAGGGAAATTTCACTCAACAAAAGTAAGATGAAGGACCCGGTTTTCGACCCTTAATAGCAGGATCCCGATGATACCAAGCCCCCAGTTCTGCGAAACACGCACATCTTCGGTTTCATGTACTGAGGCACCCGAAAATGTTCCTCATGGCGTTTGGGGGTGTAGCTCACTATGCAGTCATTGCAACCGTAAGTGTTCTGAAAATAATTCTACTTTACATTGAAACTTTACATACTCTTGAAAATCCAGCTTCTTCATAGTTCGGAGAAACTGCCTTTCACTGAAATCTTTTTCCAGGCGAAGGGTGGAGAACTCAGGGCTTAGGGTTCAACAGTTTATGGTTGTGGGCTCGTCAACGTTTAGGATTTCGGGTTTACGGTGCCGTGTTTAAGGAGCTTAGGGCACTCCCTCAAACCCACTCACAGCTGTCGGTGACGCGCGGACTAGCGTGTGGAGAACCCCGCTTGCCATGGAGCGCATCAAACCTACTTGGAGGATCTTGGGACTTAGTAAGTAAGGTTATAAGTACCTTAATTGGGGTTATAAGTAGTTATAAGTATAGTTACCCTAACTATAACCCTAGTTACTAAGTCCCATGATCCTTTAAGTAATCGGGCTCCTGTGCGGACGACTTGTCATAAACACGTGATGGTCCAAGACTCAATGAAGCATCCAATAGACCTAAACCACGAAGCTACGTATGTACGTATTCGAGCCATCATCTTTGTCTGCATGTGTGTACATACATATGTATATATATATATGTGAGAGAGAGACAAGAAAAGGATCACATTCATCCAAACAAAGGCAACACACAAAAATCCTACACCTTCATCCCTGCACTTCCCACAACTTGGTCACCGGCCATGCTGGTGACTTCCTGCAAAGGCTGCTTCAAGGCAGGTGGAAAAAAAAATCGGAGGATCCTCCCTGGGTTGGTTCCCGAAGCCCGTTGTGTAGGATAGCACGGGCCATGAGAGAGCCTATAAGCCAAAAGAGACGTAGATCCCAAACACACAGCCCGCTTGCAAATTCAACTTGTGACCTATCCGTCCTCAGAATCTCCCAGCTAAATCGAAACCCTAAACCCCAAACCCCAAGCCCTCAATCCAACACCCGTAGATCCCTTATAGAGCCCTCATACTCATTATAGGTCCCCTACAAGGAATCCGAAACCCCATTATAGATCCTATTTATAGAACCATCACACTAATTATAGGTCCGATAAAGGAATCCGAAACCCTATTTATAGATGCTTTTTATAGAACCCCAAAGCCCCAAGCACTGCCTCTGGGTGGAACTCGTCCAGTCGGTTCGGCCTCTGAGCAGTCTCTGCACATTAGTGTTTAGGGTTTAGGGGTTTAGGGTTTAGGGGTTTAGGGGTTTAGGGGTTTAGTGTTAGGGGTTTAGGGTTTTGGGTTTAGGGGTTTGGGTTTAGGGGTTTAGGGTTTTGGGTTTAGGGGTTTAGGGGTGTAGGGTTTAGGGGTTTAGGGGTTTAGGCTTTTGGGTTTAGGGTTTAGGGGTTTAGGGTTTTGGGTGTAGGGGTTTAGGGTTTAGGGTTTTGGGTTTATGGGTGTAGGGTTTTTGTTACTATTGTTATTTTCTATTGTTCTTACTCTCATTGTTGCCATACGTGTCTACATGTCTACAGATAACACATACAGCTGTATGCACGTACATACATGTGTGTAGATATATACGACCGAAGACATATACACACATAAACACAGAAACCTGACCACATAAACATGTGGCCAAATGAAATATGAAGTTATGGGTGTGTGCATGTGTGCATATATGTATATATGTATATATATATATATATATATATATATATATATATATATATATATATATATATATATATACATGCACACGCATATTTCCAAGACACATATATATATATACACATACACACGTAATTATCTAAACAAGCAGATATGCATTTGTATACATATATAGACTTATACATGTATATGAAAGCACGTATATGCATATAAGTATGTCCATACATGTATAAAACCTATATGCACTTGGCCTACAAATATGCACACATACATGCATACCTAAATAGATGCATGCAGGCATGCATATATGTATACAGAACACATCTATACATCTATACATATAGACATATGTGCATATATACATATGTACATATACGCTGCTGATATACATACATATACTTATATATACTCATTTATATACATATCTAAACAGCATGTTATCACATGTACATACTTATGTATATAAACTTATACATGTACGTGTGTATGCATGTATGCGTGTATGTACGTATGTATGTAAAACCGCATATACACCTGTAAGCATGTGCATGCATGCACATGCATACATACCGCCATATCTACACTTGTACATTAACTACATAAAAACCGTTATACGTACATACATACACACTAACATGTGTGAAACCATATAGACGTACATGCAAGTACTTTCCATGTGTAATAACTTTGTACCATATAGATGAAGAATGTAAGGCTCGACAGTTTAATGCAGTATAGAGTACCCAAATATGCAAATGTCTGCAGAAGTTCAGGATTCTTGCCGTCTTAGGGTGAGCCCTACGATGGAGAACCCGGCGCTTCACTAGGGCACCGCACACATTCTTGCCCACAGCATCCAAAATGCGCGCCTCGCCTTTCAGACCTTGCCGCCAATTTTAAGGGCATGGCGTCTCAGTGCGCGGTTTAGGGTTTAGGGGTTTAGGGTTTAAGGGTTTAGGGGTTTTGGGTTTAGGGCATCTGTGAAGTTTCGGGTTCAGAGAAGTTTACAGTTCTGGGGAAGCTCATAAAAAATCGGCAGCTCAGATGATGGCAGCACACCGCTGCCGGGATAGCTGCAAGATCAAGTCATCCTTTTATTGACATCCACAGCAGCAGCTTCCCCCGATGGCCCGTGCATCCGACATGTCAGCAACCATGGTTCACACAATTACAGCGATAATCACAATTACTAATAATAGTAATAATAACATCTGACAGTGATGAAAGATAGAAACACAAACAAAAAGAGTATTAAGAGTAGAAAGTTCAAACAACAAGAACAACTGAAACAATGCAACAATGTATCTGCGAGCACCCTGCCAAGAAGACCGATGCCGAAGACCATGTTCGCGATGCCTCGGCTTTACTTGACAGACGGCCCGCTGTCCCCACAAAAGCCAAAAATTATTCTTCGTGTTCCCTATAAGTGTATACTATAAGAAAGCTTCCAAACCTTATTCTAACTAGTAAGGCCCCTAAATTGGGGATAAGCGGGATCTTGGATAGGGGCCCGTTTGCTTCTTCGATAGGCTTCACAAGAGTGCTGCTTCGTCCAACATGCACCTTCTCCGACAACAATCAAGCACACCGGACCAGATGCAAGACGATGAACTGTACTTGGGGTGACATGAAAGACCTTTATCCAAATCAACTTGCAATACTCAAACGTAACATCGATGATCGCCTGATTGCTCATGTCCCCTCTTCCACAGCTTCCTTGATGATGTCATACATCTGACCTGAAGTAGAACATTTCCCCTGTCCTGATGATACTTTGATCGTCTGAGCTCGCTGCTCTGTGGGTCAAACTCATTCAGACGCTTCCTGTCCACACTGGGCATCGGCTGTCAGACTTACTGGGATCCTGTTCAGATCTATGAGAGAACATGGCTTCTTGATCGTGGTAGCTTAAATCGGATTCCTGCACAAGAACCCAAGTCGGGGTCTAGGGACGATGGCCTCAGGGCTTTCGGGCTTAATGTAGGGGGGGTTGGGGGCCAAAATATAATTATGCTCTAGATAAAATCAGGAACTAAGGCCCCTATAGCAGGCTTAGGGTTCAGGGTTTAGAGTCTAGAGTAGTGAAGAGGCCTGCACCCTGTACGAGGCACGGCTTGTATTTTCGGGTGCAACAAAGACACCCCTGAACCCTAAGCCCTAGGCCCTAAGCCTACCAAAAGGGAAAAAGAGGGCTTGGAGTTCAGGGCCTTCCTTGGGTCGATGAGTTGAGGTTTTGAGGTGTGGATGCTTCCGGGCCAGGACAGTATTTAGCACAAAACCTGATGACACCGCTGATAGATGATACCTAGATGGCCATGTTCAGAACGCCCGCTTTAACAATTAGAATGGGGTTTGGGGCCCATTATGCTATAAATATAATAAGGAACGCCCCCTCGAAATAGTAGTAGAACACCTTGCGTTGATGCAGAAAGGCTTGATGAGCTTGGACTTGAAGCGCATGATGCCCCAAGCCTCGCCGAGAAGCTGTGATTCAGGGCAATGAGTGTTCAGGGCTCACTGCTTGGAGGATCATGGGACTTAGTAAGTCAGGTTACAAGTACCCTAATTAGGGTTGCAAGTAGTTATAAGTTATAAATATAATTACCCTAATTATAACCCTAGCTACAAGCCCCCTGATCCTTTAAGTGGGGTTTAGGGCAGGGTTTATGGTTTAGAGTGGACAAGGCTGACTGTAGAAGCCTGAACACTTACCAACCTTGTTTTGTAGGGTTCTTTACACCCAGACCCCCCGGGATCTAGAAAGTAGATCCCGTAATTTAAGGGTACTTTATAGGAACCCCCTTTAAGGGATCTACTTTTTGGATCCTCCCGTAGGTCAATGGCTGTACGATAATATACCCCAAACTAACTAGGTTTGAGGGTTGGCCTCAGAGCAATACAGGCTTCAAGCTCTCCCAAAACCAGAAGCACAAGAACGCCGAAACCTGGAACCCCCTTGCGCAGCTAGTAAAATAAAGGGGCCCTGTGTGCATTATAGTCTAGCTATATATAAGGAATCTCTAGGAGCAGTGTTATATAAAAGGAATCTCTAAGAGCAGTGCTGGTAATTTTTCAGGCTTCTACACTACTGCCGATGAAGAACCGTGAGATGTGCCTCACATCGTCTGTGCGCTCTATCCACTTAGAGGCGACCTTCCCCCCACCCCCTCCCCCCGATGTTGTCAGAGCTCAGATACTCCACCTTCATCCTGTAAAACAGAACCACAAACTCAAAGACTCACAAACCTAGGCTTACGGAGGTCTTGCGGTCCCGCGACACCCCAACTTGAAACCCTTTCAGGAATCAAGCAACCTCCTCTCCTCCAGCCGAACCCCCCAACACCCGAAACCCAATGTAAATAAGCCCTGAACCCTAAACCCTAAACCCTGAAGCCTAAACCCTTAAACCCCAGTATACACCCCAACTCCGGGGCAGCAGCATAGAAGAGGCTCGAGATGCCGCGCGCATCGAAAGCCTGCAAGCTGGGCCAGTCGAGGCTTTCTACATCCGGCTGATTTTAGGGTCTTGGGCTTCGGGTTTAGGGTGTTGGGTTTAGGGCCTTGGGTTAGGGTTTCCTGGTATTAGTACGAGTAGGAGCGATAGTATTATTGCTGTGAGTATTGGTATTCGTATTAATGCGAGTATGAGTAAGTGTACTAGCCGCTAGTCCTAGTCTAAGCATTAGGAGGAGTATTAGTCGTAGTATATGTGTATTAGTGTTAGTATTGGTATTAGCATTAATACTTCTTGATACTAGAAGTAGAACCACAGCTGGATGGAGAGCCAGATAGGTGGACATACAAACATACATGGGTACATATCTACACACGCACACACTGGCAAATGGCGTTCGAATGAAGGGACACAGTCTCAACCGATGATGGTATGGATACAAGCACATGTACAGGGCGCATGCACATAATGTAGTGGCCTAAATGACTCGCGCAACGCCGCGCCAGCTCCGAGACTTTATGTGAAACAGAGTGTCAATAGATGCAACCGAAGTACAAAACACGTGGCAGGGCCGAGGGATTCGATACTTCCGAGCCTTGCAGCTGGCTCAACTTTTGACACGCCTTAAAACCCAGTAATATCGGGACCATAACGATTCGTTCATCTATGATCATAATAAGGAAGCCCCAGAATAGGAAAGTGTTTATTTAAGTCCCTATATTATATAGCACCCCTATAGGTTCAGGGCCCATTATACTATAGTTATAAATAATTTTTCAAGGCCCCTATATAAGCCCTGGACCCTACGCTAACGATAGGTTTTTATTTACGGCCCCAGAAATTAAAAAAAGTCGAGCTCCCGCCTCCGGCCCGACCTCCAGGATGACCTGCGTAAGGCGCCTTTGGAGCTCCCGGACCTCACTGCTGTTTTGGGGCGTTCCTAGAAGGGTTTAGGGTTTAGGGTTTAGTGTTTAGGGTTTAGGGTGGGTTACTATAAGGGCTTTTAGGGTTCAGGGTTAATATAAGGGTTCCAAGAAGGGTTACTGTAAGGGCTTCGGGTTTAGGGTTTAGGGCTGTGGCTTTAGGGTTTAGGTTATGGGATAATATGAGAGGGATACTGAGGGGTTCCTGTGGGGGTTACCACCAGGGGGATACTAGGAAGGATATAGTACCGGGTTACTATAAGGGGGTGCTAGCAGGGTTACCATTAGAAGGATACGGCAAGCGTTCTAGATACTAAAAGGGTTCTTGAAGGGTTACATAAGGATACTAAAAGGGTTCTTTGATGGTTGCCATACCGGATACTGCACGGGTTACTGTAAGGGTTACTACAAGGGTTACTATAAGGGATACCACAAAGGGATACCAAAAAGGTTCTACAAGGGTTGCTATAAAGGATACTAGACGGGTTGCCAAGGGGTACTGAAAGGTTTGTAACAGGGATACTATAAGGCAGTTATGACGGTTTAGGCCTTGGGCTTTAGGGTTTTCCGCATTTTAAAGCTGAGGTCTCCGTTTAACGGGGTACTAGGAGGGATATGCAACAGTGGAACCATCAGAATCGTCAAGATCATCCTGATAGCTCATCATACTCACAGCAGACAATGGCCTCACTAACATCAACATCACCTTCAACATCATCATCACCATCAGTATCATCCTCAACGACATGGTTGCAGGCGCCGCCTCGTTTGACCACCCCGTCGCCAGCGTCCCGGGAGGAAAGCTGAAAACAGCTCCCCGGCGCATCGGCTGTATGTACATTCTTTTCTTGGGTGGCAGAGGTGCCCGACATCGGTGACAAGACGGCCTGTAATTCAAAGTCTTGCGGCTATGGTACCGGGGCGGTATAAGTCCTGCATTTAGGAATTGGGGCTGTGGGCTCAAGGAGTGCGAAGATTAATTTCCTACGAGGGGAAGTGGTATTCCTTGCTACGTGTCCTCATGTCGGGCCCTCTGCCTCCCTCTTAAGCTTCCTACTAAAGCTACGTTCCTGAAGCTACCAGCAGGCCCCCTAAACCCGAGAACGAGCAAAATTCCGGGACCGTGAACCGCTGCCCCTCGATTGCAGGGCACTTCGCCATCTCAGAGCGGATTGTGCTTTGCGCACTAGAAGACCAGAGGCTTTAGTAAGTTGTAGACGGGCTATCGTCGCTTTTATGGATACTTACACGCAACGCAAGACAAAAGCTGTACATAACTTCCAGGAACCTGCAAGTACTGTCCCGATATCTGCATAGAAACCCCGCAAGACGTGTGAAATCCATCAAGCATGTTCTTGGAGCTAGAGACTTTAACTAATATAGGGGCCTGAATTACTGGCAAGGCATACTATTCAAAAGTTAAACATAAAACGCAAGCAAAGGAACAACATAGGTAATTATTTAGGCTTCCATGTTTAACAACCCCCTCACGGCGAAGATCCCTGCTGGTCGTCTCGCTTGCGCTTGACCGCGGCAGTAAGAGCGACGTTGTAGGACTCCGTATACATCCTCAAACGTCACAGGGATTGGGGATGTAGGGAAACACTACTGGCACGATTTTGGGGGATACATGAAGTTGTGGCTGGAACAGAAGGTTCCGACCCACTCAGACACACTGAGACGAGGGCTTCTCCCCGCGAGGCATATGGTAGTCCACTTCCATTTTCTTCCTCACAGACCCACAAAGCGCTCCCTCATGCTTGGCAGCACCATGGAATTAGTAATCCTTGCAGGAAAGGTGCCAAAACAACTACAATGGCGTTTCTTTCGTAATGGTCTTCTTGGAGGGGTGCATAAGTGTGCTACAAGTGCTTGTAAAGGGAGGCGGAATAGGTTTTATATGTGGCATAATCATAAAATATCACAAAGGGTCGACGAGGGGATACTCTTACTACTTACTCAAGCCTGCAGCGGGATACAACTACTGATTTCTCAGAACCCCCTACAGTATCCACTGCAGCAGCTGTGGGAAGTCGTTACCGTACTAACGGCGTAAGCTACCTGCTGCGCGGTACTCTAGGGGCCTTAATGAGTGGAGGGCTTTGGGGTTGCACTGCTACTCTGTCTGTTTGTCCGTGCGTGCGAGCCTGCTCTTACGCAGGAAGCCAACTACCGTCTGCGATGTTCTTTTGTTGGCTAGTACTCTTACGCTTGCTCTAAGTCTCTTTGTAATTATTGTTGTTGATCTTGTCAGCTCTGTTGCTGGCTCAACAGCTGGAGCTGTTAACCTGATCCTTTTACTCCAAAAAAACTTTCCATTGGCTCGTTTTGGTCCTCTGTTTGTGATGATGCTCGTCCTTACTACGTGCTACATATGTGATGAACTCTGGTCTTATTCGTCCGTACATTTCAAGTGGTTGTTGCAGTGTCGCTTCCGTTCGGGCCAGTTGTCCCGATAGGTTTAGGTCGCGGACTGTCAATATTGCTGACGACACTCCTTTTCCGTAATCAGCTAAACACAGCACACTGAATTCTGCTCGTCGTTCGCAGCCGTTTAGTTCACTCTGTACTTGCTGCCACTCCTGTACCAGTACAGTGGCACATGCCACTAAAGCAATAGTGGCACTTGCTGTCGCACTGGAAGAAGCAACAGCACGAGCAGGAGTAGTCGCTTTCGTCTTGAAGAGTCTTGTACTCGTTTTGAAGTCGTGGTGGTTGGAGCAGCATGAGTAGTTGTGGCCGCCGCACAAAACTTTTCGGACGAACAGGCGGAGAAGAAGGTAAATCCCTGACCAGTGATAAACCACTCCATTCCAACAAAGACATAACCAACACAGAAGCCTGAATGATTCTAACATCTTTTCTTAGGGCTCCTCTTGCATACAATATACGCCAAACCCTATCCTAATGATGAAGGCCCCTCCATCAAGCATGCTTGGAGGTTCAGGGGTAGTTGTATGTGTGGACATAAGTAAAAAGTAAGTATGATTATAACCCATATTCGGTGACTACTCCCACTTATAACCACCCATGAACCTCCAAGTGCCATGCTTCACCCTGAAGGATGACTCTGGCCAGGGGGCTGCGTCACGAACTCATAGCCTTTGCGCTGAAAGATGCCGACCTTGGGAGTTCTTCTGGTTCAGGGTCTGTTTTTGCATCCCGTTTTCACCAGAATGAATCCTACGGGCTTAAATTTTAGAGTTTGGATTTGGGGTTCCACACTTTCACGTAAGCAGCACTGACCAAGACTCGCAAGATTTGGCTTGGGGTTGGGGTTTAAGGGGTAGGGTTTGCCCATGTGCTCGCTGTGGTCTCACGCAGAGAACAAAAACTAGCATGATCATGATTTAGGCTGATAGATTTTACGCTAAACATCTGCAGATATAGGATTCTCTCAAGAACTCCTGAAAAGATCCTAAACCCTTATAGATCCCGTATAGGATCCTTTCACGGAACGGGCAGAGCTCCGGGCGATTTCGTCGAAGTTCAGCTTCAGCCGGGCCTACCAGCTTTGGATTCACGGCTTTCGGAGTAGGATTTAGGGCTTCAGGGTCTGGCGAGTTAAAATGCCTACGCGTTTAGAGGTTGGGGCTTTGAGCTTTGACCTTCTAGGCTTCCGTTCAAGCTTTAGGGTTTAAGGTTCAGGAGATGCGTTCTCTGTGGTTGAGGCCAAAGGTGTACTCAGCATTTCGTCCCGCATCAACCACCCGATTGCTCTGCGCAGCCAGAGGCAGCAATTAAATTCATATGTGAGGCCTAGCGACAGCCGTGGCACATAGAAGCTGGAACTGGCGCACCAAAGCTAGCGATGACGGGAGGCATCACAGCAGCAACAACGACCCTGACGACGGCTGCGACGACGACGACGACAGTACGACGGGACAGCAGGATGAGCGCCAGGATACTCCGTCTGCCAAAGCATCATCACTGTCACTCACAGTCACCATCTTGTTCGCACACGCACAACAAAACATCGATGGCGATGGCCGCCGGCAGCAAGACCGAAAAGAAAATATGCATAACCTCAATCACGGCAACAACAACACCGCGACGACACGACGCTGGGCACTGCTGCTGCTCTTCTTGCCACTCCGTCTGTCATTGCTTCTGGTCTTCATCCGTTTATTCCTACGGCTGCTACGAACACCAGCGAGACGAAGATGAAGATGCGCATGTAGAGGAAAGGTCATGTCTCTGTCGCTCTGTCACGCGAAGATCTGTACATCCCCTGCAACTCGCACAAGCTCCGTCACCACAAACCTGAAGAGCCATCGAGATGCCTAACCTCGCAACTTTCAGAGTTCAGCTTGAAACGGACGTCTCGGTGACTGCCTTCTTTATGGATAAGACACTGCTCGAGCACGGGGACCTTATCTACTGACCCTTCGTCCGTGAGCATGCAACCTCAAGCCGCTTGGAAATCCTGAAGTCCTTAAACCCAACAAGAAACTCTACATCCCAACGTCTCGGGCTCGAAAGAGCCAGACCCACAAGCATGCTACAAAGGAACCCATAGGTCCTCCCGAAAGCCCAGCAAAGTCCCATGGAGCCGCTTCGGGCAACCAAAAAACCCTTCTGAAAACTGTACCTGCCTCCGACAACACCCCTAAACCCCACCTCATACGGGGCTTGTTAACAAAAGCAGCGGGTACCTAGTGCCTCCAGCCAGGAACCCCTCAGTCTTTCAAACTCCCATATGCCGGGCCTCCTTCTTCCAGTTCAGCGGCCCTATATTCACCCAGACGCCTCCTTCACGGAGAAGTCCATCCATCACCTCGCCCAGAGATTTGCTTTGCAGAGCTTTGGGTATAGGTTATGGAGAAAAGGGTTCGGGGATGACGTTCAAGGGTTTAGCTTCAAACGTTCTGGCAAATGGCGTTCAGATCCTCATAAGTTGTAAGACTGTCAGTGTCTGTATGCGGCTCCACAAGACATGTTTGGAATGTGCATTTCTACAATGCCCGTAATCTTATACCAGCCAGACCTTAGCCATCGTACCTGGAAGAGCTTCGCAGGGTCAGTGGGCGTGTCGATGAAGAAGCAGGTCACCAACGCCTGAATGGCCCACAGCTCGAAATTCAGAATCTGCGCACCAGCTGCTCTTCTCACGATGACAGTGCCGATGACCACTGGCATCATGATCATGAGCAGTAGAAGGAGGGTCAGGATTGGGGAGAGGGTGAGTATGAGATGGCTAACGACCATGAACAAGATTGTGCGCATGGCCACGCTGGAAAGGACAGGAAGGATGGCAAAGCTGCCGAGGAAGGCAAAGATCGTGTCACGTTGACGATTGCATGCGTATGTATACACACACATGCATGTGTACGTGCTATTGATACCCTCGCAGTTGGTCTATCAGTACTGTTGATACTATATAGTCATACAGTACCATCATTATTTGTTTTTGACATTGTCCTTTACTATTATCCCGAGACAGTTATTGTCAATACCTGTTGGAGGTGGTGGCGGCGGCGGTAATGGTGGTGTTGCTGATGTTGTTGTTGTCGTCGTGGTGGTGGTCGTGGTGGTCGTGGTGGTGCTTCTGCTCTACTGCTGCTGCTGCCGGTGGTGGTGGGCCTTCGTAGCAGTAGCAGTAGGAGTAGTAGCAGTCGTCGTCGTCGTCGTAGTAGTAGAAGTAGTAGAAGTAGAAGTAGAAGTAGTAGTAGTAGTAGTAGTAGTAGTAGTAGTAGTAGTAGTAGTAGTAGTAGTAGTAGTAGTAGTAGTAGTAGTAGTAGTAGTACCGCATCCCCCCCCGGTGCGACGCCCAGACCTCTTATTCTTGGGACTTGTTGTGGTCGGAAATGCTGTGTTTTACAGCACTTTTTTCCGCAGTTATCGAAAGTGGCAACTGTTCCTGGTTTCGTGTGTATTTTTATCATGTTTTCTAACATTGTTCATCAATCTCGCACCTCAAAATGCTGGTATTTACAGCACTTGTCTTTGCGAAGTTCATTATTTTTTGCTGTGTTTTGTTGTCTCGGTTTTCCTGCCCAAAACCTAGCGATCAGAATGAAGGTTTTTATGGACTAATATTGATCATGATGTCCATCCAAATCGTTGGAAAACAGAGCATCCATGTCCAAAACCTAATCACGTCCATGGTCTAGCGCATTTTGGTTTGGAGAGCATCCATGTCCAAAACCTAATGACGTCCATGGTCTAGCGCATTGAGGTTTGGAGAGCATCCATGTCCAAAACCTAATGACGTCCATGGTCTAGCGCATTGAGGTTTGGAGAGCATCCATGTCCAAAACTTCATGACGTCCATGGTCTAGCGCATTTTGGTTTGGAGAGCATCCATGTCCAAAACCTAATGACGTCCATGGTCTAGCGCATTGAGGTTTGGAGAGCATCCTGATCCAAAACCTAATGACGTCCATGGTCTGGCGCATTTTGGTTTGGAGAGCATCCATGTCCAAAACCTAATGCCATCCATGGTCTAGCGCATTCCGCGACAGCTCTGATGGAAACATGTTGTACATCCACGAACTCTGCGACCGGCGTCGCACCAGGGGGGATAGGGTAGTAGTAGTAGTAGTAGTAGTAGTAGTAGTAGTAGTAGTAGTAGCAGCAGCAGCAGCAACTCGCGTTAGTCGCAGCAGCAGTGGCGGTACCAGTAATGGTCGCAGTCACAACAGCAGTAGAAGTAAGCAGTAGCAGAAGCATTAGAAGTAAGCGGTAAGCAGTAGCAGTAGAAGCCGTAGAAGCCGTAGAAGCGGTGGAAGCAGTGGAAGCATTAGAAGGATGACGACGACGGCTACTTCTTTGGTTTTCACCTTCACGATCAATAACAACTGAATTGCGCTAGGCGTGTCCACGATGATGAACGGAGCAAGAAACCCCTCATGGGTCAGCAGCAGCCTACCCTTCCAGGGATAAGACTTGAGGCTGCACATCGCTCGCATGTTTCTTGAGTCTCTGCCCGGCCATGCCACGGCATTTCTGACCAGCACTCGTGATGGTGCTTGAAATGCTACTGCTGGCCTCCTGAGATCTTGCCTGTTTGTCTTTCAAGGTTCAGGAGTCCAGAAATCCTGAATGAAGTTGCAAAATGGCGAGGCCGTGGCCTCACAGACTCAACGATAAAAGCCGTTGTTGGTTTCAGGGGCTGCGGCCGAGCTCTAGACGCTATGGCCTGAAACAATTCGGCTTTTGTCATGATCCTCCATCCACTTGCTAGCCTTCGGCAAAGCCTCCCAATGACTAGGCTCCAGCTTGGCCATCGTTCCTTGCACGATCGCAAGCAGCTGTGGCAGCAAACGGTGGTGCTGGAGCAAAGTCCAGAGTCCTTCATCCAATGCGGCCATGTAGTCGGCCAGAATGGGCTGCAGTCCTTCAGGCATGGACCCTGTGAGTGGATACATCCACATGTCCAGCAAGTCCGAGGCCACCTCCAGAAACAGATCCGCATCAACGGCACTGCGGAGTCCCTCAACTGGCCCTGACTCAGCCATCTCAACGTTCACCGAATCACGGTTATAGAAGAAGCGGTCCAGTGAAGCCCATTTCACTGCGAAGAAGTACTTCTGTGCGAGATCCTCCCTGCACAGTGTGCGCCCCTCCCGAGACCGCTTCCTGACTTGAGACAGCTTGGAAGCCTCCTGAAGCTCCAGCTTTGATTCGAGCCTGTCCCGAATGCGCATAAATGTGTTCACGTGGAAGACACCCGGGACCCGATCTGCGAAGCCTCGATTTATGAGGTGCCTGCGCGGGTACGCAAAACCTGCCGAGCCATCGCGACCAAAGGAATGGAGCCGCAGCTTGGCTGCCCTGGCCCGATCTTGCAGGCAGCGCAGCAAGCTCTCCGTCGCCAAGGTGAAACGCTTCTGGGCATCCTCGTCTGGCTCCCCACGCACCAGTGGAAGGAAGAACAGCCGCTCCCATTCTGGCTCGGTGACCTCGTACATGTGTCGGCAGGCCTGGAGAAAGTGAGTGCAGACCTCGAACACGGGCAGATGCAAGCTATTGAACATGGATTTACTCCGTCGGGCGTAGAGAAGTCTCAGGCATGGAGGCATAGAGACCAATGAGAAACACGTGTTTGGTCCGAAACTTCCTACTGAAGGTTTTCGTACCAGTTTGAATTCGAAAAGGAATCTCAGGACGACTTCCAGAACCACTCCAGCATGAACAGCAGGGCACAACATTGACAGCTTAACCGACGATATTTCCCGAGGCCCTGACATCCAGGCTGTCAGTGGTGCAGCTGTAGGCTGTCAAAGATGTCGCCGTTGCAGCTAGCCGGAGGAATGTTCTTGCATCGTCGAGGGTAGAGCCATCCAAGCGAATGTGCACCTTCTTGAGGAGGATCAGATCTGGGACATTTGGAAGCTGCTGCATGATGCGGCTCAAACAACGGGAAAGATCTGCGAGCGACACCTCTTGAGGCAACGGGATTGACTCACGAGGAGCTGTCGTCTCTTCTTGTGCCGACACTGCATCCACGACGAGCACACTGCGCAGCTTAGCTTCATCCACTGCTTGAGGCCGAGGCTCTACGCCAAAAAATGGAGCTAGCAAGTTGAAGCAAGCGTAGTTCTGCTGTGCCAGGGCAACATCCAAAGCGGTTTCGCCCTTGGTGGTCCTGAGCTGCGCCACTGCTACCTGATGTCGCGCAGCATGCCTTTTGAGCTCTTGCAGTAGATCATAGTGGCCAGCATATGCACAGATGTGGAAAGCCGAGTTTCCGTACTGCTTCTCGCGTGATCGAACATCCACAAGCCGGAGCCAAGGATGTTCTGCTGTCTGATGCGAGAACTTCAATAGAAGCAGCCTCAGGGTCTCCACAAATGTACCGTCTTCACACAGGTAATGCAAAAAGGGCTTGTTCTGCAGATGCACAAAGGGCAGCTTGCTGAAAGTCTGATAGTAGAATTCATCCTCTGTGTCACCACTCTCCCAATGTGCCTTCAACGCTTCCCGGAAAGCAGGGTTCACTGTCATCTGCTCAAGAAACTCTACGTCGTCTGCTTCCAACAACATCTCTGTGACTTGATCGAAGAACTGCCATATGTTGTGCTCGCTAGCACGGGGAAGCTCGAACATTTCTGTTGCCACGTACTTCTTGGGATCATACAAATCGGTGATAACAGCATGCACCACTCCTGAAGACAGCAGCATCACTGATGCTTGCTAATGCCGATCAGCACCCGTGATATCATTCAGGTCAAGCAGAAAGTTTTGGACACTAGCTACCTCACCGGCCTGCTACTCAGCAGTACACAGGAAGCTGTCCTGGATCATCCGTCAGCATTGTCAGCTCTTGTGCAGCTCTTTCGTGCCTGCACGCAGCTTCTTCCAGCTCACTCCGTGGGACAAGCCGCCGAATTTTCCACTTGGGACGTCGAAATCGATCCTGCGCTCCACGCTCGTATGCACTGAGCTTCGATTGCCCAGGAAGCTATCTAGAATAATTGATACTCACCCACAGGCTGCAACTTTATGAGTCATGCGGCATCTAACGCCTTTGAGCGCTCTACGTTCATGAACCGCAGGCCACGTCGAAGAGTCTCTTCCACAATTGCCTTGTCACTGGCCTCAGCACACTACAACTGTTTGCGAGGCAACCCTCTGAAGCAAGGGCACTTCCTACCATGCGCCCTTCTGTTAAATGCCAGTCTTCTGTGGGCGATACTACACCAATCAACCGATGCATGCTTTGCATGACTGAGGCTGCAGCAAGGATCCTTGCAAGCTGATGCCCTTGAAGCTCGACGTGCGGATTCGTCAGCCCCGTGTTGTGTGTGTAGCCGGAGCGCCCCGTGAAGCTGCTGGAGGTTTCCAGGCCTTCTTGCAGAAATCCCCCCAGCTCAATAGGGATCTCCTTGCCTGCAGCTGCCAGGTGATCGGCAACTTCCTGTGCAACCCGGTAGTCCTGCTTTTCTGCGCGGTTCAGAAGCGACACGGCTAGGCCCGTCCTCCCGCCACGCCCGGTACGTCCAACCCGATGAACGAAGGAGTCACAATTGACGGGCATGTCATAGTTCACCACCAAGGAGACATCGGCAATGTCTAGTCCTCGACCTGCCACATCCGTCGCCACTAGTAGCCCAGGCTTGCAAGCTTTGAAGGCCGCCAGCGAGGCCTCTCGAGAGGCCTGGTCCATGTCCCCATTCAAGGTTTCACATGCACAGCCTCGCTCCATCAATTGTTCCTGGAGCCCTGCACACGAAGCTTTGGTGTTCGTGAACACAATTGCACGCTCTGCCCCCTGTAGTTCAGAGAGCTGACGCAACATTCGTGGCAACTTCTCGCGAATGTTGGAGCATGCATGGAAGGTGAGCGTGATGTTTTGGTTGGTGGTTCTACCCACACTGCCCACCTGAATCAGCTGTGGTTCCGTAAGGAACTCGTTGGCAAGCTGCTGTACCTGGATGCTTCGGACAGTGGCGGGGAATGCATGACATGCGTTGGGTGCAACTCATCCCCGAGATGCCCTGAAGCAACTTTGCAGGGATAGGTCGGTGAAGCCAAGCCACTTGCCCCGAGGATGTCCAAGTGGCAGTAAAAAGCAGCATCTGCACCGAGAGAGGTCGTCGGTCAAGGATGTCCCGAATCTGCAGCTCGAAGCCCTGGTCCAGCATGCGATCCGCTTCGTCCAGGACAAGGGCCGAAAGGTCCTTGAGAGACAGCTGCCCACGGTTCACGAAGTCGCGAATGCGGCCGGGAGTACCCGAGCACCAATGAATGCGTTCGGACATGGCCCGCTTCTGCGCCACCACATCTGCACCTCCGTAAAAGGCAGCAGACCTAAGTGTCGGTAAAAGGCAGGTTGTGAGCTTCTTGCCTTCCTCATGAATCTGGCACGCCAATTCCCTCGTTGGCGCAAGCACCAGCAAACGAGGATAGGCCAATGCTTTCCCTCGTTTGAGTGTAGACGGCTGTTGCAGCAAGACATTGATTGTCGGCACTAGGAACGCCAATGTCTTTCCACTTCCTGTCGCAGACACACCGATGACATCCGAGCCGGAAACAATGACTGGCCAGCACTTGGCCTGCACCGGTGTAGGCTTGTCGAATCCAAGAGCTCGCAGCGCTTCTCGAACGGATGGAAGGAAGCAACATGCATCGAAGTCTTCCCATGGCTCCGCCATGGACAGCATGGATGCACTGCTGTTGAAACTATGAAGACGAAACACCGAGTTCAGCGAATCATGCTGTGCTCCCAATTGTAGGCCTGGCTCTCTGAGCAGGCAGAAGGCAGAGTAGGTGACTGTTTTCTCGCGAACATCCCTCCCGCCGCCCAGGTTGACTGAGTTTAGGGCTTAGGGTTGAGGTGGTAGAAGGGCACGTGCAATCGCCCACTTGGGCCGGCGCATCGAACTGGCGGTACCCAGGACCACCTGCCTGCGGTTGAGGGTCCCAGTGTTGCTTAAGGTCTCTGGCTTTGGGGCTTCACGGTGCTAGGTTTAAGGACTGGGGGTTTAAGATTTTCTGGGTTCAACAGCTTTAGGCTCTAAGCGGCCAAACTGCTGCCAATGAACAGCGACATGGCACTGAGTGGCAACGAAAAAACAACAATTCACAAACACATGCGCACACACGCACACACGTACACACACACACACACTGACACACACACACACACACAGACACTGACTGTGGCATCGGTGAGATTCAGATAGCTGTCGAACATCTCGCAGAACACACAAGAAGTCTGAATTGTCGCGCGCTGGGTTTAGTCCATATGTTTTCCGAGCCAGTTCTCCAGCAAGACCCTGAACCCAAGCCAAAGACCCAGAGCCCTGAGCCGCAAGCCCGAAACTCACGCGACTACGAGCTACAAGCACGATTCTGACGCCTCGTAAGTCTTGATGAAGTCGCCAGGCACCAGGACGATGGGAGGCCTGGTGGCTGATGGGCGCAAGGCTTCACTTGGAAGTTCCAGCCTTGTTCCGGCATCTGCAAGTGGGATAAAAGCAAAGTAAGGACTTGACTTCACGTTGGGGCTAAAAGCAGCAAATTCCTCAAACCCTGAACCGCAGAGGGCTCGCGGCTCCCAGCATCCACGTCTCTCGCCTCCCGGTGACCGGATCAGAGGAAACCAAAGAGTCCGCCCGCAGGCCCGGAACATTCATCTCCATGTATTGCGTAAAGTGACCTGGGCGATCTTGCGGTTTTAAGAACTCAGGATTTGGGGGCTTAGGACTTTAGGCTTCGGGTACGGACTTTATATATATATATATATATATATATATTCGTTTCTGTGATTGGTGGCTTAAGCCACGAACCTGCTACTTGGCTTCCTGTCGCAGGCTAGTGGCCGTGATTCTCCGAGAACACATGCGCCAGTGGGAACAGCTGGTGTCCCGATGAAGGCACCTGGGCTGCAGCACGACTCAGCTTTTGAATTCCACATCATGCACGTTCAGAACCTGGCAGTGGAGAGTGTTCTCCGTTGCCTGTGGTCCTGCACACTACATCCCATGGGGAACTATGCTCCCTGCATGCATGTGCAAGCATGCAAGTAAGCGAGACGTATAGGCTAGGTACGCGTGCACGTGAACACGCATGTGTGCGCATAGCCGTGCAAAATATTTGCGGCTAGAATATCACATGCAAGCGTACATGCACGCAGGCTAGCCTAGCAAACAAGAAGAACTGAATTAAGAGTGCATCATACTGAGGTCTAAACTGAATACATTGCATTCGCGCTGCGCTACCCTCTGATACCTTACACGGGGCTGGTAGTATGTCAATTGAGAAAACTCGGAGCATGAGTTGCATGACTTGATTTCATCCCAGTTGATATATATATATATATATATATATATATAATATTATATTATACTTTTTATATTATATATATATATATATATACCCCTCTCAAAAAACCCATACCCTGCCTTTATACGCCGACAAAGACGCACGCGAATTTACAAACCCCCGGAAACGGAGCCCTGCACCTAAGACCGAAGGGCCTAAGCACTGCAGCCAGGATGCTCTATTCAAAAAGTAGTCAGCAAATGTCAGGAACAAGCGCGAGGCATCCTCGGCAGAAACACACTCAAAACTCCCTTCTGGCCCTAAACCCTAAACCCTAAACCCTAAATGGCTACACAGAGCTCGGAAGCAGCTTGGAGTTTTCGGGTTGGGGGCTCGGAAGCAGCTTGGGGGGCTTTAGGGTTAAGGGTTTATGTAGGTGGTATGTAACTGTAAGGCCTACGGTTGGGGCCGGTTGGTTCAACATTTTGGACTTTCAGGTTTCTAGTACCTGTCGCCTGCACATGCACTTGTGTTGCCGACACCCCTCATTTGGCTTTACAGAACTTGCAAATACTTGCGAGGCTTGCTGCAGGCAGATACCAAAGCGCCCAAGTAGTCGCAGCAGGCAACCTGCAATAAGAAGCCAATAAGAAAGAAGCCAGTCGCAGCAACCTGGCCCAGGCATTGCAGCACTAGTCTTGTGCAGAACCCCCAGACTTCTTGACATAGAACAACTACCGCAGACGCAGTCTAGAACTTGTGTCGCAGTAGTACTCTCCCGTATGATCCTAGACCAATGCCGCTGCTGCTGTCGTTGTTGCTGTTGTTGCTGTTGTTGCCGTTGTTTCTGTTGTTGCTGTTGCTGTTATTGCTGTTATTGCTGTTATCGCTGTTATTGCTGTTATTGCTGTTGCTGTCTTCGCTGCTGTGGCTGCTGTTGCTGTTGTTGCTGTTTGTCGGTGGCAGTGGTGGTACTGGGAGTGGTCGCTGCAGTGGTGGTCTTTGGGCCCTCTCTCTTGGCCAAGTCTCGTTGGCCTCGACCTTATAGCCCTCGGCCGCCAGCATGACCGCCAAGCGACCAAGACCTACAACGAATCCGAAGCCCGCGAAATGCTTCAGCCGTCAACTCTGCCCACACAGAACAAGGAAAGGGATCACGACGCTACTTTGGGGTGTGAGGTCGGGATACTTGCAGGTCTTGGGAGTAAATGGTGGTTTAGAGTTGCGGGCTTCAGTGGCTGCGGGGCTGCACGGTTACAGATTAGACTTACTCCCCCCCTCCCTCCCGTGCGCCCCTAGGATCACTTTGGGCGCATGAACTCCTGAGATCCTGAAACTTACAAAACATCACGAGACCCCGCGACGAGTTCCCAACATAAGCAGCAGAAGCAACACTCAGTCATGACGGCAACCACAACGACACGAATCAGTTTGAAGGCATTGATAAGACGAGGTGACCCGATGTTCATCTTCTGCTTCCCCGGCATGCTAGCAGCCTTGCTACTCTTTAATAAATGTAGCAACAGTGGTAGTAGTCGTAAACACGAAAAACGAAGGTGGAAACCGGAGCGACAAGAGAAATTGGAACAGCATTGGCAGCAGCAGTTGCAGCTGCAGGTGCGGTTGCAGTTGCAGTGGCAGTGCTAGCGGCAGTGGCAGCGGCAGTGGAAGTGAAGTGGCAGCAGCAGCAGCGGCAGCGGAGCACAAATAGTGGAAGTCGTCGTCGTGGTCGCAGTCGTGGCCGTGGTCGTAGCCGTAGTCGTAGTGGTAGTAGGAATCATCATCCTTCGTAGCAGTAGTAGTAGTAGTAGTAGTAGTAGTAGTAGCAGCAGTTGTTGTAGTTGTTGTTGTTGTCGTCGTCGTCGTGGTGGTGGTGGTGGTGGTGGTTCTGGTTCTGGTTCTGGTTCTAGTTGTGGTTCTGGTTCTGGTTCTGGTGCAGGTGCTGGTGCTGGTGCTGGTGCTGGTGCTGGGTGGTACCAGTAGTAGCCGTAGTAGCAGTGGTAGTGGTAACAGCAGCAGCAGCAGCAGGAGCAGCACAACCAGCAGCAGCAGCAGCAGCAGCAGCAGCAGCAGCTTCTTTTGCTACCGTCTTCGTTGCCTGCTCTGTAACAACGGCAACAGCAAAATAATGATCTATAACAGGCATAGCGATGGTTGCTGGAAAAAAAGGATACAGAAGAGGAGTAACAATCACAATGGTGATGACAAGAGTCATAAACAATATCCCTACACCCTAAACCCTAAACCATAAACCCAAACCATGTTCCGAAACACAGCATCAGCCTGCTCCTGGCTGAAGGACCGTGCTGCCCTTGGGCAGGAGGGCCTGCATCACAAGTTTCGGGCTTAAGGCCGCTCAGTCTTCGGCCTTTTAGGGCTCTGGGGTTTTGGGCTTCAGGGTCTTTAGGGTTTAGGGTTTGGGGTTTAGGGTCAAGGGTTTAGGGTTTAGGGTTTAGGGTTTAGGGTGGAGCTTGCTGTTTGGGGTGGCCTCACTTTCTTTTTCTCCGTCCTGCCAAACTCCGGCGGCGCCTCCAAGCCCCTTATGCAACGCACTGTTCGGAAGTTGCATGTTGAGCGTAGCCGAAGCTCGGGTCTGTCTGTTGATAGCTCTTCTGGAGATTTTGATATTTCTATTGCTCACGGTCTTATACCTGTCTTACAGCAGTCTTGTGTTACTATCTATAACCCACGTGCGCATCGTGACTCTCATCGCAGTTGTTATCTCAGTTCGTAGCACCACTACCACGACTGAGTGCTAGTAGCTGTCCGGAACATTTTGCAAGAAACATGCTGCCCGAGCAATCTTTGCTGAAGCCGTAAAACATCTGTATATCTGGGTGCCCTGGTACACAAGGACTACAACACAGCACCATGTGAACCACAAAGCGTTCTCGCCTTCAGTTCGTCGACAACGGGAGCGTATTGACCCGCCGCAACATGGTCGCACTTCGCGCTCCAATCCTGAACATGACGCATGGCTTCTTCAAGTTAGAGGTGTCAAGTTGCATCTCCAAAGCAGGGATCCTATTTGTTGGGGATATGTAATGGGGTCTCCTAATTCCTACGCCAACGAAACTCGCACTTGTGCTCCAGGCTAGCTGAAGGTCCTGACGACCGGGTTTGGAATAGGAACACACGAAAAAGCAACAACCGACGCCGGAGGACCTTGTACTGAGCCGTGTTTCTATTATATACATACATATACATGTATATGTATACGTATATACCTGTGTGTGTATATATGTAAGTGTGTACGTATGTATGTATGTACGTAGGTAGTTTTGTCTTGTGTATATGTACATGTATACACGTACCTGTTTATGAACAGACCAGATACACGGAGAAACACATGACGCTCTTACATGCAAATAGACACATCTACAAAACCAGCCTAAGGCAGCCCAAGAACTAGGCAATCACAACAAAAAACGCATACATACTTACATACACACAAACATACATGCATACATGCACCCATGCATATGTATGTATTCGGGTATGTCTCTGTCCGACTTGTGGCTTGCGGACATGACATGTTCAGGGGTGAGGGGCTCCTCTCTGGCAGAGATGCGTAATATAGGGGCCTCAGCTATCGAATAGGGTGTTCGGGCATAGTATACTACAGCTCGTAGTAATTCTTCAATCCCCTACATTAGAGTTTAGAGTTTAGAGTTCCGGCTGGAAAGCAAACTGCCAGTGCCCACCCTTGCAGGGCCGGGTACCCTCATGATGTGGAGGAAGACTGAAGCCATGGTACCTTGCAGCCGCAGGAAGATGGCGAGAAAGGTGTCAGAACTGATATCTTTCGTGATTCAAATGGTAGAGGCGAAACCGTCCCGATGGCAAGCAAAAAAGTAAGTTTCGCGTAATCCGAGTCCCATACCGTAGGCAGTTCCTGGGAGGGTATCGACTCCATCCGGGAGCTTGCGAACCTGTCACGGTTGGATGTGAAGTTTTGGCTAGGAACTCAAAATTTTGGTCTTGTTTAGGACCGTTTGAAGTGTAGGGTTTGGGATAGATTTGGGTTGAGTTTTAATCCCTGTCAAGAGGGGGAAACGCTCTGAAGCTTCACGCCAGTTCAGTCTAAGCGTTGGCTTCGAGGCATTAAGTCTTTCGTTGCAAAGGGCTTGACCAAAAGTTCATGGACTGGTTACCGGTTGTAGGGGTGCTAGCCCAGGTTGATGAAAACTGACTTGCCCGCGGTGTTGCGATAAGTGCCTTCACCAGCTCCGCTTCTAGGGAAAAGTCCCCACATTTCCGGGATCAAACTTCGACCTAGCGAGAATCTTCTGACTGCCATGCACACATACTATGGATAAGCGGAGAGAGCCCCAGGGTGGAATAGCTCTTCCAGAATAGAGATATCACAATTCTCTACTTGGAGGATCATGGGACTTAGTAAGTAAGGTTATAAGTACCCTAATTGGGGTTATAAGTAGTTATAAGTATAGTTACACTAATTATAGCACTAGTTACTAAGTCCCATGATCCTTTAAGTAGCTCCGGCGGAGAAGACTGACGGACCCTGCGCTAGGAATCTACCGGGAAAGGGCGTGCTAGCGCACCTATGTCTGCTCAACTAGAACTCAGGCACATAGGCCTTTTGGTGCAGACTGTCTGGCCTGAGTCCTATATGATCTACAGCCCGAACATCAATAGCCGATCGCAGATCTCCCGCCAGTGTTTTCCGTCTGCAGTTCCTTGCCGACAAGGGCGCTGCCTTTCTGCCAACCCTAACCTGAACATGTGTTCCGCATTTCCATACGTAGCCTTTGGCGGATGCCTGTTCCGGCTCTGTCAACATCATACGATTAGAGAACCGCATTGAAAATGCAGCGCATATGCACCCTACAAGCGTTAAGATTACAAGAAATCCTGGCACGACTGTGCATGCTGACCTCTGCGACGGGCCGTGCCGGAGGTATGCCAGCATCCGGACCAGCCATGATGTCGGGCAGGTCCTGTCACCCCTACTCCCTCAACCCTAAATCGAGCAACTTAGCAGTCCAAGCACACTGGTCTTTGATTACAAATAAGGTAAGTATACTTATAATTACTTATAATACCAGTTAGGGTACTTATAACTCTACTTACGAAGTCCTATGAACCTCCTTTTGTGGAATCCGGAGAAAATCTCAAGGCCCCTAGTCTCCATCCACACCGATAGAAGTTGCATAAGGCATAGAGATTCCAAGCGGCCTCAATCACCTCATCCACAAAGTCCCGGTTTACGTCGCGGGCCTGCGCGGCGTGGGAGGGCATGATCGCGAAAAATCAGCCGCCGACACCACCGTCATGTTTGGTTCGGGGGTAGCAGAGCCGGTCAAGAAAGTGCTATCACCGCTACTCTTTGTAACGGCGGGCAACACGTGCCTTGCGGATAAGTTTGACTCTTCGATCGATGATGTCCTCGCCAAGGAGTTTCCGCTCAAGCTTGCTGGGCTGCAGCAGGTTGTACCTCCGCAGATGAAAGCCACTCCAAAAACAACTCGCATGTATGCTAGTGTTCACAGAAACCGCGAATGTATACATCATCGTACATGCACATGCACTCATCCGTCCATCCATCCAGGCGTCCGTCCATCCATGCATCCGTCCATCGACCCACCTGCCCACCCAGCCAGCCAGCCACCCGTTCATCCCTCCATCTATCCCAACTTCCCTCCCTCCATCCATCAATCCATGCATGCATCCATCCATCGCTGCTTCCGTCAACAAATCATCACAACCATAGATGCATACATACATCCATACATCCTGACATCCGTACATACGTCCATCATACGCCCATGCATAGGTACATACATGTACATGCATACATGCATACATGAGAGCGCTCAGGGACTAGAGATTGGGGTTTGAGGGTGATCTTGAACAACCGAAAACAAGCCGTCTACATGCGACCGTAGTCAGTTTAGTCATTTCTGAAGTCTGCACGGCCCTCGCAACAACCAGCAATACACTGTCGCTGCAAACTAGCGTCAACACGGGCGCACGCATCTTTCTCAATGGCCTGCTCATACTTGTTGAACACATCCCGCAACTCAGTCCTGCCGGAAGTGAGTGCCCGGAAGCCCAGAAGCTTATGAGGTTCAGTCCTAGTCGGATGGGTTCGACGGATCAATCCAGAGTGGACAATTCGGCATTGAGTGCTGCCTGCTTAGCGCGAACTTGATTTATGCACAGGGGATGCGGGACTCTAGGCTCAAGGCGGATATGAACTGGTCAGATGCTCCGAAAAATCCTTAACTACAGCCGCCAGCAAGGTACGGAAGAACACCTCAAGTCGGGACCGACATCCCCTCAACTCTGGACCGAAAACACTGAGCTCTAACCTCTAACCATACCTAGGATACCCAGTAACCTGAGAATAAAAAGGCCTCTCTTTTTGGTATTGGGTAACTTTATAAGGAACCTAGGACTACAAAAAGGGAATAAGGGTACTACTGGGCATCCTAGATACAATACCTGGAGCTGCAAACCCCACGAAGAGGTGGAGCCCTCTGCGTAGCAAGTCTTCTGTCATCCACAACCTAAACCCTAAACCCTAAACCCTAAACCCAAAACCCTAAACCCTGAACCCCTGAGCCCTTGACTCCGAACAAGGGGAGCTCCTGGATAGCCGCCAGCCCTCGAAGGACATCGGAGGCTTCCCCTTCCACTTCTTGTAAAGCTTCGGCCTGCACTTTGCAGGGGCGTAGGTTCTTTTAAGGTTTAGGGGTTTAGGGGTTTCGGGGTTTAGGGGTCGAGGGGGTTAGAGGTTTGGGGGTTTAGGGGTTTTAGGGGTGTAGGGGTTTTAGGGTTTAGGGGTTTAGGGGTTTTCGGGGTTTAGGGGCTTCGGGGTTTTGGGGCTTTATGGTTCAGAGCTGCAGGTGCGAGCTTTATCTTCGGGGTTTGAGGTTTAGGAGTTGCGGAACCCTGAACCACAGTGCTAGTTCAGGTCCACAGGCTCATCACAAGCGCAGAAAACCGCGGAGTTCGATCCTACAAAACCCTCATGAGCCCGTATAAAACCAAACCCTCATGTACCCCTTCAAGAACTCGTATAGGCCCCCATAGAAACCCTTCTGAAACCCTCAGAGAACCGTTTTGTAGCACCCATACCCATAGAAACCCATATAAATCCTAGTTCCAGCCAGCCTACAGTAGTTGATGAGGCCCGGGCCACGCAAAGTTGACGACTCCGGCCAGGCATGCAGAAACCTGACAATCACAACAGGAATGATATGAGTATACGTGTGCCCATACATAAACATGTGTGTGTATATATATATATATATATATATATATGTGTGTGTGTATATGTGTGTGTGTGAATATACAGTGTATATCTACCTGCGCGCACATACATGCATGCATGGTTTTGTGATGTTTTTGGTGTTTGCACTGAAGTGCTCTGTTTGTGTTCTCTTGACTGCTTGTTTCTCCGTGATGCATGCTCATACTATGCTCCACACACATCCGCGTTTTTCGCACGCACATGTGTACAGATATGTGTCTGTGTATGTGTGTGTGTATATATACATACATATATATATATATATACACGTATATATATATATATATATGCAGACGTACTTCTATGTGCATGTAACCCACAATTACAAAACCTGACTAAATCACAATAGTATAGTATTCCCAGAGTCCCCTTGGATGTTTGGAGTGCCCAACACCTGCCCGACACGGTTCAGGCCTTTCAACATTCTACACGTTTAATGGCATGGTCAGTTTGGAGCTTGGCATCCGGCTCCAACACCCAAGACTTTGCCGAAGGAGAAGACTCGCATCTTCCTTCGGGCTCCCTTACTTGAGCCCGGCTGCGCAGGGCGGCATCATCGGCGAAAAAGGTGAGAACATGCTGCAGCAATCAAACCCAGAGTAATCCCAGCAAGTCAGCAACCTTTTTTTGAGTAGAAACTACCATACTCGTGGCAATGGCAATAAACATGTAGTAGCAACTCTATTGAGTACTTCTGCTGTTGTTGCTGCTACGACGAGGACTACTACTAATGCTACTCCCACTACGACGGCTACTACTACTACTACTACTACTACTACTACTACTACTACTACGACTACTACTACTACTACTACTACTACTACTACTACTACAACCACTACTACTACTACTACTACTACTACTACTACTACTACTACTACTACTACTACTACTACTACTACTACTACTACTACTACTACTACTACTACTACTACTACTACTACTACTACTACTACTACTACTACTACTACTACTACTACTACTACTACTACTGCTACTGCTACTGCTACTGCTACTGCTACTGCTCCTGCCTCTGACTGCTACTGTCACTGCTGCTGCTGCTGCTGCCGCTGTTGCCACTGCCCCTCGCTGCCACTGCCACTGCTGCTGCCACCGCCACTGCCACTGCCACAACCACTTCTGCTGCTGCTGCTACTACAACTGATTACTCCTCCTCCTACTACTCTCCTACTCCTACTTCTGCTACTCCTACGCCTACGCCCATGCCTACGACTACGACGAGGACGAGGACGACGACGACGACTACTACTACTACTAAAACTGCGACGACGACCACTCATTGCTGCTATCACTTCGCGCCGCTACTGCTGCTGCTGGTGCTGCTGCTGCTGCTGCAGCTGCTGCAGCTGCTCTTGCTACTGCTCTGCCACAACTGCCACCTTGCGTGCCATTCCGATGCCAACGAACCCTCAATGTCCACTGCTGTCTATTCATGATACAACTCCTGCAGTACCCATAATAAGGAATATACCATCGTGCCCCTAGTTTTGGCTCTTTTAAGGCAATGCAGGGTGTATATCATCAGCCCGATACCCTAAACCCTAAAAACCCATAGATCCCTTAAAGGAATCCCTTAAAGGAATCCCTTAAAGGTACCCTTATAGGGTTCAGCATCCACCGCAGTGCTCGGGCTCCAGGCGTGCATTTCCCGCTCCTCGGGCTGCTCCTTGCGAGCCTCGTTCCGCGAGAACTTCGCGAGCCGATGCCAGGCGGTGGCTAAGTTCACCGGAGTCCTTTGAGTGCGATGGGCTTATTCCCTTAAAGGGATCTACAGGGATTCTATAAATTTAGGGCCTACTTGGAAGTTCATGGGTAGTTGTAAGCGGAGTTAGAAGTCAGGTAACCATGATTACAACCCACATTACGGGACTCGTAACTTCAGCTATAACCACCCATGAACCTCCAAGTAGGGCTTAGGACTTCGGGGTTAGCATTCAGGGCTTCAGGCTTAGAGGATGCATGTAGGGTTTAGGGTCCTGCTAAGCCTTCTAGGCTGCAGGGTTTATGTAGCGACTATACAAGCATCTCAAACGCTCTATTCCTTCAGGAAATAGTAGCACGCTATGAGGCGTCAAGGGCTGAATTTCGGGACCTGAACGATTAAAACAGGGTTCTGGTGCGCATCATAATGTAACTCTATGTAGTACTCAAAATAGTAGGAGCCTTTATGATAAGGACCCCAAAATAAGGTACCCCTAATTTTCGGAAACTCCCATACAGCTCCTAAGATTCGGGCTGATGTTTTCTCCACCACTGCGCACTGGGTCCTTTGGGGAGATGTTCCTGGAAGGGTTCGTGCGTAGTTATGTCGGAATGCATCTAGAACTCCAGGGGAGCAGGCAAGCCTTAAGCACGAGCCTTCAAGGCTCTGGGAGAGAAACCGTGAGGGAAGGGCCGGGGGTCGACTGCAGAGCTTTTGATAAAGAAGCTTCAAGAAGAGTAGGGGCTGGGGTATGTTCTGGCATCAGGAATCCTAAGGCTTCTAAATGAGGCTTTGGATAGAGAAGAGCACATCTGAGTTTTCTTGCATCAGAGCGGCCACCTCTCCATGTCTCCTGCATCCAGGAGGTACAAGAGTCCTCAGTCGCAGGAACTTGCCTTTGGTTAATAGGGAATGGAGGAATGGGGTACAACTATAACTACTCTTACTACCATTCGTCCATTCCCTACTAACCAAAGGTGAGGGAAGGGTAGAGGGCTTACCGAGGCTTTGGGAGTAGGGCATTGGGATTGAAACGGTTTCGAGATTTGGGCTTTGGGCTGTTCTGTTCTGATTCCGGACCGGCTCTTGCACTGAGGAATGATAAAACTCCTGTTAAGCTGCAAAAGGGGCCTAAGAATTAGAATAGGGCTTTGCTGCGTTTTGTAGTATAATTGCTCACGGACTTTAAGGTGTGATATGAGTACTAGGGTACCGTATGGTACATCGGCGGGCTATAAAGGCATTACTACCAGGAGATCTTCTAGTATAACGATGGACTATACTTGGAGGTTCATGGGTAGTTGGACGTGGGGTTATGAGTCCCCGAATATGGTTTATAATTATAGTTACCTTACTTATAACTCCACTTATAACTACCCCTGAACCCCCAAGTAAGGCGATACTCCAAAAAACTGACCCCTTACCCTAAACCCTAAACCCTAAACCGCAAAGCTGCTCTGGATGGACTGGCTCTTGACCAAGCTGATCTGAATGCGCTTGGGATCCTGGGACTCCTGGTTTAGGGTTTAGGGTTTAGGGTTGAGGGTTTAGGGTTTAGGGTTGAGGCATCAAAGTTGGGTTTCCGTTTGTTGTCTGCCCACCTAGCAAAAGTTGGGTTTAGGGTTTAGGGCTTCAGGATTTTGGGGTTTTAGGCTTGTTTTTGCTTTAGGGTTCAGGGCTTAGGGCTTAGCAAACTGGCTTTAGGTGAAGGACATCGACCCTAAATCCTAAATCCTTAAAGGAACCCTTCAAAGGAACCCGAACAAAAACCCTTAAAGGAACCCCTACTACTCAGTAGGCGAAGGAATTCCCAGGGTCCTCCTGAGGCAAAAGCTGGGTCCGCCATTTGCTGCCCGGGCTGTGGTCGAAGCGCGGATCTCTGCGCAACTCTCCTTGCGCGATGCCCAATGAAACCCGCAAAAGAAATTGATGCATAAATGTGTGTGTGTGTGTGTATATATATATATATAATTATATTTATATATATATATATATATATATATATATATATATATATATATGGTTTGCGCCCCGGGGCCCCCCCCCCCCTCCCCCCCCCTCCCCCCTCCCCCCCTCCCCCCTATGGTATCCTGTTATAGGTACTCTGATATATTTTCATAAGTAATCGACGTGTATTCTCCCCGCCCCCCCCCCTGTGGAACGGCATGGTTTGCCTTGTCTATCCCCCCCTCCCTGTGGAACAGGATGGTTTGCCCTATTTTCCAACCCCCCCCCCTGTGGAACAGGATAGTTTTCCCTTTTGCTCTGAGACACACACACACACACGCACCATGTCTTTCTGAATGTATGGCCATTCTATCTCCCCCCCTCCTGTGGAACAGGATGGTTTTCCCTTTTTGCTCTGAGACACATACACACACACACACCGCGTGTCTATGTATGTATATGGCATTCTCCGCACATGCTCTCCTGTAATGTTACGAAGTATTGCCTGGAACCCTTTTCTAAGGAATTTTACATAGCCTTGCTTGGAAATTTTGGCACACGAGTAATCTTGCTGAGTGCTGCCTAGAACATGTTGCTTAGTGCTCGCAGGAAGCCCTGCTTGGAGGCCTTCGGCGTAGGAATAATGTTACTCTGTTTTGCCTCGAAACCCTATCCTTACTGTGGAAATTACGCGGGTGCGTAGCGGGCGGGCCAAGCGGGGTACAATGCGCTGTGCGGCGCGCCTGTAGCGGGAGTCCTCCAAGCCTCCAGGGTTCAGGCTCCTGTATATTTGGGGGGGATACCATTGGGGGGGGGGGGGGGGGGGGGGGGGGGCCGAGAACGCACAGCGCACAACCATATATATATATATATATATATATATATATATATATGTGCGTGTGTATACATATATACATATATGTGTACAGTATGATATGTGGTGCCAGGCTGTGGGTAAAGGTCAGGATTTTGTGGTTGCGGGCTGGGGCTTCACGAGTCGAAGGGACTCCTTCGGAGACGACGGCTTAGCCCTAGCAGTACTTACTTTTGGTTAGTAGGGAATGGAAGAAGGGTAGTAATAGTAGTTATAAGTTATAACTGTACCCCATTCCTCCATTTCCTACTAAGCAAAGGTAAGAGAAGCAGTCGGGGTTGAAGTCGCACAGGCAACGTGGCAGCAGCAGCGGCAGCAGCAATCCCCAAACCCTGAAGCCGGTTTGGGGGTTTAGGGTTTAGGGGTTTAGGGGTTTAGGGGTTTAGGGTTTAGGGGTTTAGGGTTTAGGGGTTTAGGGGTTTAGGGGTTTAGGGGTTTAGGGTTTAGGGGTTTAGAGTTTAGGGTTTTAGGGTTTAGGGTCTCTGGGTTGCATCTCAGGCTCTCCATGTCTTCGCTTCCGGCAGCTGGTCCTGTGCGCGTGTCGGGTCGCAAGCAGCTAGAGCAGGGTCTTGTGAGCTCACATGCCGAGGCCCCGGGTAATTCTATTCGTGGTGCGAGATGTCTCACAGCAGCCGTAAAACAGTTGCGTGACAGCCGAAGTCTCTACGGCACTCTAGTTAAAAGGTCATGGGACTTCGGATCTAGAGGTAACTATACTCGTACTTACTACTAGCCACAAGTACTAAGTACTGTACTTGTAACATTACTTACCACGTCCCATGATCCTCCAAGTACAGACTCTACAGGACGTGCATGAGCAGAACGCCCAAGAGGCTCGGTATCATTGTGATCCAATGGCTGTTCGAGAGTGACCCGGCGGAGCACCGCGTCACGTCATAGCAGGTTCCGTCCTGAAAGCAGAGGGCGGCCTTTATTCGGGTTCAGGGTTTAGGGTTCAGGATTTAGGGTTCAGGGTTTAGGCCAGGCTTAAGGGCCATTAAGGATTGCAAGATCGCAGAGCAAGGAACCCTTCAATAAGCAGCTGGCTACCAGTAACAGCAAGCGAGAGTGCACTCAGTCCTGCGGGCAGAGAGTGCTAGCCGGCACCGGAACAGCCTCTGAAACGAATCCGAGGTGGATGTTGCCTTCTTGGTTCAGCATGCCTCTGCAAACTCCCCCCTCAACAACTACGTTGCAAAGGAAGAAGGTCCCCGTCGAGTTGACACTTGGTGGGTCCACGCCGCAGGCGCTTCTCCCGCTGAAGCCGCCCACCACAATCTCGCTGCAGTTCGAGATCGAACCCTTCGTGAAGGTCAAATTGCGGACAAGGACAAGGTACCCCGCTTCTGTCGGCACACAAGGTCCCGATGCATTGAAGAGGGCTGCATCTTCTGGTCTGTATTGCTGATCAGCAGAAAGAATGCCACAACCACTCAGCCCATCGGAAACCCCGGAGATTACGTAAGAAGCCGCCCCCCACTGCTCTGCTGGAGAGGTCTCCTGCCAGTCGCCTGAAACGCTGCAGCTTCTGGCGACCCATGGCATCACGAAAGCACCCACAAGCGAGCATACTGCAGGCAGCTTCATTCCTACAACTACGGAGGAGTGAAACGAAATCGCACTGTTGACTCGAGCCCAGTCCGACTCTGTCTCAGCACAGCAGCAAGGATACTCCCACAGCTAATTCCTAAAGAAAAGCGTCCCAAACAACGAGGAAACCCTGTTGAACAATCCAAGACAGCTGCTCTGGCCCTGATCTAAACTAAACCCTACCGTTGAAACGGAAACCCTAAACCGGCGGAGGGGTTTTTTTTTTTCAAAGGTGCGGCCAACCCTTTTTTTTCCTAGGTGCGGCCAAGTATCTGTTCAGGTTCGACACGCAGGATCCCTGTGAATGGTTCATCGGGGACATACAAAATTTGCACCGCGCCACAGCGCCAGCGCTTCGACACGCAGGATCCCTGTGGAGGGTTCATCGGGGACGTAGAAAATTTGCACCGCACCACAGCGCCAGCGCTTCGACACGCAGGATCCCTGTGAAGGGTTCATCGGGGACATACAAAATTTGCGCCGCGCCACAGCGCCAGCGCTTCGACACGCAGGATCCCTGTGGAGGGTTCATCGGGGACGTAGAAAATTTGCACCGCACCACAGCGCCAGCGCTTCGACACGCAGGATCCCTGTGGAAGTTTCATCGGGGACGTTGAAAATTTGCACCGCGCCACAGCGCCGGCGCTTCGACACGCAGTATCCCTGTGGAGGGTTCATCGGGGACCTCCCCCCTTTGCAAACCTTTTAAATCCTTCACGATTGATTGTGTTTTCTTCGCATCAAACCACCCTGACGCGTTGTTGTCTGGACTTCTCCTTCTTGTGCTTTGGCGAATACGTTTTTGGGCATCTTTCGTGCCTTTAGTGAGCGGGGAGTTTAGTCTAAAAAAAGCGGGGGGGTTGGGGGGGGCGCAGCCCACCCCATTTGTAAACCTTTTAAAACCTTCACGATTGATTGTGTTTACTTCGCATTAAACCACCCTGACGGTTTGTTGTATTTACAAACCCTTTAAACCCTTCACGACTGATTGTGTTGTCTTCGCATTAAACCACCCTGACGCGTTGTTGTCTGGCTTTCTCCTTCTTCTGTGTTGGCGAATACGTTTTGGGCATCTCTTCGTGCCAGTGAGCGAAAGTTTAGCCAAAAAAAAGCGGGGGGGCTTGGGGGGGCGCAGCCTGCAAACCTTTTAAACCCTTCACGATTGATTGTGTTTACTTCGCATTAAACCACCCTGACGCGTTCTTGTCTGGCTTTCTTCTTCTTGTGTTTTGGCGAATACGTTTTTGTGCATCGCGGCTTTTTATGAGCGGGGAGTTTAGCCTAAACAAAGCGGGGGGGTTGGGGGGGCGCAGCCACCCCCCCAGTTGCAAACCTTTTAAATCCTTCACGATTGATTGTGTTTTCTTCGCATCAAACCACCCTGACGCGTTGTTGTCTGGCCTTCTCCTTCTTGTGTTTTGGCGAATACGTTTTTGTGCATCTCTTCGTGCCTTTAGTGAGCGGGGAGTTTAGTCTAAAAAAAGCGGGGGGGTTTGGGGGGGGCGCAGCCCCCCCCATTTCCAAACCTTTTAAACCCTTCACGATTGATTGTGTTTACTGTTTACTTCGCATTCAACCACCCTGACGCTTTGTTGTATTTACAAACCCTTTAAACCCCTCACGACTGATTGTGTTGTCTTCGCATTAAACCACCCTGACGCGTTGTTGTCTGGCTTTCTCCTTCTTCTGTGTTGGCGAATACGTTTTTGTGCATCTCTTCGTGCTAGTGAGCGGGGAGTTTAGTCTAAAAAAAAGCGGGGGGGTTGGGGGGGGCGCAGCCTGCAAACCTTTTAAACCCTTCACGATTGATTGTGTTTACTTCGCATTAAACCACCCTGACGCGTTGTTGTCTGGCTTTCTTCTTCTTCTGCTTTGGCGAATACGTTTTTGTGCATCTCTTCGCGGCTTTTTAGTGAGCGGGAAGTTTAGCCTAAAAAAAGCGGGGGGGTTGCCCCCCCCCATTTGCAAACCTTTTAAACCCTTCACGATTGATTGTGTTTACTTCGCATTAAGCCACCCTGACGCTTTGTTGTATTTACAAACCCTTTCACCCCTTCACGACTGATTGTGTTTTCTTCGCATTAAACCACCCTGACGCGTTGTTGTCTGGCTTTCTCCTTCTTCTGTGTTGGCGAATACGTTTTTGTGCATCTCTTCGTGCCAGTGAGCGGGGAGTTTAGCCAAAAAAAAGCGGGGGGGCTTGGGGGGGCGCAGCCTGCAAACCTTTTAAACCCTTCACGATTGATTGTGTTTAATTCGCATTAAACCACCCTGGCGCGTTCTTGTCTGGCTTTCTTCTTCTTGTGTTTTGGCGAATACGTTTTTGTGCATTTCTTCGCGGCTTTTTAGTGAGCGGGGAGTTTAGCCTAAACAAAGCGGGGGGGTTGGGGGGGCGCAGCCACCCCCCCAGTTGCAAACCTTTTAAACCCTTCACGATTGATTGTGTTTTCTTCGCATCAAACCACCCTGACGCGTTGTTGTCTGGACTTCTCCTTCTTGTGTTTTGGCGAATACGTTTTTGTGCATCTCTTCGTGCCTTTAGTGAGCGGGGAGTTTAGTCTAAAAGAAGCGGGGGGGTTGGGGGGGGCGCAGCCCCCCCCATTTGCAAACCTTTTGAACCCTTCACGATTGATTGTGTTTACTTCGCATTAAACCACCCTGACGCTTTGTTGTATTTACAAACACTTTCAACCCTTCACGACTGATTGTGTTTTCTTCGCATTAATCCACCCTGACGCGTTGTTGTCTGGCTTTCTCCTTCTACTGTGTTGGCGAATACGTTTTTGTGCATCTCTTCGTGCTAGTGAGCGGGGAGTTTAGTCTAAAAAAAGCGGGGGGGTTGGGGGGGCGCAGCCTGCAAACCTTTAAAACCCTTCACGATTGATTGTGTTTACTTCGCATTAAACCACCCTGACGCGTTGTTGTCTGGCTTTCTTCTTCTTGTGCTTTGGCGAATACGTTTTTGTGCATCTCTTCGCGGCTTTTTAGTGAGCGGGAAGTTTAGCCTAAAAAAAGCGGGGGGGTTGGCCCCCCCCATTTGCAAACCTTTTAAACCCTTCACGATTGATTGTGTTTACTTCGCATTAAGTCACCCTGATGCTTTGTTGTATTTACAAACCCTTTCAACCCTTCACGACTGATTGTGTTTTCTTCGCATTAAACCACCCTGACGCGTTGTTGTACGACATAAGGAGGCAGTATTCTCGAAGCTAGACAGTATAAGAAGTTGCGAAGCGAAAAAGCCAAGAAGCCGAAAAGCCAAGAAGCCAGAAGCCAAGAAGCCAGGGAAGCCGAGAAGCCAAAAGCCCAGAAGCCAGGGAATCCAAGAAGCCAGAAGCCAAGAAGCCAAGCGCGCACACAAGTCAAAAAAAAAATGCCCCCCCCAAAAAAAATCCCAAAATAAATACACCTCCTTAACTCATGGTATCCCAGAGTTTCCTGCGATAGCACATACGCTCTGTGACATACATCAAACGGCTCAGTTGCCTTGAGCGCCCTCTCTGCATTGGTGGCATGCCCCACATAAGCCAGATCGCGGAGGTAGGGCTTGACAAGTTCTGTCCACTCCGTCAGGAGGGAATCGCCATGGAGCTCAGAGCCCTCAACCGGCATTCCCTGATGCGCTGGGCTGTTGAAGTGGCGGTGCCACATCTCGTACAGGAGAGGGAATCCTGCGTACGGGTACTGCTTCCGCAGACCAATCCACTCGCCATTACGAATTCGGCCGAGAAAGATGTAAGCGTCTTTGAAATACGCTGGTTCCTCAAAGGCCATCGCTTCCGCGAGGCGATCAGGGTCCTTAAGAGCCCTGCGGAAAGCCTCGATGCGTCGGCGACGCTCCTCGATCGAGATCACAGGCAAGGAGGGGGATGCCATGACTGCTGTGCTTTCTAGGAAGTCTTCACTCAAAGTAGCTTGTACCGCAACAGCAGCTTGTCGTGCAGGAAATCGTGGCTCGAAAATGTTCTTGAGCTTACAGCCATGAAAATTGTTCATCACTTCAATTGGCAATTTCTTGTAGGAAGCATGCAATCTCCAATGACCTAAATTGCCTGATCTTTCGTCATCAAGGATCTCGAAACTCGTACACTCATGACTGGAACACTATTTAATAACTCGATCCATCTTCCATGAGAAGTGATCCCACGGAGCAATCGATACATAACGACATTTATTCATGTCCAATCCAGTGCTTAAGATGACGAAAGAAGACCATAGCTTGCCGAAGTGTTTGCGGTCATCAGGACCCCCCGCAAAGCGCAGGTCAACCCAAACGATGATTGGAACATTTGCCTTGGCATAGCCTTTCACGACCTTGAGCAAGTCCCTACTCGTCTGAGTGTTGTTAAGGTCCATGTTGTGAGTTACTCGAACAACAGATGGGCTACCGCTACCATTATCGTCTGCCCTTCCGAGCAGAGACAACGACGGATTCATGTCCCCATTCAATGAGAACCCCGTCGTTCTCGGGCTCGATCCTCTTCTCGAGGTCGTCTGGCACGACGATCGGCGAAGCAGGCCTCGATGGTTTGACATAGACATGGCCAATGAGGAAAATCGCTCTCTTCCATTTGTCAATGTTGGTAAATGGCTTAGTCAAAATGTCGGCAGACTGCAGCAAGGTACTAATATACGCGAGATCATAGTGTTTCCTCCTGAACTGTTCCGATACCCATCCGAGATTGATTCTCTGGGTTTTATCTGTGTGCCTAAATGCTGGTGACCTCCCGGACTCCATAATCCTAATGGTGGCCTGGTTATCTTCCAACATCACAGGTTGCATGCAATGTGGTGCGGCCATGATCAATGAATGTTCGGATCTGATCTTCGCATCATCGGTGTACTCGAAGTCGCCAAGTCCGTGACGGAGCTTGTAAGCCTCGTAGTTCAACTCGGCTTCTGCTTCCGCAGAGCGACGATACTCCAATGATGACTTCCGGGACAGGCACAAGATG